CGTTTCCCACAACGCACTGACGCAGCAGCCGCCAGAGGAAGAGCTCACTATAGGCACAGGAGACCGGGGGCGTCAGACTCGTTCTGGTCAGGGGCCGAATGTACAACATGAAAGCTTTTTAAATTGTAACTGTATACCAAAGGTGTAATTTTGTTCTTTGTGAAAAGTTTGTTTAACAATCATTTTTTGCATATGTGGATGAGGGTTGATGTTGTTTTCTGGTAGATTTTTTTCTGATCGTCTGTTGTATTAAATTTGCTTTTTATGGTGGTCCATATTGTTAAGGTAATACTTTTGGGGGCCTGTGGACTGCATGTTTGACTTCCCTGATCTTTACATTACGTATAATGCTCAATGGGTCAATACATATGGACCTATAAGTAATCCCATGAATATGTTGATGAAACACTTTCACACTCATTCACTCAGCAATTACCTATTTTTCTGCCTTTTTTTCTCCATAAATTATGTTGTGGCTGATCAAATTATGTTGTGGCTGATCAGCATTTAAATCTTCAGCCTTTGAATCTGAAATTGCAGTCTCCACCAAAACTGTCATAAACAATATCTTCAGTTAAACAAAAACACTGCAGCTGCATCCAAATGTGTCACTTATTTTGACTTAGACACAGTTGAGTTCATTTCCTTTCCCTCCGTAAATAAGATGTTTCTAAGTCTGTTTAGGAAAGCTTCCCCGATAGTGTTTAGGCTTTCTTCTCATGCCATTAGCAAACTTGCTCTGCACTAGTAAAGCAATGGAAAAGACTACGTTTTAGTGTGGCGAAAATGCAAAGAAACATGGCTATGCTGATCATTTGCCACCCAGTGAATTCTTTTAAAAGAATTCTTCATATCAATTGAATTGTACGCCTGATTGTGTGCCCTTATACCTGCTTGTCAGAGCCTGATCTCATCAGGTCTCAGAAGCTAAGAAATTTGGGGCCTGGTTCATACTTGGATGAGAGATCACAATGGAATGCTGTGGCTCTAAAGTGTGTGGTCACACCAGAGCAGCTGTGGTAACATGGAGATAAAACATCTTGGAGAGAGCAATGTAAAAAACCTGAGATGTTGCTGCAGTACAGTGTTCATGGTTTTGCACTGGTCCAGACCAGAGCACAGAGGCTTCCTCATGGTCCGAAACAAGCGGATCAGGTGAAAATTCACTGGAGGAATGCTAACTTTTGAAAAAGGAGAACAAAGCATCACACTTTAGACTAGAGCAGAGAAAATGGTCAGAACAAAGCAGCTACTGTACTCCACCTCTGCTGCTGTGGCCTGAACTGCTGTTGCATTTTAATACTTTTGTTAGCTATTTTTAGAATCATCTATTTATTTGTTTTGTTTGTATGGATGCCTGTGGTTCTGCTGCTCCTGGACACCTGAATTTCTTCTACTGGAGATAAATAAAGTATCTTATTTATCTCTATCTAACCCTTTAATGGCTTCCTCAACCATTTGGTAGATCACTTAGTCACTTTATCTACTACTACTCTAATATACCTCTTTGGTGCATTTCACTGGGTTTTAGGCACAAGTTTTAAGCAAATTGGCATTTGAAGGATTCACGTCACAAAAGTCTGCAGTCAAACGGAAGCAATCGCGTAACCTTTTGAAGGAATCAGCATGTACGTCCAGGGGCTCTGATGTAAGTTCACAGAGAGGGTAAAGTCACTGTTTAGGGAGAGGTTAAGCTCTTAGTGCAGCAGAGAACCTCTGGGAGCTGTAATCAGACCCAAAGGTTTGTTTAAGCCACTTCTCAGGCAAGGGCCACAAGGTGAACATATGTCCTCCCTGTACTCTTTTGGAGAAAAAACTGGTTGAGGTTTAATCAACACTATTTTCAGAGGTTGTTGCTTATCTGAAACATAAAATTAATTATATGTGATTCCTAATTCTCAAGCAGAAAGCTTGGGAAAAATACAGAGCACTCAGTTGTCCATACTACCATTTATAGCAGATTTTTATCACAGTGGATCCTTAAAAAAAATATATAGATCATTTTCTTCCTTGGGATTTTGTTCCATCACTTAATACATTTTATTTTTCTCTTTTTCTAAGCCATTTTTCCGCACACTTGTTCTGCTCCCTGGCTAACAAAACCTGACAGCACAAATTACAAGATTCAGCTCAGCTCACAGCCTATAACTTGAGACTAAAAGATAGCAGACAAAAAAAGGGCTTTTAAATTAAGTGACAAATTGCCATCTGTGCCCCATAAGCACAGATGTGAAAAGACAGGCAGAAAAACAAGAAGACATCCAGGTCGGCAGCAGAGGTAATGGCACAGGGCAGGATGGTTCATATTGTATAAATGAATGGTTTGAACAGTCGAAAATAGAGAATGAAAAAGAAAGGGGAGAGTTCAAGTGAAAAGAGACTGTTAAAGGAAATATGACATTTGAATAATAGACAGGAGAAGGTGATTAGGACAAGGGTACGTCAGAGGAGATGATTAGTGTAATCTGTAAAGGACAGAATAGTGGCCTGATGATTGGTCTCAATGGCAGACTCACTCTCACCAGTGATTACGCTGAGCCCACTTTGTGAAGACGGAAATCAGCTCTGCGCTTTTGTAAGAACTGTGGGAGAAAAAAACCTCCAGTCCTGAAAATGATTTTACTCAATATGTTTAGATAACCATATGCTGCAGGAATGTTCATATTTTCAGCACAGAAAGTCATTCCTTATAATATGTCTTTTGTAAAGGTACATTAAAACATTTGACTAGAAGGAACAGATTAAAAAACAATAATTGTGGAATATTTGGAATAAGACAATAGCAAAGTTTGTGCTATTTTAAAAAAAATCAAATCGCATAAAACATCACAAAGTAATCATGCAAACATAGTGAAACATGGGAATAGCAACACATTGAATATCAGCAGTAATGTAGACAGGCTGTTTGTCAATATCTGAAATTATGCTATGCTACATAAGTCTGTTACTTTATATTAGGGCTGTGGGTTTTACATGTTGTGCTTGTGTCTGTGTGGGTTTCCTCCAGGTGCTCCAGTTTCCCTCACCACTCAAAACATGTACAATAGTCCATCATAACACCCTCTCCCACCCTGGTCTAGGACTGAAAATAAGAAAATAATCCCAGTGAACATTCCTGGTTAAATAAATAACAGTTATTATTTTTGTTTTGACCTGTAACGCTGAACTAGTATGGTGTGTGCCCGACAAGCAGCTACTAAAACACAATTCCCCTATACACAACTGATGAATCTTTTATTGTACAATTTGAGGAGGATTGTTTTCCCCATGTGAGCGACCTTTAAAGATATGTTATTGCAGTGAATGGTTGAGAGGTCTTTCAAGAGGGCAAGGTTGATCGAAAAACTGAATCCATGGATAATAATGTCAGTGAAAGGTGTGCATCAAACTCATCCATTTCCATTTAGAGCACTGCAGCAGAAGATGAGCTGCTGGTAACGCCGGAGGCTTGAGAGTTACAGGTGAATGAAGCTTTAGCGCTTGGTCATGTGTGAGAAAACCTCCTTTTCCATTGTGCTCTAATAGACTGTTTTAGTCTCTCAATGGTCTCTAAATTCATTACAAGCCATACCCTTACTGTGTTCCCAGCACCACTGCTCCCTCTTTCATGTGGTTGTAAGATTACCTCATTACACTGAAAAGTAGGTAATATTATTTGTGTCCCTCGGGGAAGAAATGTGGAGAAATGAGGAACGCTTTCATGTTCATCCCACCCAAGGACCTCTCAGTCACCGCATTATGAGCATGTATGACAGGCCGCACACATGGATGGATGTGCATAACCCAATTGTATACATTTGATTACTAACTTATCATATAGTATCTGCCCCATATGGTGCATGGCAAATGGAGCACTGTTAACGCCTGAGTGAGTATGCAGGGTCTGGTCCATGACTTACACCAGTGATACAATTGACATTTCAGTTTTTAAACATGTTTACACTCTCCTTGTAGTTAATCCGTGAAACACTTTTGGTTCAAATAAAAAGGAAAATCTGCTATTATGAGTGTCACAATTTTGTTACAATCTTAATTACTCTAGACCAATGGTTATTTTTGCTACAATTATAAATATGACTCACCTTAAAGTTGCAACATGTCTTCCATGATGTCATCAATCACAACCAGGAAGTAGAGAGATGTAAAACTGTATTTTTTTCAATGACTTGGTAAGCATTACATTTATTTCTATAAATAAAGTTATTTTTTTCACTTTTAATACAAATGAATATCAGTGGTCGGCCTCTGTGACTATTATTGGTATCGACCCTGAAATAAGTCTCAGTCAACTTTTGCCATTTTCTTCAGAAGTTACTAATTTTTACTAGTGTGTAGGCCTGGAGAGGCACTAGTGGCAATATGATTACACTGAAACCCTTTTTAGTGGTTGTCATGCTACACATTCTTTGTTATTTTTTTCGGATCTAAAACATACTGCAAAGCACATGCTTTCTGGCTTTTCCCAAATTCTATCCTTAACACATCCTTGAAAAGCACTAATTGCGCATAATGCACCCACAAAAGCACTGGTCCATCAACAACAAGCAGCATCCGCTGACACAAACCTGGTCCAAACCTGGACGTCTTTGGCAAAACTTAGAACATTGAATTTGACACAAGTGTTTGCAACTTTTTTCCCACCCACCTCCCAATCAAGACAATGTTTTGACAGTTAGATGTCCATCCACGCACTTGTAATCTCCATCAGAGAGACACAGAATGTCATTGGAACAGGTGGCCGTCGAGTCTTATGTGCTGAAGGCTCAAAGTGGGAAAGCTCTAACACTCAATTCAACTCAATAATGACTTGGGCCTGTACTGAATAGTAAATAGTTAATGCAAAGGTTTTCATCGATGTGTTGTCTCACTAAACTAAAAATAATATTTTTCCCCTAGCTTCTTCATGACCAAATGCTACCTTCAGTCTCTCTGATGCTGCATGACTCATGACCTTGTTTGCTGATTGGCTGTGTCTATCTGGTTTCCAGGACGACCACTCCATGTTTTTTCAGTTTGGCCCGTCCATTGAGCAGCAAGCCCAGGTCATGCTAAACATCATGGAGGAGTATGACTGGTACATATTCTCCATTGTCACTACATACTACCCAGGCTATGAGGACTTTGTCAACAAGGTACGTAAACGCACACGGAACACTTGTATATTTATATATTTGTTATAAAATCCATACATTTTGTAGCCTCCAAAATCACAACAGCATTCCTCCTCGAAGGCTGTCACAAAATTGTTGATTGGCCAACAGGTTAGAAAATCAGGGAATTACAATTAAAACATAGAAAGGAGATCTCTGCAAACAATGATTCAGCTCCTAGAATCACATGCACTGTGGTGTCACGGAGCACCAGTGTCCTCTTCTCTGTGAACATGCACCTTTTCAATGCATTCAAATTTTAGGCTCCTTGTAACCTGAAGTGAACGGCAGTCCCCAGGGCTTTGAGTTGATGAAGACACTTCAACACCAGTATAACATTTGGGTGCTACACATACTGTATTTTGAATTGTATTGTGATGTAACGTGGTGAGTGAAAGGAGGAACAGGGACCTCAAAGGGTTTGAGAAGCACAGATTTAATCTTCTACTCTGGTCAGTGAGAATTCTAACACAAAAGTCTGTGGGTTATTTTTGTATAATTGCACAAGTAGTCCAGCAAATTAAATTAAATTAAATTCACCATTCTCTGAGCGGTCGCCATAGAAACATGCAACACCATCTAAATGAGTGATCCATGATGCAAAGCGGGCTGGTTGTGAAACACGTGTGACTATCTTTGCTTTGAGGTGTGTCAAAGAGTACTCCATAATTCATGCTTCAATTTTTCTCTGATTGTAATACAAATATGCAGCTTAACATCCAGGGAACGTTTTACTGACTCAGTGGAGTGAGGATTCAGAAGTGCTGCTTTCTCAGCCCTCAGCATGGATGAGGTAGGGGAAGAAATGGGGTAAAGAGTGGCATGCGAAAGGAAAGACACAAACTCCCAGCAGATTACTTTCTTTCATAGAGTTTTGTCTTTGTTTGTATGTAAAATATTGAGATTAATGTACATGTTTATTCTGTAGGCATATTTTACCAGTTTTGTGGGCAAATATGTTTTTTAATAATATGTTGAGCGTGTGACCATTGTACAGGAGGAATAACCCACTTCCCCACACAATTTAATGAACTATGCATTATGACGTTCTTGACAGCGCATCCTTCAGTAAGATATCTGTTTAATCCTAACTTAATTATTGTGTGTTGCCTTCATGATACTGGTTCATCCAAACACAGCAAACATATAAGGTGCATCAAAACAGCCACTTTTAATTCTTTGTATTTATGTTAGTCTGGCCTCTGTAGCTCAAATGATGAGACAGGAGTTTTTCATTGAATAACAAACTTGGATGTATTCTCTTAAGGCACTGGTAATACAAGCTAATTTTAGATTCTGTTCCTTTTATACAGTAGTGACAGAGCAGGTTACCCACCCTTAACTAGTATACATTTAACCCACGAAACATATCTATTTGGTTTTCAGGTCCGAAGCACTATTGAGAACAGCTTTGTCGGCTGGGAGCTGGAAGAAGTGCTCTTATTGGACATGTCTGTGGATGATGGAGACTCTAAAATTCAAAATCAGTTGAAAAAGCTGCAAAGTCCTGTGATCCTGCTGTACTGCACCAAAGAGGAGGCCACCACCATCTTTGAAGTGGCTCACTCTGTGGGTCTGACTGGTTATGGCTACACCTGGATCGTACCCTCACTCGTGGCCGGAGACGCAGACCAAGTGCCCTCAGTTTTCCCTATAGGTATAGTCAGCACATCTAAGAAGAAATATTATGCATTATTTTTGGATATTATTAATGTACTTTGTACCTTTGCCAGAATGTGAAATAAGTAGAAAATGTATACAAAAGAGTTTTACTTTTTTTTTTTTATGACTGGCTTCAAACACAGCCATAGATTTGTAAAAAACGTAATTTGAACTGAGAAACTAAGTTAGGGCAATATTTTTTTTTAAAAGGCAGATGTCATAGGGTGAGATTGTCAGTACATGTCATGACAGGACTGAGACAGGAGCATTTTCAGAATAAAATAATCTTATTCTTATTCTACGCAACAAAAAGCATAACTTAAAAAGAGGGTGGCATCTACACAAACCTGTGTTATACTCATCCAGGAGGGCCGCCTCCTTCTCGTTTTCACGTGTTCCTTTGGCAATAATCTTCCATGCTTTGAATAACACAATTTTAAATGTATTGAAGAAAATGACAACGTCTGGGATTGTGGCTTTCAGACGAAAGACATGTTTTCACACAAAGATTCACACAATGCAAGTGAATCATAGACCATCCAATCAGCATTCGCCACGATGCCAGTGGCTTCGGGCTTGAGATAACCAAAACATGCAGTGAAAAAGTACTGCCTTGTGCATTGTTAGAATGATAAGTTTAACTTTAACCACAGTTGCTTCAAAGTGTCATGAAATCTCCAAAGAATCAATGTTTGCAATTCAGATGACGTGATGAGACATTGTATTTTACATTGACTCGTAATTACTTATGATAAGGTTTATCATTATATACAATTGACACAACACCAACTTTTACTCTGATGCCGCTTGGGACTGTCTCAGAATAATGCTGCACAACAGAATGAAACTTTCTGAATTAGATAATGAAACGTGTGATAAGTTGACTCTGCTGAAGTGTGGGCACAAGTGACAGATGGGCTTGTTTGCATATATGCAAATGTTCATGATGCAGACCTGTGAAGACTGCTCTGCTTTGTGTTACATCATGGTCTGTCAGCTTCTTTGCACCCGTCTTTTGGATGCACAATATCAACTTTTAACAGCTTAGTTATAACTTTAGCAAATGTTTAATTACAAAATATAAATTGGTTCATCTCCAGCTGAGTAAAGAGGTCCTTCCTCAAGTGGAAGTTCCTGGGGAGAAGTATCTCAGGGTCTTGTTCACGAGTGAGGGAAGGATGCAGCGTGAGATTGACAGGCGGATCGGTGCAGCGTGTGCAGAGATGTTGTTGTATCGGACCGTTGTGGTGAAGAGGGAGCTGAGTCGAAAGACAAAGCTCTCGATTTACTGGTGAATCTTTGTTCCCTCCCTCACCTATGATCATGAGCTATGGGACGAGATTGCAAAAACAGACGGTCAAATTTATCTTCCTCCCCAGAGTGGCTGGGCGCTCCCTTAGAGATAGAGGGAGGAGCTCAGTCACACGGAAGGAGCTCTGAGTAGAGCTGCTGCTTGTCGAGAGGAACCAGCTGAGATGGCTCGGGCATCTGTTTCTGATGCCTCATTGTCAGATCCCTGGGGAGGTGTTCTGGGCATGTCCCATTGCCTCGGGATTCGCCCAGTATGAGCTGGAGGAAGTGTGTGTAGATATGTCAAATAAGAATAACCCAAAGTAATTTCATAAGATTAAATACAAAATCCAAATCCAGAGTAGAAATACAAAGCTGAACCACATGAGGGTTCGGCAGGTAATCCAACCGGAAATAGACCAAGACACTGGGGTTACAAAATAAAACCAGATAAACCTAAACCATGACAAAAGCACTATACTAACATAAGCACTTCAAATCAATACTTATTTACATTTTATTTCTGAGTGGGTGCAACTAATTTGGGGGTCCCTCATTTTGAAAACCCTTGGTGTTCTTTGCTCTAAAATGTATTTGTTTGTCATCCCTTTTTCTTCTTGTTACTCCTTTGAGCTGGCTGTTACAAGTGTCATTTCTCATAATTTGTTTCCTTTTCCCATTTTCTCTCATACACCTTTCTTTTCCCATTGCTCCTCTCACCTTACTCTCTCTCTTGCTCTCTCTGTCCCAGGGCTTATCTCTGTGTCGTATGACGAATGGGACTACAACATTGAGGCCAGGGTGCGTGATGCAGTGGCTGTCATCGCTACGGCAACCTCCACCATGATGCTGGACCGCGGGCCACACACGCTGCTGAAGTCGAGCTGCATCGGGACGCCGGACAAAAAGAATGCAGCCAACACTGGCCACTCTAAAGAAATACTGAAGTGAGTGAAGACTGGGCATTGAACACTTATGATTACTGAGCGTGCCTGCGTGTTTGTGTGTGTGTGCCCGTCTGTGTGTGTGTGTGTGTGTGTGTGTGTGTGCTACATTAACATCTTTACCAAAGGAGTTTTGTTTTGACTGCTGCAGCATCCCAAAACAAGCAGTGCTTGTGATCTGATATTGTTGTGTGTTCAGTCCAGATAAAAAAAGAACATCTTCTTTTCAGTTGCAAAAGCACAAAACACGTCTCCTTCACCTAGCTTATGAGCTTTGAGATCCTTCTTGTCTGAATGGGTGTGTCATCCAAAATTCAAAAAGATTGTCTAAACAATTGTAGAGGATCTTTTTTCATGGAATGACTCACGGGCAAACAAGCTGCTTCTGCTGAGACACAGCAAAATTACCAAAATAGTTTCACATTTTTTACCACACACACAAAACACCATATCAACTAATTGTGTGAAAGACAAAAGCATGTTTACTATTTGTTGCTGTCATTTCACAGAACCAATATGCAAAGTAAACTATCTTGAAAATAAACAGCCGCCATAAAAAGGCAATGATCAATAGGTAGGCACCATCCATTTTACTTATTTCGCTTTATTCGATCCCCAGTCTTCCCTTTTCACACCTACACTTCCTCCAGCTCATCTGGGGTAATCCTGAGGTGTTCCCAGGTCAGAAAAGATACACCCTCCAGTGTGTCCTGGGTTTTCCTTGGCGTCTCGTCCCGGTCGAACAGGAACCAGAACACCTCCCCAGGGAGCCATCAAACACACAGCCCTTCTTTCACTGTCTTGGTTCAGTTGAAATGCCTGAATCTTTCTGTACTGGCACTGACACTGGATAGCAGCACTAATGTCTAATTATATTTGATTGAAAAACCAAGACAAAGTGTATTGAAAGTATAATAATGCATCATTTAAATGTAGTCCTTTTTAAAAATGTAGCATGAAAATATCTTCAGCCTATTCAGAGGATGGGCAAAAGTTGTAATACAAGCAAAACGTATTAAATCACTGGGGCTGGATTAGTTTGCCTCTTTGTCGGTCTTTTCATAAACAAATTATGTGATGTTATAGTTGTGGTTGAGACTTAATATGGGAATGTATTTCCGTCTTAAATATTCATTATTTTTTGATAAACTTGGAAATATTATATAAGTTGAGCCATACAATGGCACAAATGAAACACTTTACTTACTGGGCATCATTACAGTTGCATTATTAGAGTATTCATTACATTATGTTTGTCTTTTTTGTCAATCCTGATAGAGCAACAATACCACAACCATAAATATTTTGTGCCCCAAAGGGAGCTATCAGATACAGGGCCAGCTCTCAATCTTCCTCCAGGCATCGTCAGGGACTGCAGTGACTGCAGTGACTCCCAGGCTCCCAGAGTGAATTCCACTTGTTTCTCTCATTCTGCTAAATGAAGGCTAGTGTATTTGAATGGGTGGATGGTGATAGTGACCTTAGGGGTGAGCATAGGCCGAGCACATGGACTTTTACCTATTTCACCCGAGTCCTAAGAGACATGAGCAATAATAAGGCCATATGTCTGTGTGTGGGCCTGTCGCTCTGCAGGTCACTGTGGGCTGTATGCTCACTACATCAGCATGCGTCCTGTCAGCTCTGATGGACGGAGATGGGACGCCCCAGTGATTCCGGCTTTCAAATGTGTTGCATGTGGGCCTCAGGGGACATACATGCTAACTTAAATATATGGATATATGGTTTGACAATGTGCAATTATGGGAAGACACACAGATCTCAAGAGGCCTCCTCTGTCCCTCTCCTGACCGAGAGGACAGGATCTGTGGGAGAATGAGAAAATATGGCCCAAGTGGTTCTGGATGAGGCACTAAGGGACTTATTTGTGTGAGGTTTGTTCAGCGCTCACATTCACGTGCAGGATTACCAGCATTACTTCTACACGTGTGTACAGTCAACCGCACCAGTTGAAAAACAAAAGACATTTTAGTTAATGTAATTAACGAATACCTGAACTGTACTGTTTTTAATGCCTCCGAGTAATGCACTCTATAATAGTGGCACTCAAATAATTGCCTCCACTGTATATTATACATGTCTAGGGCACAATAGGATTCACTGAATCTGTTGTATGTAGGTGAGTCTTTTCATAGCCCTGTCCTCTCAAGGAAGTAGGCTTGGACTCACATGTGCCACATGTCATGAGACGAGTTTGTCCTTGATTACCCTTTCAAATGTACAGTGGGGCAAAAAAGTATTTAGTCAGCCACCGATTGTGAAAATTCTCCCACTTAAAATAATGACAGAGGTCTGTAATTTTCATCATAGGTACACTTCAACTGTGAGAGACAGAATGTGAAAAAAAATCCACAATTCACATTGTAGGATTTTTAAAGAATTTATTTGTAAATTATGGTGGAAAATAAGTATTTGGTCACTTCAAACAAGGAAGATCTCTGGCTCTCACAGACCTGTAACTTCTTCTTTAAGAAGCTCTTCTGTCCTCCACTCGTTATCTGTATAAAAGATAGCCCAAATGTAGCCCAAAACGATATTTCAACCACATAATCTCCCTCGATCTGGGGCTCCACGCAAGATCTCATCCCGTGGGGTCAAAATGATCACGAGAACAGTGATCAAAAATCCCAGAACCACACGGGGGGACCTGGTGAATGACCTGCAGAGAGCTGGGACCAAAGTAACAAAGGTTACCATCAGTAACACACTACGACGACAGGGAATCAAATCCTGCAGTGCCAGACGTGTCCCCCTGCTGAAGCCAGTGCATGTCCAGGCCCGTCTGAAGTTTGCCAGAGAGCACATGGATGATACAGCAGAGGATTAGGAGAATGTCATGTGGTCAGATTAAACCAAAGTAGAACTTTTTGGTATAAACTCAATTCGTCGTGTTTGGAGAAAGAGTTGCATCCCAAGAACAACATACCTACTGTGAAGCATGGGGGTGGAAACATCATGCTTTGGGGCTGTTTTTCTGCTAAGGGGACAGGACGACTGATCCGTGTTAATGAAAGAATGAATGGGGCCATGTTTCGTGAGATTTTGAGCCAAAACCTCCTTCCATTGCGTTGAATTTCTGTTATTGACCAAATACTTATTTTCCACCATAATATTCTGTCTCTCACAGTTGAAGTGTACCTATGATGAATATTACAGACCTCTGTCATTATTTTAAGTGGGAGAACTTGCACAATTGGTGGCTGACTAAATACTTTTTTGGCCCACTGTATCTACCTCTTCTCTACAAAACCTGATTTAGTCGATTGTCTAAGTGGGGCAAATCTGCATTCTTCCAGATAAATAAAACATACCACATATGAACATATATTTGCCACTTTGCAAAGAAGAGTCATCAGCAGACATTTTACAGGTATTCTCCTTCTAGATAAAAAATTCCTTCCCCATGGGGAGGATATCTCAGTAGTTAAGTTTGTCAGGCTGTGAAGGTTACTGTCTTAGTCTTGTTCACATTTGAAATGCGCGAATGATGCGCTCTGGTTTAGTGCAGCGTCTGTGGGCGCCACAGGTGTCGGTGTGTGCTCGCAGTGGGGCTGCTGAGGGGCTCGGATCACACGGCTCCTGTGGACTCAAAGAAAAACTCTCTCCTCTGTTTGGGAACCAGCTGTTTCTGCACTGTTTGTTTGTTGTTTTTATTTTGGGAAATGAAAAAATAAATGAAATGTAGTCAAAAACAGAGAAAAAAAATCTAACAGCAATCAATGTCTCGGGTTACTCCCACCTTCTTCAGCAAGAAAAAATAAACCTTGTTGATAACCACAGTGAAGGAGAGATCCATTGTGGTCTCACGGACAGACAGAGGAAGAGTCCTGAGTCCAGACTCCCAACTACACAGCTTTTCCCTGCATCTATTTTTTACAAATATATGTGCTGTATTAGGTATTAACTGGAATTGCTTACTTTTGAATGTACTGGTGAGAAGAAAAAAAAAAAATCTGTATCTATCACTGTCACTAGAACTATAGTGGGTGACTGGGGACACTCATCGCAGATTATGAGTCATGCAGACAAACCTGCTTCAATATGCACACACAGTGTGTCTGCATGCTGCACAGATGTCTCTCTCTGTAGAGCTATATATTTTTACATCCCTGCATTGCAGCAACACATTGTGTGATCCCATGTGCATTTCATTCCCCTAAGATCAAGTATTCATGTCACATTTAATGTTTCTGAAACGGAGAGTTGAAGAGACAAATGATGATGATTCAATGCCTGTGTGGCATAAAAAAATACGTAAATTCCCTCTGAGCCGATGATTAGTTGGGGAACAGTTGGTGAGTGCATATGGCTTCGATGGAGCCGCATTAGCTCGTGTTAGTGTCTATTCCCAGTTGAACGTTTTGGTCTTTTTACTGAGCAGTTTAGATATGATGTTTGTTTGTATGGCACTTAAGCTCCGTCAGTTGTGCAGGGCATGATGTCATCATCAGAGTGTGTGTCTGTGAGGCAGAATGTGCTGCTTGATGAGTCTTATTGATATGGGATTCAGCGTGCATCACAACTGCAGAGGTGAGCCGTAGAGATGGATCCGAGTGAGAGACAACATGCAGAGAAGTGGGTAAACATTACACAGAAGAAAGTCTCTGCTTTTCGGTTTCTCCTACGTCCAGCTTCTCCTGGGTGAGAATACTGTTCCCATGGCAACACAGCTGATTGCATGAAAATTGCGGTTGTTGTGGGCGCCATGGCAACACTTTACTTTACATTATACAGGCGTCACAAGAGCGTGGCAGTGAGGATGGTCACGTGAGTCTGCGCTTAACCATTCAGGCTGCCAATCATCGCTTTGTTAACCCAAAGTGAGATTATTCTTATGGCTCATCCCATGTTTTATGTACATTACCTTAGCACCCAGACACCGTGCAGCAAACACCATTTCACAGAGGCTTGACTTGTGGTATTGACTTTCCAGTTTCTGGCCAACAAAGATCTGCATGATGGCTTATGAATACTGTGATCACTTAAGAGGCACTGAATGTTCCAGTAGGTGGTACTTGTGACAAAATATTTTCTAACTTGCAAAGGCACAACTATTGTTTGCCAAGACTTGTGAATCGGTTTACTGTAGCTATTGTATACTATTTTTGTGTCCAGCTAAAAAGGAAAAGAGAAAATCAGATGCAATCCCCTCCACACACTTGCATGTACCTAGCTCTCTGTGTTGAAGAATTTTTTTCTGCGTTGGATTGGATAGCACAGGACCAGGAAGAGGAAAGAGTAAAACATTCACCTATCCCAATGTATCTGCTGCTGTTGACAAATGTAGAGAGGCTGTTTTACACTTCTGCTCCTCTGCTGGACTTGTTGCTCTCCTCACCTAAACTCCCTAACACCTTCACTGTCTACTGTATGTGTTATGTAACCAGGCCATGATAGCATGTGGCATCTCATGTGGCACAGAACACAGGTGTCGCTGTGAAAATAGAAATTAAACAGAAGTTGATTAAACTGATTTTCACCACTGGTATTAATTATATCTAATGCTCTTGAAAAGTCTAATTCTAGATTAAAAGCATGCTCACCATAAGAAAACCTCACCATAAAACCAACAAGGCTAATGAAGAACATAAATTCCACAGGGAGCACAGGGCAGTAGTAGTGGTAGTACCATTTTGTAGTATGTTTTTTCCTCTGTAAAACTCTGCATATGTCTTCAGGTACGTCATGAATGTGACGTTTGAGGGACGGAACCTGTCCTTCAGTGACGAGGGGCACCAGGTGCATCCCAAGCTGGTCATCATTCTTCTCGAAAAGGATCGACAGTGGGATCGGGTAATTGTTTGTCGTGTTGCCGTACAGGTTTTAGTTTTGTGTCTTGTGTATTAATTAAGAACTCCTACACTGTTGCAGGTTGGCAAGTGGGAGAGAGGCTCTCTGACAATGAGGTACCATGTATGGCCGCGTTTTGAGCTATACTCTGGAGTTGAGGCACAAGAGGACCACCTGTCCATTGTAACTTTGGAGGAGGCGCCATTTGTCATTGTGGAGGATGTGGACCCTCTCAGTGGGACCTGCATGAGGAACACTGTGCCATGTCGCAAACAACTTAAGCTCAGGTGAAACAACCAAACACATTGTCTTCAAGTGTGTGCCTATTGATCTGCGCTGCAGTCTGATAAGTGTCCATTGTGTGGCGATAGTAAATGAAAGCCTGTTTTTCGAAATCAATTTCAAAAATGTTTAATCAATAATCATCTATGTTGATGTGATTGAATATATTTCAAAAATTGACTTTAAATTGACTTGAGTTCTTTTGTCTTTGTCAATTTGCTCCACCTGACACTCTGTGATTACATTACTCTTGTCCTCACTCCGACCCAGATCACTGACACAGATTCTGCCCCTGTTTCGCTGCTTCTCAGTCTCCTTGGCCTGACACTCCTTCTTTCCACTTGCCATGTGATAATTATTTTTTGTCAGTGGCCTATTTCTCTGTCCAACCCCACATCTGTGGAGGACGTTCTTTGGATTCCTGCTTTTAATGACTTATTATGGTTCTTTTAATTCAGTTGATTTGTGGAAATTGTGGAAAACAAAGTCTTTTTATTTCTCAAGCAAAACTACTATATTGGGATCAGCTAAGCACGATTGTTATTGTATGAGTTTTGTCACAGTTCGAACTATTTCCCTCATCATCTTATTCTGGTTGTGCACTTACTGAATATTATTGTATAATTACATGTCTGAGGCTTGAGTGCTTCAACAATTCTCCTCTGTACCTGCCACCTTTCTCTGGCTATATGGCTCTAAATACCAATTGTGATAGCGTTCATAGGGTTTGAAATTACATTTTTCAAAACAAAACGCTGCTGGGTAAATATTGTAAATCAGGCAACAAGAAATCAGTTTGTAGTTTTAAAGCGATTGGACCTTTTTATGAAACAGTTTGATTCCTTTTTGCATAGTAGCATAGAAGTGTAGTATGAAGCCTCAAACTGCCATTGAGTTATTCCGTCTGAACTTGTTCCTCTTTTTCATCACCAGCAATTTAACTGGAGATTCAGGAATCTACATCAAACGCTGCTGCAAGGGTTTCTGCATCGACATCCTCAAAAAGATTGCCAAGCATGTCAAGTTTACATACGACCTTTACCTCGTCACCAACGGCAAGCATGGGAAGAAAATCAACGGGACGTGGAATGGCATGGTTGGAGAGGTACACACATCACATACAGACAAAATATACTGTACGTGCACATTTATTAGTCTGACTCTCCTGATACTAACTTTAATATAAAACACTACCACCATCTTAACATAACAGGAACTAAAAATAGCTCCGGTAAGATGTGTGTGTCAGGTCAATAAGGTTGAAAAGTGGAAAGCGGTAAAATAATGTACATAATGCGGGCTCTTCGCAAACAATGGTCCAGGGCAAGATGCGTTTGTGTTTTATGGGAACAAAGGGCATGCAGCCACTATTTCTGAAGGAGACCACTTTTAATCTAAAAGGTATATTTGTGTAAGGGCAAATCTACCTGCATTGTCACATTTCTAGTTCCACATGGGTACATCCTCAAGGTTATTACACCGCCAACTAAATTCATGATTACTTCAGATGGAGACATTCATTTGTATATAATCTTAAACTCATTTGTATACAGCGCATCCTTAGGGATTTGCAATGAGCTAATTATATTGTGAGAGCATTTTCCTCTGTATCTGTCATGTTAAAGAGAATATGCTTTCCACAGCCCTGGCCTTAGGCTCCGTTGCAATACTCTGATTCAGAGAACAAAACGGCCAAGACAAGAAGATCGTAGCAGCCCCCGGAGAGACCTACTCCTTCCACCGTCGCACAACCCCTCGCTGACTATTGTAAAGCGTGAGAGTCTGAACTGGGTAGCCACTGAGTAGATATGTTTCCGTGTCCTTAAATGGCGAAAAGAGTTTAATTTGTGCAGAGGAAATCAGGGCTGCGAAAAACAGAGAGTCAAAAATAAAACGGTGACCAGCAGAGAACAACAAATCAGTGCAAGACTTGTGCGCACACTGGCATACATGCCCATTATTATCATGCTGCATTTGTATTCATGAGCGGTGGCTTTTGAAACAGAGGACTAAATATACCTGGGAACACTGCACAGGTGCCATATTCTGACCTGCAGTAGTAATGATCTGCTTCTCCTCAGCGTTGTTAGGAAAATGGCTTGTTGAACACATGACATTATCAATTGTAAATGAACTGCTATGAATATATTACGGCTTGGACTTTTTGTCAACCACGCACGCACACAAGGCCTATTTAGTTGCGTCTGTTTCGTCAGGTGGTGCTGAAGAATGCACATATGGCTGTCGGTTCACTCACCATCAACGAGGAGAGATCCGAGGTCATCGATTTCTCTGTTCCGTTCATCGAGACGGGAATCAGCGTCATGGTTTCTCGGAGCAACGGGACGGTTTCTCCCTCTGCCTTCCTTGGTAAAGAAAGTAACACACACAAAAGTCTTAGGGATTGAAGACAGGACCACACTTTTGTTTATTTTAGACACAGATTGTGGAAACATGTATTTTCTTTTGATACTACAGGAGCACACCACTTTAAAAGAAGTCATGTGACCACTAGACTCTTAACTTTTCCCTGTGCTGTTTGTATTGTATAGTGTTTTTTTGTATTTCTTTGTATTGTGTGTTGTCATTTCTTATGTATTTTCCTGCCTAGGGACTACGGATGAAAACTAGCTTGGTAGCTATAATCCGGCATATTTATATTTGTTTTGTACTGATGTTCATTAATGTGCATTGTCCCTATCAAATAAATAAATAAATAAAAAATAGGAGTTGCCTTTCTGACCCGCTGCAGGTCATTCATTACAATTAAAAATCACGTTGTTTGAACTCTCTGAACAAGTGACGTCATATTCAAACGTGCGAAAAAAAACCTACTGTTTGGAGATGGTTCAACATATCCAGAGCAGATCTAGCACTTGTATTGAAACTGTTTTAGTTGATCGATCTCACAGTGTCAATCTTTTCCAGCACTTATTCCTGTACTTGTTTTATCTATGTACTTGTCTTGTACACTTTGAGGACTTTTGCAAATGTATTCCAATGTGGTTGTAGGTTTAAAACTGTGAAGCCATTACTTGACGCCTGCTTGTAGATAAATCCATAAGAGTAACAGATAAATTGTCAACAGATTTTAAATGATGAAGACAGGACTGGGGGCTTCAGTGTGTTCTTAATATGTTTCACATCAGGCCAAAAAATGATCAAAAACAGTTAAATTGACTATGCCAATGTTCAAACTTACACGTATATGTCTTCTATTTATCACATGGGACGAGCCAGAACACATGATACAATTTAGTCACTGTTTTCGAAAATGTCCAATTATGCTAATGTCAAGATAACTTCTGTTTTTCTTAGGATTTGGAATATTTACATTTGAAATGTCGATAGCACTGATGATGCACTGCCCCATTCAAAAAGTAAATATAATGCTAAACCTTAAACTCTCAATTTATTCCATCATGGATTTTTCAGTGTGTTTGGCACAATTTTGGTTTGACAAGAGCAATGTCTTTGCCAGGCATTAGAACATGTGATAGTCTGTGCTTGTTATCAGCTCTGCAACATATTCACTGATGAAAGTCCCTGTGTTTAGGGATTCTGCCATCACTGCTCACTGTAGATCTGGTGACTCAAGATGTGAAGCCATTCACTCCAGCTGCAACACAGCCCCAATGCATGATGGATCTACCCCCATGCTTAACAGATGTTATCCATATTTTAAGTATTCAGTATTGATTGATACTAATTGAACTAATTGGGGGATGTTTCAAACAAGGGGTGATGCTTTTTCTCACAATAATGAGCTGTTATCTTTGATATTGTTCTTTTGTCTTCCTTTTCTTGCTAAACCCCCAACGGTTCTTGATAATTGCAAGTTTTAAATTCAATTCTGAACAGAAGAAATGTGTACATTCTCTGAACATCAATCATTTCAGTTCAGGCATTTTGGCACAAATGAAAACAAAACTGTTTCGGATCTGCTGCAATGTGGACATTTTTTTGTTCATTGTTTTTATGGTAGTTTACTGTAAAGGGGCAGGCGCAAATTTCTCGTTTCTTATAGTAGTTACGGATTAATATTGAGGCATATAGTTCATGAAATCTAGTTAAATAGCTTCTTTGAATACAATATAATACATGAATCAGTCACTATGATTAACTCCATGAGTCAGAACCATATGGGGATCAAATTTAAATCTGAGCTTTTTGTTTCATTATTTTCTTGGAAATCGGATCTAATGGGTGTTTTTGTATTTTTCCCTGACTGCACCTCATTGACATGTGTTCTTTTAATAACACTGGCCCCTGTGTTGTTGCAGAGCCCTTCAGTGCGGACGTGTGGGTGATGATGTTTGTGATGTTGCTCATCGTGTCGGCCGTGGCAGTGTTTGTGTTCGAGTACTTCAGCCCTGTGGGTTACAACCGCTGTCTGGCAGACGGCCGAGGTGAGAGCAGCACACGCACACACTCAGACAGGCCACACAATACAGCCAGCTCTGGGCAAGTGATGGAAGATAAAAAATATGATGATGTTGAAGATAGGAACCAGAATCGTGAAATTTCAATTTATATAGCAAATATTTTAGGTATGCATGAAAACAAACAACATTTGTCTTGAGGCTGATCTGCAATAACTGCCCCTCCAACCATGACCACTCTGCACAGTCTACTTGGGTCATGTGTCGGGAGGAACGAATGACTTGACTGAGAATACATTTTCAGAATACTATTTACTGTATGTACTGTATTCAGAACACAGTTTTTTTCTTAAATTGAAGAAATACATTGTTGACATTACAAAAAACATGTGCTTTTTTTAAACCCATGTTGAAACCATAGACTGTAAATGTTAACGGATGTAGTCACGCATATCTCTGCTTTTGAAACTAATGCGCCACCACTTCTATGGGCAGTGTAAAAATCGCATTCCTTTGACAAATGCATCGTAAAGTTCATAGCGGCTAAACTAGACTGGCCCATAAAAATACTCGCCTCAGCACTGACACACATCTGGAACGTAGCTTTGGGGCAACTTTTGGACCATCCTGTAAAGCCGTTTTCCAGAAGAAAGAAGACACAATACAAAAGCAGTGGGTAATTTTCTTTCTGGGTCCACCCCCACCGGCCTGGCGTGTCAGTGCACTTACCTTTTTGAGTCGGGACCCGGTTAAAACCGGTGTTGACCTGAGACTACAGTTGATGGTACAAGTGGCTTTAATTCTTCCATTCACTTTTAGTCTAACTTCACATGATACTATGTAAAGGAGTGTGAAAGTATTCCTAGTATTAACAATACAGTACACTGATTGTACCATGTAGGTGTTTCTGTAACTACATATGTTTTCAAAGTATTCTCCCTAACACAAGGGCAACATGAGAATGAGTGAATCGAGCTAGGATTGAACCACCAACCTGATGTACTTTTGAAAATAGTTTTATAAAAATGTGTATCATTATGTTGTCCATTCAAATAGAAAAGAATGGAGAAAAGAATGATCTGATGAATCATAACCGAAACAGCGTCAAATAAATCATATTCTGACATCTATTTGTGGGTGTGCAATGCTATAGTTTTTGAAACTATTGAAAAATAACACAAATATTTCAGGGGCGACAGTGGGTCAGTTGGTAGAGAATTGGCCTTTGAGCCTGAAGGTTGTAGGTTCGAGCCCACCACGAGACCTACTTCACGACTCCCACTGATGTCTGCTGTCGTTGTGTCCTTGGGCAAGACACTAAACCCCACTTTGCCTGAAGCCCCCACTGCAAGATCAAGGCTCCTGTGAACTCACAACTGCAGAAGGATCAGTGAGGGGCTGGTGCTCTGTGAACTGGGGGCAGCTCTGACTTAATGGATTAAGGGGAAGAAAATGGATGGATGGCATAAATATTTCACCCACATTGTTCTGCAAGATAAAACCAGTGTTAAACTATGACTAAACCATTAAAACATTAAATTAGACACATTATTCTCAATCGTTTTGATTTATGCCAGATTCTGTCGCCCAAACAGACCAAGAATGTTTATGTGAAGATATCCTGTCAAAGGCATCCACGAGATCCCTGCATCACTTGACTTTGGCAAAGTCTTCTGAGCAGTCCTTGAACTCCTGGGATTTTCTGCTCTTTAACTTTGAGTGTTTATCTACATCTCCACGCACTTAAGCTCTTGGGCTAATGAAAAGGATCACAGGCAAAACGCAGATAAGCGATCAGAGCTATGTTTAGCCATTCAGGTTGTTCAGAGGGTCTCACATTATTTAGCCATCTCTTTATTATACTGCAAAACCCGGGCTTGTAAAGCAGCGCAAACATGTAAACAAACATCTCATGAAACATTCAAAACACATTCTGTCTCCTGAACACTATCTGCTGAGTGAAATATAGTTCCCGCAGACTGTTCAAATCAATTTGCCCATGAAAATCAATGGCTCAGATTCAATCTATTTTTTCCAGGTTTTATAGACCCAGCTCCGTTTGACTCCCGAGATCACATTAACCTGCCACAATAGAAGTCTCTCAAGATAAAACGTGTTAAGATTGCTGCTTCATTACTTTTCTTATCGAGTTTGAACAAGCCAAGTCTTTTTTACACTGACTTCAGAAGCGTTTTAGTCTGTTTGTAATGTAAGTGTTTTAATCACTAGGTTATATGAGGCTGTTGTCCTATAGCAACACTCCAGCTGTAGAATAATTGTAGCCTGCTGCTTACCCATCAGCCCCAAACCCTCTCTCCCGTTCACAGATGCCACAGCGCTCCGGTAGGTAGCATTTCTCCCACACCACCTTGTCATACAGCCATTGAAGGAGGTGGAGCTGAGTTAGTCCGTAACAGTAGGTTGTCACGGCGGTCGAAAGTGGGAAAATGTGGATCATTCAGAACCCAAACTGCGGGATAGAAGAAGGAATATCAAGAATATTTGTGTAATCAATTTAGCAATTGATGAAGGGCAAAAAGAATAATCACTCTGCCATGAATATGATTTGTTTGTTTCACTTGATTTATGTAGCACATTTAAACAACATGACATTTCTAAAATCCTGCACATAAGACCTTTGATTTCTGATTTCTGATTTTTTTTATTCACCTTTATTTACCTTCAAAAACATTAATACCAAAGCAGTACAAATTATCTTCACCAATACAAATAGAAAAGTAAAAAAAAGTAAAAGCTCATGCGTTGCTAAAAGCCAAAGAATAAAAGTGAGATTTATAACTCTCAGTTTGTCCCCTCTGGTTCCCCGGTGTGTCCTATGAACCACAAGCTGGAGCTAGGTTTCAGATTTCAGGGCTTGCAGGAGGACGGTTTTATCTATTCTATTGTATGAAAATCATTTATGTTTCAGGAAAATTGTCTCGATGGAAGATAAACGTGCAGCTTCTCAAGTCTTTTGCAGAACACATTTTCTTCAAATATTGTCCTATTTTTTGCTACATTCACATTCTTCCCTGTCCCTGCTGAAGGAAAAACAATACCACAGCATGATACCATCACCGGGTTTGACAGTGGAGATGGTGTCAGTAGAGCTTGTTAGATTTCCACCAATAAGTACTATAGGTCTGGAATGCGGCTTCTCTACGGCGACATCTCTGTGTGGAGTTAGAGACAAATACCCACAACAATTGTTAAGCGCTTTGGGACTCTGGTCAGTGAAAGGCGCTATATGAATAAAGATTACTTACTTACTTACCGCACACAGCGTTTTGCATTTTGCCCGAAAAGTTCAAAGTTGGTCTCTTTTGACCATGGTATATTTGTCCTTATGTCATGTTCCCAGCTTGGCTTCCTGCAGCTCCATTTCAACATTGGCTTTCATTGACAATAGGGGAAAGGAGCACGTAAAACACAATATAGGTTTTCAATTTAGAGTAATCTGGGTGTGATGTATAAGCCTATAATACACTCACAAAATTATATCAGTAGTCTTTTAGGAAAAGTAAGTTCACTATGTAAATTAGTAGTTGACCAGACTCACAGTGAGTGTCCTATTGAGCAGAGGTTCTCAATATGACTGATGTATATGAATGATTTTTTTTTGTCTTTGTTTCCTCAGAGCCTGGGGGCCCCTCCTTCACCATCGGAAAGGCCGTTTGGCTGCTTTGGGGTCTGGTTTTTAACAACTCTGTGCCGGTGCAGAATCCCAAAGGAACCACCAGTAAGATCATGGTGTCAGTGTGGGCCTTCTTCGCTGTCATCTTTCTGGCCTCCTACACTGCCAACCTGGCTGCTTTTATGATCCAGGAAGAGTATGTGGACCAGGTGTCGGGCCTGTCAGACAAAAAGGTGTGATCTCATGATGAAACTCTGCATGCTTGGAAGAGAACGGAGCAGGTCTCATTTGGCATTAGACGACTTGTAGCTGCTTTTTAAAATGAAGAGATCCTTTATTTGTCCCACAGCGGGGAAATTTCAGTGTTGCATCACAAGTTACAGAACAGTAAGAATAAGGAGCACACAGGACAAGATAAGTGAACAATAGCTATACTAATTAAAATAAAACATTATCTCTTACTCTAGCATCAAAGAAACAAATATAAAATCTCTATCTTGAACAACATTCATGCATTATGTATTCACTACAGGGTCTAGTTGTTCTAGTTGTTTATTACCACTCCTTTTGTTTAATTTGTTAGGTTATAGTTATTTAGACGTCTGACTGCAGTGATCACTCTGTTTTACTAAATGAGTTAACACTGAGAAACAATAATGTGCATGTGATTGTTCTGATTGTTAAACTTTTTTTTGAGTTGTGTCCTTAACTTGCACTTCCTGTTTGTCCTTCCATCAGGTCCATTTAGCACATTTTAAGAGCCCAAAAGCACAGCTCTGTGGTCATGTTTAACAGTGCATTAAAGTGTATTTGATGCAGCTCAGTGCCTCTTTCATGCTAACGAGTTCTTCTCTGCCTTTTTCTCTTCCTTTTTCCGGACACGCTACAGTTCCAGAAGCCCAACGAGTTTTCCCCACCATTCCGCTTTGGGACCGTGCCCAATGGGAGCACGGAGCGCAACATCCGCAACAACTACCGGGACATGCACGCATACATGACGAGCTTCCACCAGAAGAACGTTGACGAGGCGCTGTACAGTTTGAAATCTGGGTGAGGAGAGAGATGGATGGGGAGAGATGAAAAGCCCCGTGACGGAAGAGGGAGAGTTGTTGAGCTGTGTGGTACTGTCCTGATGCAATAGAGCGAAAAGATGATGAAGGAGTAAGAGCATCAGACAGACGCAGACGGAGCATTGTGGTTAAAATGGATGGGCAGTCAGTGGAGCTGTGTATACGGCTGCCATTGGCCCCAGAATAGCAACAGAACCTGGAGTTTGTGGTGAAATCTGAAATCTTCTATTATCGCGCTTCACTCAATTCAGCTCCCATCTCTGTCACTGCACTTTTGTATCTGGTATTATAATATTTTGAACCACCATATCAATCTGGTTGAGCAATCCAGTTTGTAGGTTATGAGGAAAACTGGACAGCAAATATGGCTATTCTCGAGGTAAAACTGAGAAAAGTACATTTTCTTCTGCGATTCAATTTTGGAGTTTTTTGGGTTAGGATGCAGTAGTAGTAGTAGTAGGATGTTACTGAAGTATACTTGCGCCACATGAAGAGCAAGCAGTAAAAAACACATAATAATCCACGAAAGAACAAGGCCGCAAAAAGGTGACCCACATTATAGTCAGGGACCTCTGTACATCATATATTAGTTTCACATTTTAGGTAATTACAGAAGTTGATGGACTTTTGTACGGTATTCTTATTCTCCAAGTTCCACCTGTATGTATTTTGTGCTTGGAGGAAAGAAAACCTAAATGGGGGCTGCCATTAGGTCACCATCATTACATTTCTCACAGGCAAAATTGTTTTGTGTGGACATTTATAGAGCCGGTTCTGTCTTTACATAATACGCTCTCAAAACTATACATTGTTCCATCTGGATAGGGCTTTACTTATCGATATGTTTTCTGTTAGGACATACAACTTATAGTATTTTTGAGTAAAACCACTATTATAAACAATGAAATCCGCTCAATTGAAACAAACCATTATTAAAGCCCAAACAAATACCAGAGCTCATATAAATTCAGCAGTTTTTGTGACTGTAGTGCACATTTATTAATCAATGTATCTAATCAATGTATATAAACTCAAACGTCTTTTCTTTTCCTCTTTGTTCACGTTTGCAGTAAACTGGATGCATTCATCTATGACGCAGCAGTGCTGAATTACATGGCAGGAAGAGACGAAGGCTGTAAGCTGGTCACCATCGGCAGCGGAAAGGTCTTTGCGTCTACGGGCTACGGCATCGCCATCCAAAAGGATTCTGGGTGGAAACGAGCTGTGGATCTGGCCATCCTAATGCTGTTTGGGGACGGTAAACAATAGACTTTCTTTAAGATTTAGAAGATTACACTAATAATAATCCTACTGGTTTCTCTTCCCCTCTATTTCTTAATATGACCACAAACTCCTATAGAATATCATAACCAGTGAAGCTTGAATAGGACTGGAGCCGCCAGCTGGCCGCTAAGCCTGTTTATTTGTGAGCCCATGAGCAGACAGTGCATCACAAAGGCTCTGTTTGTCTGAGGTGGATATTGACCTGGAGATGTGTTATAGACGCGGAGAAGATGAATCCTCAAGAGCCGAGGCCCGTGGATATTGTCCAATTGTTGGTCACGGCTTACACCATTTCTCAGTGCCGCTGTAGAATTCCCTGCCCAGAAGACATTTGGATTCACAACACAAAATCCAGGATTGTAAATGTTACTATTATTATTTTTTAACTGTTCAATTCAATTTAGTCTTGTATAGCTAAATCACAACAGTAGTTATCTCGAAGGACTTAACAAAACTGTTGAATTCACCAACACAGATCAGAGAATCAACAATTCAACACTAGAAATTAAACGATAAAAACACATAGAGCCATTGGTCCATAAGGGGCAGATGACCAAAGTCTATAAATTATAATAAATGTTGAGTTGAGTGTCCAGAACTCACAAGTTGTTGCCCAGAAAATCTTCTAATCATTTTCTTGTAATGTCAGGATTTAGCAGACAGAGACGGATCGTGGTGTGCCAAACTCTGGAAGTTTATTTAAGTTTCTCTCAAGTTCCACTGGTTTACTCTGTTTCTTTCCCTCAGACAGAATAAAGGCAGTACACAGTTTATATAGTCATTGTCACGTCACACATGGAAAGACATACGTGTCACAAAGAGACAGTCACATCATAGTCATAACATGGAGTCCTTGTAGAGTCCTTGTACAGTCCTGCACGTAGGCCATATTGCTATCTAATACTAACACCCTCCCCTTTGATCACATAATCACATGTGATCACTCAAATCGATCAATCAATAAAGTGGAAAAAGAAAAAAAAAATTAAAAAAAACAAAAAAAAAACTTTCAAAAATTATTAAAACTCATAATCATCAAATCAATATCAGTGGATTTTATCCTCTATCCTGGGAAAAAACAAAAAACAAAAACAAACAAAAACAAATAAATCAAAAATAAAAACAAACAAACACTATTGGACACACAAGAACTCAGCAGATTCAGTCAAAACACAGACAAAAACGAGCTGAGTCTCAAATTTGAAGCTAATTTCACTTTTATTACTCTATACTTTTATTCTAATGATAATTGTTTACACTAGACTCAATCTTATTTCACTGTATTATTTTCACTTATCAATCTTAGACTGTGTACTTTACTCTCTATTCACTATAGTTTAAACTATTCTAATCTATTTACAAATATGTTTGCATATTTGCTTCTATTGAGCCATATTCTTAAACATACATTTTAATCTAATAAATCTCTCTTTAGTTTACTTTCATTATCAGTGGCTTATTATCAGTGGGATTTTGCTCCATGTCTATTCTCATTCTCAGGAATAAAACTGTGAACACAGTAAGGCAAATGGTCAACATTTACACTTCTATAGTGGTCAGTGATTTATTACTTTTTATTATCTAAAGATATTATTGTCAGGCAGTTTGGGATGAATGTACATCATTAATCAAATTAGGGGGCCGTTTCCCTGACAACGGCAGCAGATAGAGCGGCGCACACAGGCAGAAAGATACAGAATAATAACTTTCAAGATTACTTTGTTAAGCGAATATAACTTATGTTGTTCTTTATACTTTTGTCATCCAAGTCTAGAAGTGATCACTTTCCACACTAGTAACAAAAGGCACTCTTGTCTTTAACGTTTACGCTTCTATTTTATCGAGGTAGCAAACTAATTTAAACTCAAAATCTCTTTCTAAAAAACAAAAAACAACTGTTGGATACAACCCTCTCATAGTTTAACTGTAGATAAAACTCTGCAAAAAATGTAAATAACTCACGAAAGCTCTCATAGCTCAACTTTAGATAAAACTCTGCATTCTCCGGTGAACTCTGTTCCAAAAAACTCCAAAAAACAAAAACTCCCTTTTTCTGTATGTAATTTAAACCGTGATCACTGAAATATAACAGATGTTATTGCTTCAACTTTTGTCACTCATTAAACTTGAAATTGGCCAATTTCAAGACTTTTGCAACAAAGGTCTCTGCACTCGTTTTTCCTCCCTTTTTATTTATTTTTTATTTTTACACCATGGTTTCTCTCAAAGGGACTTTAACCCTGAAGCTTCTTCTCAAAGGGACTTTAACCCCGAGGCTTTTCTCAAAGGGACTTTAACCCCGAGGCTTTTCTCAAAGGGACTTTAACCCCGAGACTTTCTCAAAGGGACTTTAACCCCGAGGCTCAAAGGGACTTTAACCCCGAGACTTTCTCAAAGGGACTTTAACCCCGAGGCTCAAAGGGACTTTAACCCCGAGACTTCTTCTCAAATACAATTTAGAGAGTTTGACAGACCCCAAAAACAGACCAAAATTTAGCTAATATCCAATTATGCAGACTTTACATATAAAAAGGTGTCTGCTTACCTTATTCTTGTCAAACCGGTTCCAAGGACTGTCCGAGAGGTCTGCCAACCTCTTTTCCGCGTTGGAATATTCAATTTAAAAAACAAAAGTGACAGAAGCGACAAGAAGCATCCAGGAACAGCTCTTCCAGCCTGCTGGAATCTCCGCTCCCAGACACAGCATGCCGATCTCTCACGCAGAGGAAAAGAAACAGAGCAAACTCCCCCAAAACAATCCAGAGAATGGCACAAACCGAGCCGCGCATTCTCCACCAAATCTGTTAGGATTTAGCAGACAGAGACGGATCGTGGTGTGCCAAACTCTGGAAGTTTATTTAAGTTTCTCTCAAGTTCCACTGGTTTCCTCTGTTTCTTTCTCTCAGACAGAATAAAGGCAGTACACAGTTTATATAGTCATTGTCACGTCACACATGGAAAGACATACGTGTCACAAAGAGACAGTCACATCATAGTCATAACATGGAGTCCTTGTAGAGTCCTTGTACAGTCCTGCACGTAGGCCATATTGCTATCTAATACTAACAGTAAGATAAGTGTGGATTATGATTGTCCTGCAGCTGTTCAGTGGCTGCTACAAATGTCGATGATTCGCGACTGCAGGTATGCCTTAATCGTATAATATAAGATAAAACGTTATTAATCTCACAATGGAGAAATTTAAATGTTACATTTGGCTTCAATAAGAAAACTCAGTGTGCAAAAAGTGCAAACAGTTCAAAAGTTAAAAGATCTGCAATAGAGGTAAAAATATATGTCTTCAAAAAGTGTCATTGGCAGTGCAAGGCTGTGACTTATTGCACAGTCTGACAGCAGTGTAACAGTATCAATAGTAAAAAACTATCCTTTACCGTGTGTAGAGTGAAAGAAATTTGATGAGAAGGGGAAACAGCGAGGAAGAATATTGATGTTTACACAATGGTGCCGAACGATCACTGCTGTTTGCGGAAGTTAAATATGAGGGAAGCTTTGCATCTGCTGTAAACAAACTACAAGCTCCCATCTGTCCAATAATGCGTCATCATCATCAAGCTGCCCTTCCCCCTTCTGTGATTGGTCCCAAATTTTATGTGGACATTTCGGCCAGGGTTTCCAGGCTGTTGTGCTGTTCTAATTGATCGCACACAGCAGCACAGGTGGCTACTAAATGCCTGTATTAATGTATACTTTTAAATATAATCTATTACGGGGTCAAATGATTTTATTTTATTCTGAGCTGCTTAGAATACGACATTGATTTGCTTTATGCTGTATATAGCAGTGTTTCCCAACCTTTTTGTCACATGGCACCCCAACAGCTGAAACTGATACAAACAGGAAACTTTGCATCTTTTAGTATGAAAGCATAATAATAAAAATGGATATATATGGAACATGAAACGAGTGCATATAATCTTTCTAATCTTCTCACATTATTTTGACCAATTATGTGATATTGGAATATTTCCCAAGGCACACCAAACAACATCTCAAGGCACACTAATGTACCACGGCACACTGGTTGAAAAACACAGGTATATAGTATAAAAAATATGGTGTGAGATTAAACGGACTGTTATCCTTGAGCAATTGACGGTTGACACAAATTAGTGTTTAAAGTGCCAGTCCTTCACAAAGTGCACGTTCAGGTGAGAATGTGAGGCGTGAAGGCCTCAGAGTTTGCTTCTCAGCCGCCAGAGACCCTGAAAAAACTGATGCTACATAAAACTGTTTACATTTCCTCCCATGATACTACTGTCTTCCAGCGCATAAACACAAGTGTGGATTAACATATCCTGCTCTTGTTTTGATCCACATTCTCGACAAAAGACAAAGAAAGACATATCACTGTGTAGTCATGTGAGACTCAACATTGCAGCCATGTAGAACAGGCATGTCAAACTCAGGCCCGTGGGCCAAATCCGGCCCAGGAGACCCTTTTTAGTGGCCCCAGAAATTTACCTATGAATCTTTAATTACATATTTTTTTTATATTTGGCCCAGTTGTGATTGAATGCAAACATAGTAGAAAAAAATATCCAAAACTTGGCCCCCAACCAAACTGAGTCTGACACCCCTGATGTAGTACAGTGCAGATATTTTACACAACAAAACAATCCTCAGATAGTACAGTAAGATGTATTTTTTTATTTCACTAGGACTGCAACTCAATGTGCTTTGCAAAGAATGTAACAAAAAATAATTTAAAATAAAAATCACAAAAGATGATGAGGTAAATGTGCTGCCGATGGGAGAGGGTGTCTTTAGTTCCTGTAAGTGAGGTCAGAAACTGAATTAAATTGTAAATAATGCATATGTTTGACCATATGACCATGTGGTATCACTTTTTTTTTTGTTTTTTTTTGTTTTTTTACAATTTATTAAATATAGTTCCTCTCCTTGGCATAACTACCACCAGTAAGATTTTCTAGAGGAAAATAGCTAGACCAATAGCAAGTGCCTCATCCATGGATCAAGGTTTTAAATTAATTTTGTCCAATCATGAAGCAGCGTGTGTGAGAATGGGTGGATCTAGCTGCGCTTGCTTTGGGAAATATGCTTTCTCTCTCTCCATAATTCAAAAAGTTACTGGCCTTCGCTTTTAATGAGCTTAGGGTCAGCGCACACCCTAAATCACTGGGCAGTAGATTTCCTTACAACATGGAAGTGGTACCCGCAGTCCTGGATAAGATGATGCTCAAGGGGAGAGCCAGTGGATTAGTCAGTGTAATGTAAGTATATGAAGTGGCTTTGTCTTAGGGTCTGACTGTGGGCAAAAACAGATATCTGTGTTTTTCAATGAAATATATTCCTCTTGTTATAATCTTCAACATTTTGGTTATCGATAGTAAATTTGAAAGTCTTTGCTCAAGAAGGCGAGAAACTTTACCTGCTTAGCTCTAAAATAGATCAGGCTGTTCAAAAAACTACTTGGGGAAATAAAAGTAGAAATTGTAAGCCTTTCAAATGTTTTTCTAATGGCACTTTTGTTCAGTTTTTGGAAATGAACTATGCATTTGTCTTCCATTTACAGGTGACATGGAGGAGTTTGAGGCCTTGTGGCTCACGGGAATCTGCCACAATGAGAAGAACGAGGTGATGAGCAGTCAGCTGGACGTGGACAACATGGCAGGGGTCTTCTACATGCTGGGGGCCGCCATGGTCTTGTCTCTCTTAACCTTCATCTCCGAACACTTATTCTACTGGCAGCTGCGTTTCTGTTTTATGGGCGTGTGCTCTGGACAGCCTGGATTCACCTACTCCATTAGCAGAGTGAGTGTGCTCGTTTTATCATAGAAATGACCTCTGTCCTCCTGACAGAACAATCACATTAACAGTTGTTTTCGTACCTCTGGGCTGAGGTGCAGTTGGTGTAATAGAATGATTCATCTGACCTACCTCAGCCTTTAGAACCAAGCCAAAAAAGGTTGCTAAAATGACCAAATGTCAGCAATAAATTATTATTTTTGTCCAAACACCATTGGCTTAAATCAGGGGTGTCAAACTTTTTTTTTAAACATAAGATTGGGTTTTTTTTCCTTCTTTTTTTATTTAGACAAATTAATTTTATTTGACATTATTTGTGATGTTTATTATTTTCTAGTAGTTTGGATTCAACAACAAGTGTGTCAAATCTGATTTTTTTTTTTATTTAAGATTTATTGTTAAATATAAAGAAAATATATTTTTAGCCTAACTTAACTTCTAACTACATGTTCGATAACATCTTAGAACAGATTCAATTATCTGGTTGCTTTCCTGAGAAAATAATCTTTGAAATGAAGTATAACATGCCATAGTATTCCAGCACCATCAAAGCTGCAAGTTACCGTAATAATGATAAATAAAAATCAGTTTGACATGTCTGGCTTAAATGAACAGTGGCAAAATGTTTCCAAAGGAATAATTTAGGCTATCTTTTAATGCGCCCCACAGTGTTGCAACGCACTGAGACAAACCGCTGTAAAACATCAAATATAAAAAATAAACGAGGCGTACAACAGGACCAGAAATGAAGGTTTGGGATTGATGTGGAGGGAAGATGGGGGGAGGGTAAGCCAGCTAAAGGACAACACTGAATAGAAGAGAACAGGTACAATAGCGAAACTGTAACCTTTTTCCTATTGCCTTTTCAGTGGGGCGTAGGTTGGCTCTTTGAGAAACCGACATTCCCATTGGAGAGGAGCAAATAAGATAAATCACACATAAAGAAAACTGCACCATAGAAAAAAAGATGGAGGGGCTCAACAATTGCCGTTTTCCAAATTGAAACAAAGTCGCTCTGACAGATTTATGTTTTTCATCAGAACTATTGTAAGTGAAACGAATTGTACTCGGGAAACAAAAACAGATCAGCGCAGGTCAGGTGAATTTAGATAGTATTGATTAAAGCTATTGATTGAGCTTGTGGTTATCAATCAGCGCTTTGATCTGCTCATTCCTCCGTTGAGTCGCTGAAAGCTTGAGGTGAAGAGCTGAGTGGGATCTTTAGAGGTCCGAGATGTTCCCTTGAGAAAAGTTGTTTATGAACTCCCCCCCTATTACTGTCTGATTGTGTGTACACAAAGTGGGTGGTCAGAGAGAACATAGTAATGTATTAACCTCTCTCTGCCTCTGTCTGTCCCTGTTTGCCTTCTCTCTGTCTGTCCGTTTTGTCGATCGTGTTGACTGTATCTTCTACCCTTTACCCATTATACTGTTCACACTGAGCCTTAAACTGGACTGCTCTCATCTTCTTCCTTGACCTGTCTCACATTCTCTCTCCTTGTGTGTCTTCCTGTTCCCCTCTCATTTACTCACAACAGGGAATCTACAGCTGCATCCACGGAGTTCAAATTGAGGAAAACAAGTCAACCGTGGACTCCCCCTCCTCCACTATAAAGAAGAACATGAACAACACCCACTCCAACATCTTACGCCTGATCCGCACTGCCAAAGACATGACTGCAGTGCCAGGTATCAACGGCTCTCCTCACGCTGCCCTGGAGTACAGTCACAGTGGGCGTGAGTCAGCTATATATGACATCCAGGAGCACCGGCGTAGCCTGGTGGGTCACCCCATGGACTGCAAGACTGCTCCACCCTACATGGCAGAGGACAACATGTTCAGTGATTATGTTGGTGATGTGGAGAGGACTTTTGGGAACTTACCCGTGAAAGACAACAACCTGTACCAAGACCATTACCGGCACCACCACCCGGCCTCTGCTCTGGGTATGTCTGCCCCCGCGCCCAATAGGCCGCGTAGCTTAGGCAGCGCTAGCTCATTGGAAGGGGGGATATTTGATTGTGACAGTTTAGGGGGAGGGGTTGCACCAATTTTTACCACACAACCCCGCCCATCCATGACCCACAGGAACACAAATAAATTTGACTTGATTGCTGGGCACCCCCAGGCGGACTCCACCCAGGGTGGGTTCAAACCTGGAAACGTGTACGGCAGGTTTTCCTTCAAAGGAGGAGCATCCAGCACGGGGCTGATCAGCAGTCACGAGAGGTACTGTGGTGGAGGCGGGGGAGGGACAGGATCGGGGGGCGATGACGTCTCAGACATCTCGACGCACACGGTCACCTATGGCAACCTGGAAGGAAACAACAAACGACGTAAGCAGTACAGGGACAGTTTGAAAAAGAGACCTGCGTCTGCGAAATGCAGACGGGAGCATGATGATGCAGAGCTGAGTGGCTTCAGGAGGAGACCCCACCACCACACCGTTCACCACCACTTCCCCCACGGGTCCCTGGCGCGCCGTGTGGTCTCACCACCCCTGGAGCGGAAGAGGGGTGTTGGAGGGGGTAATTCTTCTCCTTTTGTTTTCCGCAAAGACAAAGAGAACCTCAGAGAGTTATATGGTGAGCAGTTCCGCTCCAAGGAGGGCAAGGCCTTGTGGGAGCAGGAGACAGGAAGTGGAGGAAGCGGTGTGGGCGGTGCTAGTGGTGGTGGTATCTGTAAGAGTCTAGTGCCAGTAGAAGACTTCCTCAAAGGGAAAGTCAAGAATACAGTGTCTGTAGGTCAGCAGGCTCACAGCTGTTGGGAAAAGGGTGCTTCAGGGATTGGAGGAGGTGGTATAGCAGGTGGAGACTGGGAGTGTCGTAACTCACATGGTGTTTGTCATCATGGGGGTGGAGGTGCATGCCCTGCTGGTGGGGGTACTAGTAGTCGCCCCAGCTCTGCATCTTGCAAACGCTGTGATTCCTGTAAGATTCAGCCAAGCAACCTTTACAATATCAGTGAGGATGCTAACATGTTCCTGGCGGCGAAGAGTAGTGTAGGAGGAGCCCAGACCCAGACTCCAGGACAACGACGAAAACTTGGCCCTGGCGGGAGGGTCCTTAGAAGGCAGCATTCATATGACACGTTTGTGGACCTGCAGAGGGAGGGAGCAGGGCGCATGGGGGGCTCTGGTGGGGGAATGGGTGAACAGGTTGTTCAGCCCCGTAGTGTGAGTTTGAAAGATAAAGACCGCTTTACTGAGGGTCCAAGTCCTTACGCTCACATGTTTGAGAGATATTCAGCTGACAGGGACTCCCCTATGTTTGGACTAGGGGACCGGGCCAAAACAGGGTCATCCTTCAGTCTGTTTCATGGAGGTGAAGGAGGGCTACGTCAGCGCTCGGTGGGAGAGAGAGATTTTAGAGACAGAGACAGGGCAATGATGGGAGGTGGGGGCTGTGGTGGTGGTGGCGGCAAAGGGGCCGGGACTTACTCCTTGTCTAAATCTCTCTACCCAGATAAGGTGAACCAGAACCCTTTCATCCCAACGTTCGATGACGACCAGTGTCTTTTACACGGTGCCAAACCGTACTACATGAAAAAGCCACAGACGCCGCAACAACAGCAGCAGCTTCTCAACAACATCCGTGGAGGAGGGGACTTCAGGGGCTCAATGGGAGCTGCTTCCTATTTGCCCGCATCTGCCACTGCAGGGGTGATGTCCAATGTGGCCCCTAGGTACCCAAAAGAGCTCTGTCTGGGAGGGGTGGGAGGTCCCATGGGCAACCACCACGGGGGCAACAAGCTTGTGCCTGGAGGCAGAGACACTTTAGGTTTGGGACCAGGACAGAGATCCTTCAATGGTGCCAACGGACACGTATATGAGAAGCTGTCCAGTATTGAGTCCGATGTGTGAACACCAACTAAAGTATTGCACACATTTGGGAGAACAAGAACATGCAGGACAGCTCCAGCTGAGGACCTCTCTGTGTAGTGAACGAGACACAATACTGTGTATGTTTGCATTCCAACAAATGGATGCATCTGAACAATATACACGCACCACGTCATGCCGTGGTGGCGTCCTTTGAGGGGAACATTTTGATGAAAGGGAGTTTGGTGCTGTTCTTACACATGGTGAGGAGGGAGGGGAAAGCGTCCCCATCTCTATTTTCGCTCACTGTCTTTCCCTCCCCCCTGCAATCCAACACTAAAGCAAACCTTTTAGGGTACGGAAATACAATCACAATTTAGATATCTGAATTTCTGTTGTATTAACAGGGTAAATTAATAATAACTGTATTGATAATTGTATTGATAAATGGATATTATTCCAGTGTTTTGGTTTGAATTGTTTTTACCATTGGATAGTTCATGTTTCATATTTGTATTTAATGTTCATTTCTTATTGACTACTTTAGGGAGACTGGATGTCAAAATGAACATTCTGCCTAATGACTTGGATTTATCTGCCCCTGTCACACACATTTCATATTTCTCAGTGCTGAGATGTGTAAAAGGCATGGCTTTTTGAGTACATTTAATGTACTGTATAAAAACACATCAAGCTACAAAAGCGGCATCATACTGATTTGCCTTTATTTTCGGTCGGTACCATATTCTGGGTTCTGAATTTTGAGCTCAATGTGCCTTAAAAGATTCATTCCGATTTTTCTGTTGGTTGGAAATATGCCCATGCTTTTAACTTCTAAGACCTTAAAATACTTATTATAACATAGGTGGCAAAATCATCTTGCTAAATGTGAACGTTGTACTTTTGCAGGGTTACAGGAGTTAAACCATTGTGCCAACACAGAACTTCCAAAACAAGTACATTGTTTTACAAATGACTCCACTCCTTGTTCCATAGCTCACTGCTGGGGAGCCTCCATACGGTTTATTTTAGAAATAAATATAAAATGTTGTTTGGCCATTGTTGAAAACATGAGCATAATTGACTCTTGTCAGACAGTCAGGCCTTGGAACAAAATCAGCACCTGACATCTTAATTATTATGATTACAGCTACAAGCACTGCCCGTCTTCAAGATGAGTCCCTTTGAATGAAGGTGCATGATTATTCAACTCAAGGGCTGCAACAAACCCTAATTTTACACATAACTATTGTTTTTCTACTGAGTTGTGTTTTCTTAATTCATATTTGTACTCGCCGAGCTTTGAGTCGCTGAAGGAAGAACACACCAGACAGAATGAGGAGATAAGGTACACATTTAAGCCCGTACAAATGTTCAGAGCTGTCTATCTTTCTAAAGACATTCAAACCGAAGTCTATTTCTGAGCACAATCTGACTCTGTTTCCCTGAACTGCAGTTTCTTGTTAATAGAACTGTTTTTAAAGTTACGTTGATAAGTCAGTATGTATGATAGACTTTTTTTTTCTTTTTTTGAGTTTGCATGTGTAGATTTATAGTTTCCTTTCCTTGTTTTACATCTTAACTTTCAGCCCACAAATGGGCCTTTTTATGATATTTGGGTTTTTTGCTATTTCATCCATGTAGTACTGTAGGTGTGTATGTGTTTGTGCAGGAGAATACACCAATTATCTTCTGTTTCAAAATATGGCTGAACTGATTAAGATCTTATGGGGATAAGAGTGCTTTTATTGTTATTGTTCTTCAAAGTTTTCTTGATATAGTTTATGTAAATGGTTTTAATAAGGTTCTTAGTCACTGGAGAAGCCTTTTTCATTTCATCTACTTTCTATTTTTTCCCCGTTGTATGTGCCTGGATACATACGCTTGATTACCTCTGTGTGCTCATTTGGACAAGAGACAGTGCGCAATACAACTGTTTATTGAAGGCTACACATACAAAGCTGTATGTACATACCTCACATATACAGTTTTGATACAAAATATACAAATTACTACAAATAATTAGAGTTAAACTTTGATTAGGTTTAATTGTTACATTCTGTTGAGCTGCTTCTATAATGCGGAGATATGTGCAATCACTTTATCTACAAATGTTTACACACATGATGAATTGAGGTTCCTGTGATCCTGTTTGCTTTTGAACTTGGTAAAATGATCAATTGTAACAACAAGAAAAGCACAATAGATTATCATTTTTCAAACGACCTATCTTTCTCATCTTTGACACGGTCTTTCCGTTTTACCAGAGAAGATCGATTCTTTTCATCCCTGAGCTGTACAGATTGTGAAAATGTAAATACGATAAAAAACTCTAGTTCACCCTCACATTTTTGTATGAAGAGAAAAAACTTATGTGAAGAGAGTATTTCAAATTTGACTGGATATTTACTAATATTTAAAAAGAGATTCCACACAGTCAATGTGAAATGAAGTGCTGAGAAATATTATTCTTCTGTCTCTTTGGAATAAAAGTGTTAAGTATTAATAAAAAAGATCAAATGTCATTTGAACTTGTTTTGCATTTGTCTAAGCAGCGCATTTGTACATCACGCTCCCATTTCTTCAAGTGTGTCATACGTGGAGGGTATTATTTGGCCTTATTAGAGATAATGGACACAGACGGGCTTCATCTTTTGCTCTTCATCACTTCTCTTGTTTGTGTCCAAGTTGCCTTCATAAACAAGATGTGCATGCAAGTTTGTTGTTATGCGTCATGTTGGACAAAGTGAAGACTATAAGAAAAAAGCAAGAAAGAGGGGGGGTGTAATGAGAAATGGTAGAAGTGATGCAAACCGAGGAGCGGAGATCAAAGCGCCTCCAAACTCCCCCTCACGCCCTGTCCAGCAACAGGAGTTATTTAAAGAAACCTCAAAATGTACTCAACTCTACATAAGGCATATCTTGCCAGAGTTTTAGCCTGCGTGCTCTGAAGGCAGGAGCCAGAGTGGTGGGAATAATCTCCTAATCAGTTGCCTACTTATTCAGTCCTCACACCAACCCAACAAGCTCAGGATGGATTGCAACACATGTAACTAGTTCTTGACAATTAATAGTTACCTAGCAACAGGCTCTTTTTCCATAGACAGAAGGGAGGGAAAGACAGAAGTATAAGATTTACACAGTATTGGATGCAACAATGCTTTGACGTTACAATGCTAAAATGGAAAGTACAGCCAGAGCTTACCGCCCACATGTAAGCAGTGGTAGGAGGGGAGCATTGGGAAGCAGGGGATCCTTTACTTCACAGATAACACTATGGAAACTGAAGCACAGAGACTACACTGGACTAACTGTACCTTATAGAGGCGCATGCAGGTGAAGGGGTAGACCAATGTGTATGGCTGTCATGCATGTCAGTGGTGCTGGCTCATGTATAGAGAAACTCGTTGCTGTAGAAACACTTGGCAAACTTTTCATGGAGGCATGAACTTTGTTAATATTGAATGGTGCTCACCCATTGCTGCACATGCGCCGTCATCAAACAAACTGCAGACAATAGGAGAGGCACCTCCTGCTGCTCCAGCCTTCATCATGCTAAGATTGGGTTATTCAATTAAAGCTGGAGTACCTCACTTTTTATTTTTTAGAACCTAAACAGTTGGATTCAGTCTTCACATGCATGTGTGTTTGGCCCCTGTCACGTCTTTAGATCAGCTTATGTCAGACAGAAAAGTGAAAAGGAGAAGACCACCCTCACTCAGCTCAGTAAAGGATAACATGTTCTCTTATAAGATAAATACAGCATGTTCATAAAATGTTTCCTGAACAAGAATATGTATGTTACAAATAACATTATGACGTTAGGTACTCAAGCTTTAATAGTGACTATTAGACTAACACGTGTTGCTTGATCTTTAATAAAGCAGTGGACCACGTGACGAGAAGAGTCAAATGTCGGCAGTAAGGTAAGGACTTGTTTTTCCACGTAAGCCGTTTAGAGAGCTTCTATGTATACATGTTTGTTAAATAGTGGAAAACAGCGGTATCAGTTGTCAATCAGGAGTCAGACGTGTTAGCTCTGATGGCCCACACAGGTAGAACTTTTCCTGACTGAAAGCTGTGGTCAGAAGTTCACGTGTCCGGCTGCAACACCTGGACTCCGCCAGTGTTAAAGATCTTCACTCGTCTCCTCCGCAGGACCCTCGTGCCCCTGGATGGACCTGGCGCGTGCCTCCTCAGAGGCGTCACCGCCCCCTCCCCGTGGTAACCGTGGTGACGGAGGAACGGATCCAGGGTTGCTAGGCGATGGGTGAGCTCCGTGATGCGCAGATGCAGCAGCGACACTTCCCTGAACAGGTCGTTCACAGACTCAGACAGAGGGCGCACCCTGCAGGAGGAATGCAGAACTGCACTCAATCCATATAGAAGCCAGTGTCTATCAGCATGTGGTTTAAGACAACTAGACATATCACATTGTGTGGATCTTGTATGCACATATGTCAAAATATCTCTATAGTAACATTATACTATGACATGCAGACCAGGTTGGGAGGTCTAAAATAATGAAAGGATTGTGTTATGATCAATGTGTGATCAATATACCTGGTTGACAAAACCTGATCCTGTCTGAGCTCAGGAGCTAAGCAGTGCTATGTCTGGTTTGTACTTGGATGGGAGACAGTTGGGAACACCAGACACAAGGCAGTGGTTTAAGATTGAATCTGCTAAATGGTTTTGTTCTTCAACATATTCTGACATACTAAATATCTTAGTATATATTGAATAGACTAATTAAGTATATTCCCTCTCTACTGTTTGTGAGTATCAAATTACTTACAATAACAGCATCTTTCATGAGACACATGGTTCAATACTGGGCCTGTTCTGTGTAAACACATCTAACCAGACAGCTGCTCAGACATTTTTTTTTCCCCCATGCAAGATCCAACTAAAATAAGCTACATGTAAATACTTCATCCACATGATTCCATACATGTGTCTCTCAACATACCTGGAGTAGTCAGGCAGCAGCGCACTTGGCTGAGAGTGCAGTAAAGTTTTAATCTCATTGAATATGCGTTTTCCCCACGCATCCAACACCCGGGTCACACTGCGCACTGTTGCCACATTCACATGGTCAGCTGTAAGCACAAACATCAGGTCCTCATTTGAAAACAACACAAATCCCAGGTCAGCCACGCAAATAAGAAAAGTCTGTTGTAATTAGTGGCGGCCTGATGTGGAGTTGACGTCAATACAATGCTGTGTGGCGTTATCATCACCATAAATTATTCCTTCTTATCCACAACTTCAATTATTTTGTCACCGACAGATTTACAAGCTCCACGTCCACACGCAGCTCGGATCAAACACGGGCTGGTGGTGATTTACCTCCCTCTCTGTAGTTCCAGTGCCCATAATCCACTTCATTCTCCTCGCCGCCAGAGCGGGCCCCAGTTGCGGTGGCAACCAACATCAGCATCCAAAACAGTGTGGGAGGCGCCATCACAAGTTTCAGACGCGCCCCCTTTTAAGAAGTTCCAGAAAACAGAAAAGAATGAAGGGAATGAGTGAAATATCCAACTTCTCCCAAAGATATTTGTTAATTTTCTGTCAGCTAAAACAAAAATATTTACTAAAAGTTAAACCATACCTGTCTTGTTCCTCAATTAATAAAGCATTTTGTTTGTTCTAGTTCTAAAAGTTATAGTTTGTGAACATATCAGACCACAACATGCTGTCTTCATCTTCTTTGATGTGGAACAACATGCTAACTTTCACACACTTGTATAAAAGAGCCCTGAGAGTTACTATTCGATTGTTTTTAATGAGAGTTGATTGGCTGAGTGAACATGGTCCTCTCTTTTACACTTTTCTCTGTGAAAAATGTATCTAATATAAAATACATATAGTCAATTCTTTGTGTGAAGATTGGGTACCCCAGCTTTAAAATTATTATTATTATACTAAATCTGAATTACAATGTTAAATTAATTGACAGAAAACACACTTTCTGATAAATACTGCAATAGACTCAAAAAGGAGGTTATTACTAATGATTAGAATGTTCCTTTTCCCCCAAGTTCATAAGTGAAAAGCAGCAGTGGCAAATATCATTCCTAAAAAAGTGATCAAATTGAGTGTTTGCCTGTATTTAGTTTATAGTTTCCCTTCCCAGATTCATTCTTATCTGTTTGAACGAGCATGTTGGCATTGCAGTAGTTGCAGAACCTAAAATGTGAGATTATTATTAACAATAGGGTCAGAATAGTAAAGAATGACTGGGATTACACTGACTACCTTAGTTTTCGAGGTATGATCTGCATGTCCAACCAATGTTTTTTTCCCTACATAAGCCTGTCATGTCAATTCTAATTCACTATTATATACATTTAATGCAATACACAGTTAATAATGGCCGTGAGATGTATATCACTGATTATTTTTTTAAAACAATATTTTGATAACCCACAAAGTCCCAAATAGCAGGGCAAGCAATTATTACATTTCGGCAGTGCAAATGCCTTGGCCTCGGTGTAAACAGGCTTCTCCTGGGACGCCTGCAGCATCATTAGACCCATTTCCTTTTGTGTCTTTGAAAATAACCGCACGAGGGAACAGCTATTATTACTGAAAAGCGCAAACGAGGCAACACTCACTCTCTGAAGGCTGCTGCTCCAAGTCCCAGAAGTAAATCCTTTAGTGATGTGGCTTTGAATCCCAAATGCTGCAGCTGTCACTATCCCTGCTGTTTCAGTGTACCTCTATCCCCTTGGAGGCGACTTGTAAAATAATTATAGCTCTAAAGGTTCAGTGCAATCGCTCAGCATCTCGTAAGTTGTATTTTGTGAGCTGAAACTAACTCCAATTTTCTTCTGCCAGATGTCGGACACGCCTCTTGAAGATCCCCTCACTCCAGGACGTAGGTATGAAGGGTCACACTGCAAAAAAATCCTAATGTAATACAAATTACAGAAAAAGTGCTGGAATAATGTCTTCTAAAATCTTGAGGGGAGTCTTACAGCAATGGGAACCTCACTTTTAGTTTAATAATAAAACATTTAGCTTGTTGTGAACAAATCAGACCCTTACATGCTAAAAATAAACATGCTATTTTTTACATACATTATTTAACCTGTACTGTGCAAAAATACTTGTTAAGAAAGTTTTGGGAGTCACTATTTGACACTTTTTTGTCAGAAAAAGTGACAGAATATGAAGTGACAGAGGCCAAAAATACGTTTATGTGAAAACTAGTGATAGGTCCAAACTATTTTATTAACAAGGAACAATATTAAATGGATTATAGAATATTTGTGGTTTTAAATAGGCTCCCCTGCTCTTAGAAATTAATATAGATTCCTCACTTGTGAAAATGCTTGAATTGGAGTGATTAGATCGATGTGAGAAATATGGAATCTATTTGTCTCCAGTCTGCAGATGTTCTTCCAGCTGTTGAAGTCAGAATTGGCCGGCAATGATCAAATCAGAGAACGTTGAGTAAAGAGTGGAGAAAGACAGATGAGCCAAATGTTCTCCAACATCTGCTTTTCTCTTGGCCACAGAAAAACAGAGACAAAAGGGAGGGGGCAAGCGGAGCGTCTGGATCACATTAACGTGAGGCCGTTTGTCACCTTCACGTGGACTCCTCACTTTCCCACATATCTCCAGAGTTATGTGATTGTGCTTTTAACTGAACGCAGGCGAAATCTCCTGTTATTTGTAACTTTTCTGTCTTTTACTGCCCCACTGTGGAGAAAACTGAACTGCATAGTGTTAAATGATAAAAGCTGTTCCTCTATTGAGTTGTCAATAGAGGAAGAAGGAGATTTTGTTTTCATTTTCTTATTTGGGACGTTTCCATGCAGATAAGGCAACATCACATCCAAAATTCCCTGGGTTTGTTTATTTAACTTCAAGTCCCTTTTATGGTGTTACTTTTTATTCAGAAATCTAGTACTTTTCCTTATTGCGGTGCTTATAATTGTACATTCTTAACACATGCTTACACAAGACATGGGCCAGGCTTGAGTCTAACGAAAATAAAGTTTTGAGGAAGTTTGATTGCCACAAAGAGGAAACATTGTATAACATTTAATCTGCCATAATATGAAAGCTATGGATCATGTCACTAAACGCTTTACATTTGGTTATTCCATATTCGTACTCACATGGATTCTATTTTTATTTCCTTCAAATGGGCGTACGATAGGTAAGATTACACTTGATTGTGGATTGTGTAAAGGCTTAGAAGTGTTTAAAATATGTTGTTTCTTCACAGAGTTAAGCCTTCAGACTCGTGTTTTTGTGGCTCTGAAAGGAGAAAATCTCAGTGTTACGTATAAACTGAAGAAACCTCAAAATCTATCCGAAGAACTGGTTTGTTTTGACCCTTATAACCAACCCATCTATCGTTTTGTCGTCAGAGCACCACCAAAAGAGATTCAGGAGACATTTATTCTTACAAACATGACGATCTCTGGGAAGTATTCTTGTCAGTATAAAACTGCTGAAGCTTTTTGGTATCTAAGGGTGAGAGGTGAGTGCTGCATTTATCGATTCTTTTGAACAAGGGACAATGCATATTAATGAACATTTCTATAAGGTTTTTGCTACAACGCTTGATGGACAAGGTGTATAGATGATATAGAAAGACATTAGTACACAAAAAAATAGTAAAAGTTAGTACACTGAATACAATCTACGGCCCAACATACATTTATCATTGTGACATACAAAGGCAGTATACATACATCTCAATGGGTATTTTCCTGGTTAAATAAAGGTTATATAAAATGAATAAAAAAATTGACAGGCTCATGCAGAGTTTAAGATAACAAAGACAGATTGGCTGCTTAGCTTCTGTCATCATCAAGTGCCGAGTGCCTGAATTCTTTGTTGTACTTTCTTTTGATTTTTTGCTTCAAATATTTTAGATTTTTGTTAAATTGAAGGTATCACTTCAGTTGAGCACAAGTGTGTTGTACACGTGCAGGGAATATGCAAAAGCAACTATTTAAAGCCTTAAACCATATTATAACATTGTTCCCTGATCTGAAACTTGGAGTGTTTTTTTAGATCTATCCACGCTAATATCATGAACTTCAGGCACATGTAGCCCCGCCCCTTTAAATAAAATCTCATATCTCAGTCCTGAAATAGTATGAGCATGATGTCATAGTAGTACAATTCAATCATGCCTTTTTTCACATAATTTAGTGTTAGAAAATTCTCAGTTTAAATTACGTTCTTAATAATTGCATGTCTATACTTGCTGCTGGCAATTTTTAATTTAAAATTAAAAAAATTCAACTCATCCCTCTGGTGGTAGCATCAGGAGACACTTTTCACCATATTTCCTATTTCACTCTAAATATTTGACATGCTCAACATCCCACGGTTGTCTCATTAGAAATAGTAGATTCACATAACTTCTTTTTAGCTGAAAGAGTATAGAGAGAATAATGTTTTTATTGTATTGTTTATGTTGACAAAATTAATATAGAATGTACTTATTTTTCCTGCTGGTGTGAGAGTGCCATGAATATGACACATATCAAAACTTAAAAAAACTTAGCATTGGGGTCTTCACAGTGGTCTTTGCTCCACAGACAGCGGTTATACTGAGGTGTGGAACTATAAAGAGATCGTCGCAGTGTCGGCCATCACTGGTCTGCTGCTGGTCTTCAGTGTGGCGGGATCTGTCTATGTCTTCAGAGGAACTTGTGTAAGACATTTGCTGAATGAATATGGACATGTATAACTAGTATGCATTTTAATAAAGTATTATCAATATATTGTTGTTAAATGTTATGGCAGAAGAGTCACATTACAATTTAATTTTTTTATAGAAATATTGCAAACCCCAAAATAACCAAAGTGATGAAAGCAGAAAGGACAGGGAGGAGACGGAAAGTGTTGAACCAGCCCAGTCTACGTCTTTGTATGCTGTAAGAACAGTGTGAATGTACTGTACATTTATTTCAACCTGGATCATAATGTTCATAAATTAGACACCTTTTTCTGTAGAGTCTAGATGCTCGCCCAAAGTCTATCTATGATGTTCTGGACCCAATCGCTGATTCTGCTGCTGGACACCAAGACCAAATGAAAGCCAAAATACCTAAAACAAAGAATTCTCCAAAGATGGTAAGTAATAATACCTTAGGAATGTTCATCTTGTCTTTGGAATTAATTTAGAGTATAACCTCGACATGTTTCGAAATTAGATAAAAAACATTGTTAACTCTCTTTTTTTCTGATATGGAATATAGAAATAACAATGTTATTTATTTTGTTAAACATGATTCAACTGTGATGTTTCCTTACAGGTGAGAGATGCTCCTCAAAACCAAGATGAAGGAATATTTGAATGCGTCTATGAAAACTTTTAATGCAGTAATTTCCTCAATATGTCGACACATCTTACAAGGTTTCCCCCTAGTTTTAGTTAAGTTGGATGTGGAAAGGCAGAGGATGGTTCTGACTGTGGGAGACCTCTGGCAACACCAGGTGCCATGTTGGTGTTGAGGAGTTTGTAATGTTCCAAACTGTCGTTGTTTCCTTAGGCAAGACACACTGTATGAATGTGCGCGTGAATGATTATTGGTGGTCGCATGAGCAGATGGCATAGTAGTTTTTCCTCTGCCAGTCTGCCCCATAGACTGTAGTCTGCCCCAGAGCAGCTGTGGCTACAGTAGCGTTGGTAATTTACCACCACTGTGTACAGAGTGAATGTTGAGAGTGTACAGAACAGTGCTAAATAAAACAATACATTGTTACATTGGTATTGTTGTTATTATTATTACAATTAGTCTTATATTAACCAATGACAACGCACGTTGCTACGTTCACCGTTCGACTGGACCAATGAAAATACTTCCATAACCCGTTACTTCCTGCTTTGCACCATGGCTGCGGAAGGAGATTTTTTGGCGAGATATCGTGCTGTATCCAACAAACTGAAGAAGTAAGACAGTTTTGTTTCTGCGTGTTCTTTGTGACATGACAACAGCTCTTCATCTTTGCTGCTGAATGAAGTTAACTCTTGGTGTTTATCACAGATCGTTAGGTTAGCCTCCGAGGCTAACGCTAAACTGCTCTCCTCAGAGTCGGCCACAATAATTCGTGTTTCAGTCAATGACACTAACGTTGCTGTGTCAATTGAATTAATAAAGCTTAAGATATGTTCATCCAATTTATCGCCATCCTAAAAATCTCTCTTCGTCTTTGCGCTGGTTCCTTATTGTGTCCCGTGATTATTCTCTCTTGCTAATCAAAGCTTTAAATCTCAAGGGCTTTATAAAATGATAATAATCAATCCCTTATTAAATACAACTTAAAATCAGCCTACTAATGTGTTCTCTTATAACTATAGCTGAACTCACACCCTACCGAGTTATAAAGAAAACAGTGTTTTATAATTTATTTATAAAACCATTTATAATTATTTGTATTTACTCATTTGCAGACGTTTTCTCCGGAAACCCAATGTTGCTGAAGCTAGTGAGCAGTTTGGTAAGTATCCATTCTTTCCAGTAATCTAATTACCCCTTCTCGTTGATGAGAGACATATTAAGTTTAACAGTATGTCCCTTTGCTATTATAGGTCAGTTGGCAAAGGAGCTGAAGCAGCAGGACTGTTTGCAATATGCTGCCTTCTGCAATCTGGCAATGGCTCGGTAAGAAATGTCAGGGATATAAATAATATTGGTTTGATTACCACGGAGTGATGGAAAAGTCTGTTGAAAGCAGCTAGTATTTCTGAACAGAATCGTTTATTTCTTTTTTCCCCCATAACTAGTTGACAGATTGCTTCATTTTGTTGCCCACAGATTATTGATAGAAACATGTTTCAACACTATTTTTAAAAAATTGATGTTGGTTTAATGTTGCCAATTCACTTGTTGCTTGCAGGTGCGAGCAGACTCTGTTTAATGCCCCTGGAGAGGCTTTAGCACTAACAGATGCCGCCCGCCTCTTCCTCACATCCGAGAAGGAGAACAGGGCTCTGCAGGCACCAGGTTTTGATGAACACCTCCAGGCTGCACTCAACTGCTACAGCTTTGCTATTAAGGTGTGTGTTACCTCATGCAGATGTGTGGATATTGGTGATGTGAAACCAACATCTGAATTACAATCACATACTTAATGCCAAGTGTGGTTGGGCAGATAATCTGTCATGAGAAACCCAGGTCTTGAATCGTGTGTTTGGTTTGTGCGTACGGTGACCTCATCCGTGTGAGGGTATTCAATGATGCAGCTGCACATATGTTTTGCAGGTGTACATTGAGATGAACCAGCCTGTAATGGCGGCCAGTTTGTGTCTCGAACTTGGGAACGCACTCAAGGTAAAATGTTTCTGTTCAGCTTCTTCAAAGTAAAGTGTTAACATCAACTGATGATTTATTAGGAGATGAACAGACCAGGAGAGGCAATTGTTCACTACCAGAGGGCAGCAGAGTTACAGTCACAAACACCCATTGAGGCCTTGTTGTCAATGGGAGAAATCGCCACTTGCAAAATACTAACACGTATGTTGTGCGCTTGGTCTCTAAAGTTTAATATTACGTTTATTGTTTAACAATGGTTGATGCAATAATCTTTGTTTTAGGTGATTATGATGGTGCGTTATCGGTGTTCACTGAAATGCAGCTCGTCTGTCAGGAGAGAGGACTCCAGCTTCCTGGCTCTAGCACTCCAGTTGGTCAGGCACTTATCATTTATAGATTCACATTCTAATAGTTTCATGTATTTTATTAAATTACTACAATTTCAAATGATAACTCTGTCACAGGTGCCTTTCTGGACATTGTAGCCAAATGCGAGATCTCAAGGGTGTTATTGCTTATGTTTCTTGAGGTATGTTTTGTAAATTTACTAAATATCACTATGAAATTACATGATAAATATGATTAATGTGTCTACTTTCAAATCCATTCAATATAAAGACTTATCAAATCTAAATCTAATCTCAAAGTTAAGTTCAGCACAGTGCTGTAAACATTAATGATTGTCCTTGACTTGTTTCCTATGAAGCCCCCGCCTCAGAAACTACTCCCTGAACACGCGCAAACCCTGGAACGATATGCATGGGAGTCCTTCGACCCACACAGCCAAGGTGCATAAACCATGAGTCGTACACATCTACTGTAAAGCATTATCTATAAAATGGAAATGACAAAACTGGAACCTCTTTCTTTGCCCTTCAGTTACCTTCCTGCCTGAAAACGTCTTCCTGCTTCTCCAATCAGTGGTGGTGAGTGTCATTCTTCAACATTTCTGAGGATTTCCTGATGTTCCTGACTAAAACAGGATGAAGAATGGTCAATCATTATAGGACACAAAATATACAAAGTCTTGGACAAAATAATCTGTTTCTGTATTTTCCTTTTTGTTCTTAATTCAATGTTGTTCTTTTGCAGATGGCTTGTCAGGAAAAAGACACCGAGTCTCTTAAGTCTCTTCAAACAGACCTTTGGTGAGTTAGCCACATGTGTCTTGTTATTTTCCAACAATTTTCAGTGCAACATTGTAATGAGTTTCTGTCCCTTCAAAGGCCATTGTTAACAGCTGAGCAGAACCATCTCCTCCATCTAGTGGTGCAAGAGCGAATTACACCGTCTGGACAAGGCATTTAGGCCCCTCTGATTTTACCGACTTCCTCTGGGAACCATTCTTTATATAATGGAACATTCCTGTTTCTGGCTGGGTCTGTTCTAAGGCCCGATGTTTTTGTCATCTTAATGTTGAAGTTTAGATATGTGCTTTGGCTGAATAGGACATATTAAATTATAATTTATTTTTCATTAGGTTAATGAAAAGTGGTTAGATTTAACATTGTAGTTGAATGTATTTATTTGAAAACCAAGAGCTTTGTTTTAATGCATGTTTTATTCATAACTGATATGGCTTACTCTCCATAATATACACAAACATTAAAAATAGCTGCAAAATGAAACACCAATGTCCTCCCTGGTGTAATGTTGGTTCTAGGTTTTAGTGTAGCTCATATACATGCATAAAGCCAATACAAACAAACATGGTAAATTGAGCAATACAAAAAAGATTATGGTTCTATTATACATAAACTCAAGAATACGACACTAAATTATGTAACAATAATAAATCTGCTTACTACTAAATGTAAAGGCTTTTCTCCTGATTGTTCAAGTACTGTACACAATTACATGGATGTGATTGTGCCGACACTGCTCGGTGTTTACTGGACGCACAAAACACACTACGTGATTACTGTCAACACAACCCATTTCATGTGTTATTCCCAAACTTTTCACACCGGGACTGCCACAAAAGCCACGCCAACCTCCAAGGTCACGGGCCCAGATGTAAAGTATGTTAATTATGTCTCAGATAAATACTTGCCTTTTTTATAGGTTTTTAGTGAATTCATTTTCAATTAAGACATTTTCTTAAATGTCATGAGTCTAAAATGATAACACCATGTAAGGGTAGCCTATTCCTCGTAAACTGCTCTCCTTTAGACTACTTCATGCAATGTTTTAGGTCTGATATCAGCTACATGTTTTGCTTGGTTATAGCTACATTTTACATAATTATTACTGTGTAGCCTCAAATAGCTATTTATAAACTAAACAAAAGCTTTACCATATGTTTGAAAAAAATCTAAAGAATTTCCCAAAGTATACAATTTGAGCCTCTTCTTCAATTCACTCGCTCTTTTTCCGTAAGACAAAGTAGGTGATTGCTAAAAGAACGGTGAAGACAAAAGAGATCCAGGCCAGAACGTAGGAGTGGCCGTAGCCTCCCTCCGTCTCCTTGGTGTGAAACTCAGCCGTGTAGATCGAGGCTGCTATCATTATGCACAGGCCTGAGGAGACAAGAGAATACTGTCACACACACCCAGGCATCTAAGAAGTCATTATTGTTTTAACTCCAGGCTCAGCACACAGGGAAATATAGAGCAGAGACGCCTGGGCTATTATTATGACAAATGACAGCTTCACCTTGGTCATTTTCCACTGATATCCATTTATGACAATGAGGATCTCTGTAACCGCACATGTGCCATCTACGTACCATTAATAATCAGCGGCTGTGACAGCGCTCTCCCCTCACAAAGCCAGTCTGTCTTGTTTCTGAATTCCTCACATACCGTCCAATATTTTTAATAACCATATTATGACTTTTAAATATGGATTTATTTTGCAGTCTTGTGAAATCATTTCGTATGGAGGCAGAAGTATGAAACTATGAGTGACTAACAGTTATTGTTAAAGCTTTTACATTTTGAGGAAATATATAGTAATCTTATGGCCTTAAGTCCAATCACAATTGAATAATAATCTGGCATTGTATTTTTTGTTTGTTTAGTTATGCAGATAAAGTAGGCTTTGAACTTGGTTTCTCTTTTCGCTTCATGGAGATAATGTAAGATAGGATCATAACCATAAGGTCAACAAATCACACCTGTCCACTAACTCAATATTAATTTCAAAGATTTATAGAGGCCTCACAGACATGAGCCTATTGTTGAGCATGTTTGTAACATGTAAATGAAATAGATATGATCTATTTCCTTGCTCAAGTGAATCTATAAAAACAAGTAAAACTACATAGTGTTCTGGCAGATGCTCCTGATTACTCACTGGAGATAGCTTGTAGAATGCCAGTGAAGGTGAACCTCTGGCCTTTGGGAAGAGTGAAGAGCTGGGCAACAAACACAAACAAGGCCAGTATAGCGAAAATGCAGGCGAGCACCGATGTGGCCTGAACGGTCTGGAGAAATTCTGCATGTACAAATGACACAGAAACTTATCAGGTCTGAGATTACAGCAGCACACGCACACTTCAACAATACATTACTCACAACAAGGAACATCATTTGAATAGTTGTAGTTTACCTTCTGGATAGTTTTTCAGGTTGGTGTAGTGCCAGACTTTGTTGGTCATCTCCCATCTGCCCCACAGGTCAGTGGAGACCGCATCAGAGATCCACCAGGCCTGTAAAGACACACATCGGATTTGTTAAATTGTTGCATATAAGTAATTAATCCAGTGTGTTCAGCCTACTTACTACATGCAAGCAGAGTTTAGGTTGGATCAATAATACCATGTCAGTTGTGTTATTTACTACAGTCACTCACATTATCAATAGTGGCCACCAGCAGCAGGATGATGGTGGTTATGTGCAGGAGGACGATTCCACCCAGCATCAACATTGTGGCCCTGTGAAACTGATAAGAAAGCGGAAGGATGCACAACATTTATTTATTCCTATACACAAGCTTAATCTTTGACTGTTATGCACACATCTGCCCGCCACAAAACAATACTGTTCCAAAAAACGGGGGGAATGCAAAGAGGGGGGTCTTCTGCGTGCAAGCCTCTACTCGCCCATGAGCGTCCCTGGCATTTAGGAATAACTGCATAGTGGCCATTCTCTTGACACAGCAGCTCTTTCCTGAGGTGTAGCACAAATATGGCACCGTAGTAGCATGCCTGTAACTCGTAAGTGAAAGCAAATGGCTTTTAAAGAGCTCGCAAAACATATCCGTGACTTTAGTTTTATGGCTGTAGACTATTTCCGTCGACAAGAAAGACGCGTTTGTTTGAGAGGTGTTGGAGGGTCTCACCCGGGCCCTGTCCTACACCAAATAACAACTTTGAAAAGAGCGCGAGAACACGAGCAAATATGTAAATCTTTATTCAAAGTTATCCTATAGCTATTTACGCATATAAAAACAACTGCACATGCCAATACTATCTACACAACAAAACTGCGCGTCTTTTCAAACTTTCTGGCGCACTGGGACATAGCAAGGGCGCTTTCCCAAACGATGCTGTAATTTGACACTACTTTAAAAAACTTTACACCACATAACACAAGCACAACGCAGTGTTCAAGCTTAACCTCCACCCAGCTATGTGTAATTGTCCAAATTGCTACTGAGGAGATAAAAAAGTTACCTGAATGCGCTTTTACGCACGAGACGTGAGTTCTCTGGGAATGTGAAACACGGTAGACCCACCCAACTTTGAATTCACTGCACACACATCATTCCGTTTTCCCTCTCCATTCCCTCTTTACCCCTAACCAGGCCCCACCCATAAAGTACAAAAAAAAAAAAACTTCCTTCAAATGCGCTAAAGTTAAACTGTAGTAACTGGTTCAGGTTCAGGACGCGGGCTGCGTTTATGAGCACAAACAGATTCATATGCATAGAAGTTTTTCCTTCATCTTTAAAGTTTTGTCATCTGCCTTCCCTCCCTGAGGCGGCACATAACAGATTCTCTCAGCCTGTTGTGCGCAACCACGGCGACAATGACTTTTATTTAGAGAGCCCTGTATTAGACACTGCAGCCTGATCTCTTTTGCAATTACATGTTTAAGCTTTTCATTGGTGGAATGCATTTTATACATTGCAACATTTTCCATAAATCAGGATAACTGGTGGCGTCGCCCGCCCCTGAAAGCTTGATCCAGGCAGATATCATGAGCTAAGCATGGCAGAGCATGGATACAACTGTGATGAGAGACTTATGGGAACATCCGGTGCCACAGTGAGACGTTGTATCCTCAGGCAAGATTATAAACTGTAACAACACGTCGCCAGTTGCCTTGTGTGAGTACATTGCATTGTATTATTATAAAAAAAGTTATTATTGCAGCATTAAACCTGTACCTCAACTAAAATCACTGTATTATTAAGTAAAATTATAATTAAACAATCAAATAATACATTATACATACTAAACTAGTGTGAGACATGGGTCATTTGTGTGGGTTGATGATGATACACTTATACGGATTATCTCTCTGCCTGTGACATGTGGACTGAGTGATGCTCTAAATGTAATCTTTTGTTACTTGTGACAAATACCCAGATAAACTAATCACAATATTCCTGTTTTACACTGGTAGATACACCAACCAGTGTCTTTTTTCCATTTTATTTCAATCTCCAAAGAAATAATAACATATATGTCATGTTAACGATTATAAGTTAGACATATTTGATACTGAAATAAATGAGAAATTGTGTTCAATAGGAATCCAATCCAATGAGGCCATAGTTGCATGTCTTGTTATTGACTCCTTTATATTTATTTCCTTGTGCCCATTAACATGAGTAAAGTTATCTGCACTGAAGCCTATATAAAAGTAGATATTGTAATAACATGTTAGATACCTCGGCCCGTATGACACTGACCATTGCCATGAGGATAGTGCAGTGTAGTACAGCGGTCTCCAGGTCCCCAAAGGATTTAGAATTTAACATTATGATCTTGAATGATTCACTTTTGAGTCATTACACGTCTATTATAAGCATGAAAAGAGGGTTATACAGTTTTATGTTTTTTTTTTTTACATATGTTTTCTATGTTTTGTCATAATAATTACACACATTTCTATTATGACTGCAAAAAGAATTCGCTCTCTGCCTCTTTTGATGTAAAAAAAGTAGCTCTCCGAATAAAAAAGGTTGGAGACCACTGGCGTAGAATAATCCTTCCCATCTTGCCTATAATACATGCATGTAAGTAGAGAATTTTTTTTCTTGTGGTTGGTAGGAGCATACAACATAAACGGCTCGCTTCCATGAGCTCTTTGTCAATGGGTCGAACAGTTATTATGAAACGACAGTGCCAAGGTCCCCAGCAGAAACCCAATATTTCCTTTTGTGTGAATAAATTGCAACCAAAGTTCAGCCGGCTGAACAGTAATAGAGCTATTAGAGAAAGTGCTGCAGTAATTCAGATATGGAACCCATTGTGGACATATTTCTTCCAAAGAGAAGGCAAGAGTGCAGGCTGTACATGTGAATGTGTGGATTGATTTCTTTACGGATGACCATGGCTGGTTGGTCATGTCTCTGGTGAGTTGGGGAGATCTCTTGTAAATTTCTCCATTGTGAGATCAATAAAGTTTGATCTGATCTTCTTCCACATCTCTGCAGGACACACATAAACCTCTAGCTCCTCTCACTGCTCTGTTGCCAGGTCTGACGAAAAACAGCTAGAACAGATGGGAGCAGTTATAGATACCAGCTTTAATTATTATCAAATATTATCAAGTGGTTGTCACTGTTGTGGTCGCATGTGTTGGTGACCTCCGCATCATTGTAACTAAAAAGTTATTGTGTTGTAATGAAAACAAACACAACATGTTTTGGGGGAAAGTTACTCCATGAGCAGAAATGGGGCCCCTTCAAAAAAAGAATTAAAGGGTGAGCAGTACATCCAGAACCCTCAGGGAACAAGCCTTCGCTGCAGGTGCCCCCACTCCCTGGAACTTGGGCTTAAATCATAACTTTAAATCAGTTCTAAACACTAACTTGTTCAAAACCACCAGGACATGAATGTTTACCTGTTGTCCATTCCATTGTTAAGCATCTTTGTATCATGTCTTATAATTAATGATTTGTACCCCTGCCCCAAATGTTGTACCCCAGATAGTGCGCTGTGTATATAAGTATATTTCAATTCTCTTTGATTTAGACACCATGGTTAGGGATCGCAATTAATCGTTAGTCTAGTTAGAGCAAAATTATAACTAATTAACAACCCTAGGAGTTCCTGCCAATGCTCAGTTGGTAGAGCATTGGCCTTTGAGCTAGAAGGTGATGGGTTTGAGCCCGCACCTCAAGACTTTCACCATCGACTCCCACTGTCTTCTGTCGTTGTGTCCTTGGCAAGACACTTAACAATTCACCCACATTGCCTGGAATGAGTCTGGTGTGTGTGTGAATGGTTGGTGGTGGTCGGAGGGGCCGATGGCACATACTAGTTGCCTCGCTTCTGTCACTGTGCCCCAGGGCAGCTGTGGCTACAGTAGTAGCTTATCACCACTGTGTAAAGCGTCTTTGAGTGTCCAAAAAAAGCGCTATATAAAACAGATGCATTATTATTATTATGTCATTATGTCACTAAAGGATACTTCTGAAGAAGTTCTAAATCAATCAATCAACTTTTACATATAGAGTGCCTTTCCTATACAAGGCAACACAAAGCGCCTCACAACCCATATCACATCAAGCATAAATCATACACTTTAAAATACATATATATATATATTGTATTATGAAATAATACAATTAAAATCCCACAGGGCATTAAAAACACACATAACTGTTAAAAACACCAACACAGTTCACACCGTGCACTTAAAATTTCAAAATCATACATGGGATCAAAAGCATACATCATAAAAGCCACAGTTCACTAAAAAGAGTAAAGACAAAATCATTCAAAAAGTTTTCGTAATGAGGCAATGCACATACCACAGACAAACGCTACCAGACATATGCTACATGTTTATGTTGCCAATGGCTGCAGATTTGATACATCATTGTGGATAAAGAAACTATACGTGTGCGTCCGTCACTTCCTCAGACCATGCTGTGCTGTGATTGGTCCAATGGCTGCATCCTAATTGATCACAGGTGCCGCCTTTCGCGCGCACGTGAATGGAGCATCACCCCAGCATGTCTGGCGAAAAGAAACGTCAAATAGCTTTATTTATTGCAGCTATTTACATGTTTATACATCATCCCTGTCACTCGGTGAGTTTGGGGAAGTTCGACGAAGATTCTGGCTATGAAGCGACCGCGCCAAAGTGGATTCGACTTGAACCCCAGAAGTATAATCTTTTGGCAGATAGTAAAACCACCTCTGAGCAAACGTACAAAAGTGGAAGAGTACAGTTAAAGAATGACGGGCTTCAGTTGCCTTACCTGGAGGAACAGGCTCTTTCGCGATACTTTGAAGATAATGGCCTCACATTAAAAAGCGTCTCGTGGAATATAGGTAATGTGAGCAAGCATCAGCATTCTCCTGGATACAAGTCCAAAACATATCAGTCCGACCAAACCGGTAAATACACTAGATTTAGGAATACATCTCTGACAGCATTCCTGATTTGCATGTAATTTATATCCTTTAAGGTTTTCGTCCGGTCCCAGGGGAAATCTCGGATCTTTCTGACAATACTCATTTGTCTGATTGGTTGGCTATGACACCTTCGCTACAATGTGATCAAAATGTCATGACCTTCACTGCCTCTGGAGGAGGATTCACAAACCTGTTTGTAGGCAGTGGTAAGGTTTACTTCGACTAATGACAAGATTCTGTAATGTTATATAAAATAAACCTGCTCAAATGTATCCTTTAGAATGTTAATGTATGTATCGCACAAGTGGTAAAGGACTGTAATCTTTGTTTATAAGGAAATGTGTGCATTTTTTCATGACACGTAATTGATGTCACAGATGAAGGTGTATCTATCTCACTCTTTGACCTACCCTCCCTCTGCGGTTACACTGTGAAGACTTCATGGGGTGGTCTCGAGCTGACGGTGCCATACGATTCGTCATGTTATATTACACAAGAGGTAAATAACACATTGCTCATAACACATTTCTGCTTTACACTGTTCAAAGTCAGGTGTCCACATTGCGATTTCTCTCATACACAGGTTTTTTAATTTTCCCCAGACATGTCCCTGACCATATTGACCAAATTATACCATGAGTGAGCTCACCTCCCCACATGTTTTCTCTTGTCTCATGATAGAAATTAATTGATTAATTGACCAGAGCGCCTGGAAGTTTATTCTGATTCCTTCAGGTTTGTTTTTTCAGACAGAACATAATCAGGATATGGTTTATGTAGTCAACGTTTACGTCACACATACGTCATACATGGTAAAACAAAAGTGTCACATCAAGAGACAATCAGAAAATAACGGACACACAATCACAGCAGATCCTGAAAGTTCACAAGTATAACTTTTAGTTCAGAGTAAAAATAACAACGCACATGAAGAGATCACAAACATTGTTTTCCAACGTATTGTTTAGCCCTAATGGTTAGGATTTTTGCCTTTCCTTCTTTGCAAAGTAGGTTTGGACACATAACGTTTTCTTGAGGGGAAGGAGATATTTTAAATAACGCTTTATTGCTTACTATCTTAGGATGGTAAAGTTGTCCTTCCACTGGAATGGTGGGGCAGTCCTCTGAAGCTGTCCTGTCCCATCTGGAGACCCTTACCAGCTCCCACTGTGTACTGCTCTCCCAATGGTATGGTGCTTCACATTGTTGGTCAGAAGGAAGATTTGCCAACATTGGGATTTAAAGGTAAAGTGTTCAGTGTTTCCTCATTTATTCAGGAAAACTAAATGGTAAATGTTTTCCTATTGTAGTGGAAGGGCGATGGGGACCACTGGTGACTGATGAGTGTGCTAGTCTTGTTATTGCCCACCCAGGGGAGATTTTCTTGTTCATATTGACCTCGGCCTTATGTATTACCGTTGAAGTAAGTCTGAATATTAGGACCCGGTTGCAAGTTATGGTTTTTAATGATTTTTTAAAATATATTTTCAGCATGGAGTGCACTTATGGCTTGTCATGGACGAGCTGGAATACACTGTGTCCTGTCCCGAATTCCCTCATGTTCCTCCGTTATCTCCTTATGGACCGGTCACTCCTGCTCCTCCATCTTTCCCTCCTTTTCTGACTCTGCAGACGTTGAACCCCATCTACCTGAATGCAAAACTCCCTCACATCCATGCACCACAACCTCTCCAGTCTAAGCAGCCCAGTGCGGGGGCCCCTCCTGGACCTCATCCACTGCTAGATAAGATTTTTTCACAATTTATTCCATCACCTCAAGAACCAAAGAACGTGGAAAACAATATTTTTATATCTCCTCCACGTTTCCCAAACCCTAAAGATCTCTTGATTAACCATTATGTTAAACCTACAGTTCCTCAAAATACAGGCCTCTTTCTGAACGCTAATAAATTCCAAGTACTTCACCATCCTGCACAACACGCAACCCAAGCTCCACATGTTCCCCCGAAAATCCTTGGCTCCCCAATTCACTCTCATTTCTTTCCTCCATCACAGACAGATGATTCAGACGATCCATATCTGTTTCATCCTCCAAAATCAGTTAATAGACTTGTCCAACCACCATCCGTTGCACCTTCGTACCTCCCCCAATCCGTTCATGAACCTTATATTAAGCATTGCTCCCCTTATGAAGGCATGGTGTGTTCCTATTACCGCAATCCATACTATTCACACCACCCTCATCATCCGCCTCCCATCTATCCCCCCGTTTCCCCGACTCAACCCCCTTCACAGGAAGTCCAACATTATTGTCTCGCGGACCGGATACTTGTGCGTCTACCATTTGCGCATCAAGACTCTATACAGGTTAAAGGTGGGGGAGAATTTGGCTTTATTTGTCAGATCACAATTAGGCCTGTCACAGTCATTGCTAATATCACATAACGCAGTAACATGGATGAAACTTTATATTTTTCCCCTCAATATATATTGTTTGTATATATTTTGAAATGGTAATGAGAAACTATGTCATTTTAGCTATAGAGGGTACAAAATGGCTAAATATGACCATTTCTGCAGCTTATTGTCTCAGTACATGCCTTTTTCAAATTTCTTCACATCCTGCTATATAGAGCATACTAAGTTTTGATCATCCAAATTCTTTCTGACAGGCCTAATCATAATAACCCACAAGGCGCTTATCATATTTTCCTTTGAATTGCCAGATCCAAAAAACTTGTGGCAGTTAATTTCCAAAGTTTCTCCATTTTGTTGGTACAATCTACATTCGTTTGGAGATGGTGTAATCCTGTACACCCCTCTGCCTGGTTGTCACACACACAAGGTAAATAGTCTTCTGATTTTGTCCGTCGAGTTCAGAAAGTCTATTGGCACAATTTCGAGCTATACAATCTGAAACTGTTGCTGCTTTTTCACTCCAGGGAGGGATTTGTTGCAGTAGTCAGTACATTCACAGAGGAGAATTTGAGCTTTACCATTCTGCCTCTATACAGTATATAATGAACTTATTATTTGCCTTTGTTGTTATTTTATCTCATAACCGTGTGCAAATTAGCAACAGAAGATACAATGTTAACCTATTGTGTTACTTTTGCCTTTTCTGTCAAGCCGGACTCTTCCATTTCATTGTCTCTGCGGTTTTGGGACTTGTCTCTTGGCCGCATCAGAACCGTGGAGGTGCCCTGCCCTCTCACGACCCCAGCTCCCCCTCCCTACACACCACCTCCGTACACACCACCTCCCTACACACCACCTCCGTACACACCTCCTCCATACAGACCACCTCCGTACACACCTCCTCCATACAGACCACCTCCATACTCACCTGCTCCTCCGTTCACCCACAAACCTGAAGTGCACTGCTCTCTTCATCACATGACTGTGATATTTCCTTCTGGGACCAGTCTGGAGCTCTTTGTCAAAGGTACAGTTTGTGTATTTATATATTTACTTACAATACTTGTAGCGGCCAAACTTGCCCTGTGTACTAATACTAATTATGTACAGGTGTTGTAGTGTGGAGGCAAACATCTTTTTACCGTCGTCTGTCACCTCTGTTATAGTGTATTTGGAAAGCAATAAACACTTGTGAACACAGTATTTAGCCTTTTCATGGTGAGAGACACGCGTCCGAGACGCCATCAAACACTACATCCAGAGGACCTTGCACAGGGCAAGTTTGGCCGATACAATACTTAACGTTATTTTTTATATATGTCCTTATTTTATAAACTATAAAGAAGTGCATAGTTCTGCATAAAACATCTTGGCCCTGTGTCTGAACTTTGCCATAGTCCATGTTTTTCTGGTTGCAATAAAGACCCACCAGTGACAATTCAATATTTCAGTTCCAAGATCTATAAAAATGCTGTAATTGCACATTGCTTGGGTGCTTTGAGTAGTAAAACTTTACACACTAGAAAAAATTGTATATCATCTCACTCTACTTAAATGTATTTGGGCCCAATTGTTTTCCACTGACTTTTTTTTTAAATGTAAATTTTCATTTTTCATTATAGATTTGAGTGGGAACAAGATCAATCTCCGGGACGTCTCGAAGGACTGCGGGCATTCTGTGAGCCTCGGCAAAGATGGAAAGGTCCATTTGCTCCTCCCCCTGCATCTGCGTTGTCATGTGACTTTGCAGGCAAGTACCTTCTCTGGCTTCACGCTGAGAAATAACCTTTCATTCTATTGTACTCAACACCTCATGTAAAAACATTGTCTACCGGAAGGGTTCGTTGTTCTTCATCACGGTCGTGTATACAACATTTCATGGGACAAAAGAGGCTCAATTGTCCTGTTCAAGGAGCGACGTCCCAACAACTCATCATGGTACTTTTATTTAGTTGAATGTTCCTTGAAAGCTTGTGTATGCTTGACCTTTGTCGTGCTGTCCTTCAGAGTGCAACCTTCCTCCAGAGCATCGCCTCCCCTGTGGGCTGGGCTCAGTCTCTCAACCACAGTGTGTTTCTATGGGCTGTTGCTTTGGAAAACACCATCCTGCCTGCTACTACCCCATGGACGGTGAGCTGCATTCAATCTAATCCACTTTATTCCTACAGTACTTTCAAAATGATAAATGGTACAGTTTTTCCAATGTGGTGCACACATTTAAGTATGGAAATAGTTTGAATTCCACAGAAAAATAGGGACTTCCAGGTAGAAATGTGTCACACGAGACACTGCCATTGAGCTCCAGTCTTCACAGCCATTTTGAACACCTTCCTGGAGTCGTGCCACGTCTCAGCCTGCTGCAAGTCCCCTGTCATTGTTCCTGTTCCCTAAAAGATCCGAATCACTGGACATTAAATGAGTACAGACCCAGGTCCAAGTCCTTCTCCTCTATCCTCCTGGACCCCCCAGATAGAGCCCACAGATCTGAATCAGAATCTCTCAACATAAGTGTCTTCCCCTCGGCCGCTTATAATCATCACTTTAGGCCTTATTATATCATACCTCAATATCTGCACTGTTAAATGTCTGCTGTGTGTATTTATGTATTACGATTTTATTAAGATTTTTTTACTCAAGCCTTTATCCATTTTTACTGGAATTACTTGTTTGCTCCATATACCAAAGCAAATTCCTAGTTTTTGACTTCCTTTTACTTTCTAATAATAAAAATAACTAGAGCAGGAAGTAGAGCAGAGTGATATGTTGCTAGTGACATCATGCCAGTTATAAAGTCTGAGTATATTTTGTCAAACTAATGAGTACATTCAAGATGTTTTGTCCCAGTTTTAGACTCATCTCTAGATCATTGTATACATCCAGGAAGTGACATTATAAATATAAAAATATGGAGCAAATTGGGTGGAAATTTGTGAAACGCTTCCAGCCTCTCTGTCCGTTTTGAGAACCAAAATTGAAACTCATAGAAATGAATTATTTAAAATGAGGATTTTCACATAAATGTCAATGTCTTGGTTGTGACTGGTTTTATTTCTGCAGAGTGCACTGCGGACAGACACTTTGTCTTCTCGGTGCCTGCTTTCCTCACGGAGCCACCTCTGTCTCTCACTTCTCTTGTTGCTGGGGGCAACCCGTCCTGCACCCCTCAGAAAGTAACGTCAGACGAACGTGCTTTGTTTAAGGTGCCTATGGACGCCTGTGGAGCACGTAGAATGGTAAACTTGTATTATTATCATTAATAAAGTAATGTTTATAACAAACATAATTTAAGTACCTTCTGTTCTGTGTTACCAGCAAGTCGGAAAAACGCTGATCTACATTTTAGAAGTCAACAACATAGTTAAAAGTGTCAGCCTCAACTATGGCACAATCACAAGAGACTCCCCTGTTCGGTCAGTGCACAGAGATCTGAAAACCACAAATTTAGCACAACATATTTTAATAATGGTGTTTTTTTTTGCTCCAGACTTTTGGTGGAGTGCAGATTTCTCCCAGGCAGTGCACTTACTGTCAGCTATATGGTCAAAACGCCAACTTTGGGACCTGGTATTCAAACTCCAGGAGTGTTTGGAGTCCAGATCAGGATCGCTAAGGGTAAGTCAGACGCCTTGCAGTCTCACAGCTGTGCAATAAACCTAATCTGCTCTTCACGTCAGATTCCCAGTATAAGAGCTACTACCCACAGTATCACCAGCCTCTGCAGATGTTGTTGGGTAAACCGCTTTACCTGGAAGTGCGATTGCTCAACTCCCCTGATCCCAGCTTGGTGCTGCTGGTCCACTACTGCGTGGCCTATCCTCGCTCTGGGAAGGCCATCTGGGTGTTGCTTTATAACGGGTAGGCAATGGTTGTAATAAACAGTAAACAAAGATTGTGTCTAACATACTATTTACACTCTAGATGCCCAAATCCACTGGATCCTCAGCCGAACAAGATCATCTCAAATCCTGAAGTTCCAGCTCGTGCTCAAACTCGTCACTTCACAATCAGCACATTCCAGTTTCTTCCTGATGGAGAGTTTAAGGATTCAAATGAAGAGGTGAATATAACACCCCGCTCCCATCTCTGTGTGGAGTGAGAGGACAAGTGCCCAAAAAATAACCATTGTAAACAGCTTTGTGACTCTGGTTTGTGAAAGGCAGTTTATAAATAAAGATTACTTACTATAACCCAGATACATTATTGAAGAGTTTTTAAGGTCTTTAACAATTACTAGTATTTGCTTGTAGGAAGTATGTATATGGATCTCAGTCAAAAATGAATGCACACCAGATGTAACCATTTTTTCAATTTGCCACATGCTTTACCAACTGAGATAGATTTAGGCAATTAACACATTTTTAATTATTTATGGATTATTATGATAAGGAGTTGCATAAAGTAAATGGGATCACATAATGCATATTCTTTTCTATTTCAGATCTACTTCATGTGTTCTACTGAAATTTGCTCTCCGCGGGATGGCCCGTGCGTTGAGGGGTGCTTTGGTCAATGACGGTGAGCAATGATACTGTATTTGTATGTGTTCCCATATATACTCAATATGTTCATAGCGTTTTGCATTTTGTGAAAAAAAATATAGGTGCCACTGTTGTTGTATGGCAAAGACTAAATGATCTTTTGCCCTGGGTTCAGTGTTTATAAGCTATGGACTTGTGACAGCTGCGGGAAAGGGAGGAGAGTTGTTTGAAACCATGTGTGCGTTTCACTAAACGGGAACATGTCAAAATAATCAGTAATGTCAGCCCACAGTGTACCCAGAACTCCCGGGAAACTGCATTATATGGAGCTAATCAACCAGAATATAAGTAATAGATAACCATTTTCAGATATATTTTTACAGGGGAAAACTTTATAGAAAACAGAACAGAATCATAAGAGCTTTACTGTCTGTCATTATGTAAGTGTTGCCCCTTGTGTAAATTGTGTGTAATGTTTATAACGCCACCTGACTCGCATGTAAGCATCGGGCTGTAAAATAGTTTGGTTTTATTGCTACATTTGGTCGTAGTACAACTCCTCCCCAAGGCAGGTCAAAAGGTGGTTTGTTTTAACCCGCCACCTCGCCTCGCTCGGGGCAGGACTCTCCTGAAGATGCTAACATCTCAGCGGGACTATCCTGCTTCAATAAATCAAATGAAACCTCACTTTCAAATTGATTACCACAATGTATTTGCTTGGACTCAATATAGTTAACTTTGGATTTTGGTAAAGTAACAATTACAAGTAACTAGCTGGAAAACAGTTACATCTTTGTAGTATTTCCCAACTACATTCAGAACACGTAAAATAAGCGTAAATTAAGTAGGTAAAAATCATAACTTCAGACTTTTTACTGCTGTGTGAGTGGCTTGGGAAGACAGAAGGAGAATAATTTAATAATGAGGATTGTTTTAAATTATTAGTATAGATTCATTTCCTGTTTTTCAGTTACGCAGAAGACGCTTCGTGTTGGTAGAAATCATGAGCTGGTAAGTTCTTGCTCTGTCGCAACTACTGCATTAAACTAATGATTGTTTTTAAATTTTAGGTCTCACCATTTTACCAACAATAAAATGTGTTTTCATTAAAGTGTTTGATGTTTATTAACTTCTTACATTTGCACTCGGTCTACGAGACAAGAGAATTGTATTTCATTCGTTGGTCAGAATTATTGGCCAGGATGGACCACTCGCAAAAAAAGATCAGAGGTGATACTGAAAAACATCTGTGAAGAAACTTTGTTACAGTGTAATAATCTCCTAAAAAGTATTTTTTCTCTTTAACTAGCCATCTCCCAATGGTAGTATGTGGCCACTGGGTGTCATCCTAGCAATAAAAATCCAATAGGAACACTGGGTTCTCCGTTCTGCATGACATTATGTGACCGGGGCTATGTTAAGGCTTTGGAAGTCGGTCACGAAATCGCAGTGACTTGTAAACGTGTGCTTGTGACTGAGTGCGGTCGTCCCCTGCACGCCGACCTGTAAAAGCGGTCCGTGTTATTGGGTAATCCGCGTCCAAATGTCAGCGATTGCTTTGGGGATGCACTCCGGGAGCATGACCGCCTCAGACCCCTGTTATACACACACCTCCCTCCAATGAAATGTATGGAGCACTGCGGCACTGCGTTTGTTTGCAGCCTGCATGTCTGCGTTCAAAGGGAGAGCGGAAGATAGGAGGAGGGGAATGACTACACCAAGAGGGTAGGAGGAGGCACTGAGGACAATTTCCTTTCTGTAACACGCTGCAAGAACACACCGGGAAACGCAGAGAGGAAAAATATTAGAAAAGGCACAAGGAAACTGCAACTTCAGGCGAGATCGGCGTCTCTTAAAAGCAAAGTAGCGGACTATGGGGGCAAACGCCAGCTCTTGACGAGGATCTGCTCTGTAGTGAAGCTCTGCTGTGTGGCACAAGTCTGGCTGATACAGAGGAAAGGCAAAGGGAAGACATGTTGAGGGGCTTTTCATCTTAAGGCTGCGGTAGGATGTTCATGTTCTCTTACAAAAACGCCCCTTAAGGAAAGAAATAGGGCAGAGGGAAATAACCCGGTAGATTATGCGCAGTAGCCAATGGTTTGACCGACGTTTGAAATAATTAGTTTGTTATGAGCTGGAAAAACGTAGGCCTCAGAGGCAACCCGCAGTAAATAAACACGGTCAGCAAGCGGGCTCATACTGACACTACAGTTTGTTGAAGCCTCTGAAGCTGCACAGCCCGTGTATTAGGCTGTGCTTTCTGCAGACCGGGTCTCCCTGTGTGCTTGTCTAGTCTGTTTATTAATGCACTGAATAACATTTGAACTCTGGGCTAATACTAAGGCCCCGCGAACACAGCGTCTCTAAAGTGTTGCAAGAACATTCATCCTGCTTCTGCTCCTTTTGTTGGCCTATTTTCCGTGTAGATAGAAACCACACACGCGATTTATAAATGTTGATGTCGACCGACGTAGCCTCCATCATGCTGCCTGTTTCTCGGGCTCTGTTGGACCGAGAGAGAGAGATGGACCCCCTGGCAGGTGTGCACCAAAACCCCGGTGTTCCTCCTGCGGCTGTGCGGGGAATGAAGCGAGGAGACCCGGAGCCGGACGGGCAGACGGCCGCTGCTCTGCTGGACACCGTGTCTGGAGCAGAGTGCAAGCGCCCGCGGATGGATGGCACTGGGGGTCTGGGAGATGTCGGCCAGGTGAGCTCCTTCTGAACCACGTAGCACTGATAGTCTCTGGTTTGTGACACTAATGGCTATTGCTTGACATAATGTGATTCTTTGTAAATCATTCATGAATGTTCTATTTGTGTTGTTTGTTGCCACATGTTATAGCCCCCCCATGTACATGCTCCTGGGTATCTAACAGAATCTTTGTTTACAAAATTAGTCTCTAATATTTGCTGAAAAATAAATTCTCTCCCCTAAATAAAATGTAGCCCCATGTTCAGGGTACATTCCAGACCTCTTGGTGGGGCAATCCTGTTTAAAATGCTCATAACATTTATGCAGTCACATCTGAAATGTGCAAGTCTATCAGTTCAGAGAGGGACATGGAAATGACTGAGTGGCCTTTTCTTATTCATCCTGAGTCCTCAGAGCTAATCTTTCACCTCAGGTGAGAAGGAAATCCTTGTGGAGCTAAGTCATGCAAAAATACTGAAATTACACTGTAGTGCAATAAGTGTATTGTACCCCAATGTTTGATCTCTGGAACCCAGCTGGCTTTTGGCAGGAACAAAGATTTGTTCTGTTTGTAGCAAGTCATCAATCTCCAACCCACTAATAGCGATTATATTGATTTTCTGGACAGTTTTAATTAACACTTGCATATGTTTTTTACTCTGGTTCATTAAATTCACCAAGACTGCTGGGCAGTATACACATGGTAATATATAATGGAGGATGAGAGGCTCCACTGAAGTACTCAAGCTATTTCTTTGCTGTTGAAAGTGCCCATAATGGAGGTGGAGTGGGCCATTTGCTCCTGTTGGAAACCTAAACGAGTGGGGTTTACGTGGCCATGCTGTTGGTGTGTGTGTGCTGACAGGCAGGCAGGGAGTGTAATGCACTTTTAAACACACGCACTGGATGAGTGCGTTTGTGTGTCACAGTGAAATGCCGATCAATAGCTTCAGCCTCTAAAATGTATTGAACGTAAGCTGGCTGGACAGTCCGGAAATGAGAGTGGGAGAGACCCCCCCCCCCCTTTCTCCCCACTCACTGGGTTTGCGGCAGAACCAGATTTGGCCTATCACTGGCAGTAAAGAGGCTTTGTTTCCAGCTAATGGGATCACATCTCAAACTGGAGGGGGCATTCTATCCACACTGATCTGAGATCCTTATCTAAGGCAGAGGATTTATGCAACACACATGACTGCGACAAAGTTCACCATGAAATCATCCAACACTCTAAAGCCCACATGCTGTTTATGTGACATCTGACTATTGACCATTTGTCGAATCCTTATTTATTGGCACAGCTGCATATTATTTAGGCATATTTTGTAATACGGCTGACGGGTTTAGTTGAGATCCTCCTGATAATTGGACCTTTCAAACAGGACTTTCTGTTGACAAAGAAATGGTGTTCCCCTGCTTCAGTAGTAGAATTCAGAATAAATATTGAGCAAGGAGGTGAGGATTATTCCATATTGTGTTGAGGATTAAAAATCAAGTGTTCGATTTAATTATGACAGCCGTTTTTGGAGAATCGGTATATAACTCAACACTCTAATTCCCCCATGTTTACCAGAATATTTTTTGCAGAACATTTTACGATTGCAGCTCCTCCATATCAGGAATACAACATGCCTGATGGTGTTATCACCAACCAAATCATTTATTTTTTGTTATTGAATAGGTATCGTATCAGAAACTACTGAAATATGTATTTACTATATTTACATTTTATGTACATTTGTAGGGAATGGTCAAAATTGGGTTGTGTGGAGCAAATTGGCTGAAGAATTGGTATTTTATTTAGTTGTCAAGGAAAGTTCTTGGTTTTTTTTACATTTACATGCATTATTTCTAGTGCTTTAGATGTAATATGTATGGTATGTACCACCAGATAAGTTGTAGGGACACTTCTGTTATATTGGGTGAACTGGACCAAGAATTTCTTTAATCGACTCCAGCTCATTTGAAAGCTTTGGCGTCACATTCTGCTATTGGTCAAGGCATAAAACTCTCAATCTTGAGGTTTTACTAATCACATATATCTCCCATACGCCGGCCAGCACCGAACCTTCGTTTAACTTGATGAAGCGATTGCATTCACTTCATTACTTCTTATACGTTTTTGCTGACACTGCAGAAGCGGATCCCTCTACTGCGAACGTATCAATACTGTGGGGTGTGGCACTAGCGCAGAGTAATCCATTTGAAGCACTCTGTTCAATAATGGGATGTTTCCCACTTGGCCATTGACACTGCTGTTTTTCTCATTAGTGCCTGAGCCGTGATGTCATCGCAGTGCGGGGGTAGACCGTCTCTGTCAAGGCACATCAGCGAAGTTGAGGCAGAGCAGTAAAGCATGTAGGAATGAGCACTGCAGTGGGGCTGTGCTTGACTGAAGGCTCTGCTAACGCACCCAAATAAACTAGAAGGCATCCAACAGTGAAGGAACTGCTCCTTCTACATCACATGTTCAGCCTATGCCCTGTATACTTCCACTAGTGTGCAATGGTATCTGAGATTAAACCTTGCGGTGCCACAAAGCATTCACGGTCATTATCAGATTATCACAAGGGGTGTCCTGTGATTCATGACAAAGTACCACATCTGTTTTTTTTTTTTTGGAAATGGTTAGAGGAGGTTATCTGCTCCAGCATCTCTGGGTAGCAGCTATCAATTATTGCCATTGATTGTGTAATTTATAACCTTAGCTTTTTTTTTACCTCCCACAAAACGTCCTTAAAAGATTATCTTGTAGTTCATATCAAATACGGGAAATAAAATGTGAAACGTAGTTGCATAATCTGTTTGCTACATTCAGTGCAGTGTGTGAAACAAGTGGATTAATTGGTTGCATGCGTTTTAGTGTGCTACAGTTTCACATGGTTATACGGAAATATAAAAATGAATTGAACAGGCGAGGCAATAGAATATTATGCTTTTTTCTGTTATTGTATTTGAATAATTTGATTTAACTCTTCATAATTTCATCCCCAATCTCCTGCATGTTTTTGTATGGCCCGTGTTGTTACTAAGAACCGGAGCATTCTCTAACCTAATAAGGTCTTGCCTGAGGTGACGAGTGCGAGGACAAATGACTGGACTGGGACATGAATGTAGGTGGATCACCACTCTGTATTTTCATCTCGGTTGTGCTGAAATAGAATGAAAACGTCAGCAAGAAAAATGTAGACTTGCTGCATGCGGAGAATATTTATGTAGTTTTTGGATGCCCGTTTTTGTGATAAATGGCTGTCTCTGCTCTGTTCATGTAGACTGAACATTGACTCATGGTTCTGCTTTGAAGCATGCTTAATGCATCACTATTCTCCAGATCAATTTCACTTAAGTCTTTTGTCTCTCAGGCAGTAGATTTTCTGTCACTACATTAGGGTATTAATAATTTAAATGTTTGAGAATATGACAGCATAATTACTACAAAGAATGTTTCATAGTAAATGTATACTGACAAATCATGACAAATCTTTGCCCGTGCTGTACTGTGTGCTTAGGCTTATTGCTTTGAACATTTTCAATTCTATAAAGTATGACCCATGAAGAAATGTACCAGCATTTCCTTTACCCACAGCCGTGTGCAGCCGCATGTGTAGGTTTACTGTGAAAGTGAAAAGGAAGTGAGATGGAGAGGGAAAATAAAGGCGGACGGCTGCTTTCTGTTCTGAGGCTTTAACACATAAGTGGTCCATGGATAAAATGACTTCACGTCCTCCTGAGTGCGGAGGAGCCTCCTCTGCAGTGTGGACCTGCACAGCCGCCAATGTTCTTCCTCATCTCCTCAGATGAAAGGCTGTCCCAAGGCATGATCGGAATAGACGTGAGCCTTGTGACCAAATTAGATACAACTCAGACACCAAACAATCTATTTTAAGCTCTACCTGTAGTTTTTGGAGAGCAGGATCATTGAAGTGGCTCAGAATCGAGCTACAATAATAACAGCTGAACAGTCGCAGCCACCGTAGTGCTCATCCTTTGTTAATCTGAAAATATTCTGCAAGTCTTTAATGTGCTGTTGAAGTAACACTTCCAGCAGATGAATCAATGATGTAAATGCTTGTTTGCAGCCATACATCTTTTGATTGTTTTCCCCCCTCCTGCTCTTCTGCGCCCCCCCCCCCCCTCCATCTGTTGTCTTAAAGTAATTTTGTTCATTTCTCCTTATTGCTCACCCTGTTTCTTTGCACTTCTCTTATTCTAACCATCGCCACTTTACAAAACGAAACGCTCGGCACAACAATTGTTTGCAGTCTGCGAGTTGTCGCTCACACGAGCAAATGTAAAAGGTTAAATCATGATTAAGTCGTCAAAGATGCTGAATGTTTGGGCTGTTACTTGTAAGTTGGATAACTGCATTAAGTGAGCGGTTACAGACTCCTCTCATTCCTGCGTGTCCTTAAGGAAATGAAACACATGACTCTGCTCATGCATGAGTCATTGTCTTTAGTGCCATTGCTTCTTTCCATGCCGACACTTTTACATTTCCAACATCTGGGGTGGAGAGCCTTGTGTGAGTTTGTCGTCCCATACCTCCATTTTCCTCATGACCGCATTCATCTCCTACCTTGTTCCTTTTTGTCTTTTCCAATTTATTTAGCTATAGCTGCTCTGCTTTTAAAAGTGTAGCTCCATACTTAAAGTGAAGTACATTTAGTTTGGTCTAGCTGTAAAATCCGCTTTATACTTTATTCATGTTATTCAACCCTCTAAGAGGCGATTCATTATTTAGTGCTTCTACCTCTCAAAGCCAGCGCACTAAGTACATTTTTGGCCCAGAGATACACTTGCAAAAACTGATTTTTTTTTTTTCAACCAAGATGACACTTTTTCTTATGATCAAACTGCTCACATTTTGGAACCTTGTGCTTAGTTTTTAGTGAAATTGCCCCATGGGGTTGCCAGTGAGATGGCTACAGTATTAATCATGCGAAGTCAAGCTGTGAAGCGCACAGAGCAAAGTGTTCCCCCCGGGGACAGTGTAGACGTGGGACATTGGTTCCAGATGAAAGGAATATGGGAAGGGGGGCGTAGAGAAGGGGGAGGAGTCCAGTTGTGTTCTAATCTAGTGATATGAAGCCAGAGACGGGCAAATCTGTTTGCTCTATATCAAAGCCCATTGTAATTGCTGTGACAAACTTATTTCTTTTAAAGAAGATAAACACCTTAGCATAACGCTTAAGCACAGTGTTACTAGCAATTGCTAGTTTGCTAAAATGTTCTGGTAACAACCAAAATGACAATCTCTTCATCCTCTGTGCCCTCAATTACACCACATATTTTATCCATTGGTCATAGCTTCAGAGGAGTGAAAGGAATGTGAAGGGATTTCATGAAGGCCTATGACTTCATGCACTTACTGACACCCCCCTGACCCATTTGTGCAGTGGTGACACCTGCCATTCCTCCGCATCTTTCCACCTCCTGATCACGTGTCCTCTCCCCATCGAACTCCGCTTCATGTCTCTATCGGAATACATAGGACCATAGCTGCAAAACTCGGGCTACATCAGAATTCAGCAAAAATATCTCCTCCTTCCATGCCTTGAATAACCCTTGTGGCACAAGTGGCATTAATAAGATATGGATCAATATTTTAGGTTTTTGAAATGTCTATTGATCTTAACTTCCCATCCAGCTGATATGCTTCCATGGCAGTCCTCATTTTAAAGCTAGATTTTGAAAATGTGTAAATTCTGGTCAGCAAAATGTTACTTTCTTAACTTTGATCCAGTCCTCCTCTTTTTAAAATAAGTAGATTCCAATCAATATCAGTCAAGGCAGAATGTAAAAACCTCAGAAAATGTCTTAATTGCTCACTAGCACATCAACCCGTTGTTTATTTGCAGCCTTTAAGAAAAAATGGTTCCAATGTAGAATTCTGTTTTTGGCAGTATACATATCCATAATTGAAAAACAAAATACTGCTGTGTTACATTAATTCACAGTCCAAGCAAAGAAATTGCATCCATGGCAACAAGCCTGTAGTAGACCCCCATCAGAATCTCAAATCTGGCCAATCAGGCTTAAGAGTTTTCTTTCCATAAAACGACTTGTGTTTATTTAACTTTGTTTTTTCTTCTACAGAACAATGATCCTTTGACGTTGGGCTATCATGGATATCCTACTCACAGTCAGGTAAGGACACTGCATACCTTGAAAATAGTGCTTGAACTTGACAGAATAGCAAACCATTGTGTGTACATTGTGCGGTACAATTCTCATTTAAAATCCCAGCATCTGTTTTCGCCGGTATGTATTAGGTTGATTGTGCTAATAGGCTGCTCTTTCTGGTGCGGGTAATCCTTAGATCATCCTACGTTCATCCACTCATCCTCTCCTGCTCTCTCCATAATCCCTTCTTTCGCATCTCTGTGTCAGCGATGCCCAACCACCCCTGGCTGTTTATCAGCGCAACATCGTACACCCCAACCCCCAATCTTGTTTTTTTTTTTTTGCGCACTTTTAGCCTTTGAGCCAATTAGCCACTGCTCATTTCTCTGCGAGGAAAGAGGATGCGCTCAACCACTTCCTTCATAATAAAATTGGGGTAATAATCATAAAGGCTGCGCATGTTTATGTTAAAAATATAAGTCGAGGTCTGCCGCATCACACCATCGGAGAGGAGGGGGAGAAGAGAATGGGAAGACAATACTGGGCAGTGCAGGCTCCCATAGCACAGAGGCGCTAAACTGTCAACAACCGTGTGAGAATGATGTGATCAAAGGAAGAGCCCAGAGAGCAGCATGGAGTGGATGTGTGAACACGGTACCGACACTTTTCAAACTGAGAAACACTAATAAGCTATCTGTCAAATCTCTGGCAAGTGGTGTCTTAATGTTTCCTAATGGTTTTATGCGCAACCAGAGAGAATGGATTTCAAATGGGTTTAATTGGTCAACACAGCGAGTGGGAAAATCTCATCTATCGCTGTATTTAACTGGTTAATTGAATTGCTTGCCAAATAAATAAGTTTAAACATTATGTCCTTTTGAAAATACTGGCCTTCATTGTTTCTACACGGTAAGGTTTCTTAGGTTTTAAAAGGCTCATTTAAATGTACGGCCTTTAATCTTTTTAAAATCAAGATGAGGCTGCGCTGAAAGAAGCCTATTAATCCCCCAATGTATGTAGCTCTAATCCTTACATATTTTATATCACATTTTGTTTTATTTCTCCTGGCTAAAGTGATTTTTTTTTTTTTTTTTTTTTTTTTTTTTTTTTGCGCAAATGGCTTTTCGGCAAATTTGCATTCAGTAATTACCTCTCTGAGTTGCTATTCATGTAATTGTATATATTACAAGTCATTTTCCCCCCATTCCTGCGCAGAATGCAAATTGTGTAGCCACAAGCGAAATAGATTTATGGGACACTGAATATGAATGATAACACTGGGGCACGGTGAGGGAGCTGGACTGTGTTTCCTGCAAATATAGGGGAAATGCTTGATACATTTTGTTCTGCAGCTGTTAAGACTTTGTTGCTTGCTGCCCCCATTAGGCTGTTGTGAGTGAAGGCACATTAAGCTGGTGCATGTTGCTCTTTCAGATTTCTTGCTGTGGATTGTTTCCTTTGTGCATTATGTAATCAGTCTGATATAACAAATTATCTACCCGTTTGTACAATTTTCTTTAAGATTGTTTATGTAATGCAGTAAATGATGGCTTTTCATAGTCTCCCAGTGGCTTGCAGCCCCAGTTAATTCACCTACATGGAGAAGTAGCTCCAGGATTTAGAGAGAGGGACTGCGACACGAGCGAGGCCGAGGGGAGGGGACAGTCTGCAGGTGTGAGAGAGCAGTGGGAGGAGTGGAGCTCAGGCAGCAGAGATGAGCAAGCAGCAAGGGCACAGCCGCACCGGAGCAGTGCAGGAGAAGCCAGAGCTATTGAGTGGGAGACACCGTAAAGAGAGCGAGTGACAGGGGCCGCAGGAGGAGGGTAGACCAAGTGAGCGAGTGAGCGGGGGCAGAGAGAGGGAGATTTTGAATCTGGGAGACAGACAGAAGAGAGCGGAGCTGGTGAGGTGACACAGACTCGACGGGAGAGAGGGAGAGAGAGGAGGAGGAGAGCGGAGAGCACACACTTTGAGTTGTTGCACAGAATACGATGATGGGACTGTACTATCCTTCCGTGTTGTCGGTGAGTGTTAGCACGCTTCTCTTTCACATTGTCAGTTGTGTGTGTCTGTGTGCGTCACAACTCTCACTGTAAATGAAGCGGCATCAGAGAGCCCAGCGCTGTCACTGAGCATGAAATGTTAATTAACTACTAACAGATGAGGACTCTACTTGACCCCTTTAGCAGAGTGGTCCACTCAGGGCATTTTTCACTGTTAGTTTCTGTGAGATTCACATCAAGAGAAAGAACTGTTATAACAAAGATGTGATGAGAGATAAGACGCTACGAGAGAGTTTCTGAAAATCAGCCACTGCATTTTGAACATGTTGTTATTGTAGCATCTGCTCCTCTGCTCTGAGCTACTAGTGCATGCAATGTGAACATTGGAGCTGGCGCTGCCAGAAAGAGCTGTGCCATGTATTATGTATGCTCAGAAGAGTCTATGTGAACGTACAGTGCAAAGTGTTTTTCTGGATGTGGCGGATTGGTGTGTGCAGTCTCTGCTCGAAACTCGTTGGAGGCAAAAAGTGGAAGCCCAGCCGCTGAGGGGGGAGGAGGACTAAGTCAAAAGTCTTTATTACCCCAGCAGCTGTCTCTGTACATTGCTGCAAGTCAGTGAGCAGAAGACAGGTGTCCTTAGAACGGCAGCAAAATTTTTTTTTTTTTTTTTTTTTTTTTTACTGACTTCTGCATCTTTCTTCTCACGCATCCTCACTGTAATTTTTGTGTCACACATTTCACAAACACACACTGCTTGAGAGCACAGTGGGCTGCAAAGTTAGTGCATGAAGTGTCATGTTTGTGTCATTAGATTTCATTTAGACTGAGTCAGGCTCTTTTTGTTGCACCTTGAATTCCTGCTCTTTACGGTTTGACCTCTTTTTTTTTTCCCTTCTCACACTCTCCCTGGGGCCCTGACAGCTGTTATCTCAATGTTTTCCTTTAAGAGCCCCTGAAAGAAAGGGGGAGGGGGTTTTGGTCAGTGGATACAGAATGGGAGCAAGAGATTTGAGATGAATGTACAGGTGATGGGACGCCCCCATTCATCTCCCAGCAAACGGCAACCCAAATTATGTATGAACGTGAGATCAACGCAACTGCGCTGTCTGCAATCAGGCAATATCACAGGTCAGCTGCCGAGAGCAACTTCAGTGTGACGCAATTTCACACTGTGCATATATTTGAGTGCATAGTCAGCTGTACAGAGAAACCTACTGCGTCTTCATTATCCCAACAGCAGCACTACAGGGCTTATTCTGACTACTTCTGCTCCAAGTAGGATATTATGAAAAAAAACAGCAACATATTTTCTCAGACTCCACCTAAGCATGTGCCCCCAGGCAAGGGAGAGCCGTATACCTGCTGCGAAACTTTACACACCGGCACACTTTCATAAGTATCCAGGCCGTGAGAGGCAACCCCCCTCACACTGCACCTCCCTCCTTCTGCCTTACAGATTGTCCTCCCCCTCTGATCATGTTATTGATTGGTTGCAGGGTTAACAATAATGGTTGTTAGATGATCCCAAAGAGCTGTGTTGCCGTAGCAACATGCATGAGTCACTCATTTGTGCAGATTGTTAGACAGTTTGAGGGAAACGTCTATGGGAGAGCCCCGTAGGGTAAACACCTTGCGAGTGCTCCTCCTGTTAGAAGCATGGTTATGAAATGGAGCAGGCCCCCCGCCTGCTGAGATGCTAAAGCATTTGTATGCATATCGAGTGTGACAGCAGCGTCGTATACCAGCTTTGTGTACATTTCCAAGTCACAATGGACCTCCAAATAATGAACTGGAGAGCCGCAGAACTAGACTGACTCGATTCATGATCGTGGCTAAAAGGTGCGCTGAATGTTGGGTAAACATATGGCTCTGTGTCTGTGTGCTCAGCTGCACACGTGTTTGCATACATCTTTTAATGAGCAATTATGGGGACAGGTCATCTCATCAGGCTTTTGTTGAGAGTTTGCCTTTAGTTAATTCCACAGTGAATCTAAGGAGAAACTTTATTAATACAGTCATTTGATGGATAGCAGGGGTGACAGTGATGTCGCGTGTGCTGCTGGCCTGCACATGCATACACGCCTTGTGTAAACAGGCAGCAGGAAAAGGAGTCACCGGGGGTAACATGCACGGTACGGGGGAGTGGAAGGGGTCATACGTGATTGAAGCCCTACATGGAGAACAGCTGTGGGGGGATTGGTTTTGACAAGCATTTGTGTTACTCTATAAGGAGTGTGCTGTATGTGGGAGGGAGGAGCATATGAGATGCGTTACCGTACTGTTGCTATGAAGCCCATAAAATGATTGGCGTTTATGGGGGCGGGACATATGCAAGGGTCCCGTCTGGATTTTATGAAGCGTAAAGAAGCAGCGCAGAGAAGGGGAGAGTGGGAGGAAAAGGGAGAGAGCGCATAGAGGAAAGACGGGAGAAGAGCCGCATGAGGGGGAGGAGGATGGTGAGGCAGGGCTTGATGTAGGATGGAATAATTTAACACGAGGGTGTCTCCTGCCTCATCACTATGCCACACACGCTGCAAATGCTTCTCCAGCTGTTTCTTGCTTAGATAATACAATGCACAGACTCCAAACCCCCAAACGGAACCAACCCAGTTCATATTTTTGTAAAGTCGAAATATGTACGACTGCTCACAGTGCGAATACCATTGTCCATCATCAACTTTGTTGAATGAGGTTATAGTCTAATGGCTCCGGGCTCGCCAAAGTAAGATCCTGAAATGTCATTATTCATGTGAAATGACCCAGCGTTGCCCTAGTTAGCTCTTAGCCATCCTCCTCCTTGTCTCCCGTATCACATAGTGAGATTGCTGCAGACGAGCACATTTTATAACATGCCTCCTCAGCCGCACTTGCTGCTGTTAAGTGACCCGAAAGTAAGCTAGCTACAGCTACCACTCTGAGTCACTGGCTTTTGCCTAGCCAACACAAGAATAACGCCTTAACACCAGGAGTATGCGTGCACAAACATACAAGATGGAAACGCATTGGCAAGTTAATGTACACAGACCTGAGTGCTGACACTAATGTACTGCTTACAATTTGTCTACAGGGCTTCTCCTTTCAGTTGTTCGACCATCCTCCTGCAACACATTTATGCCTTATGCGCTATTCTCTAGTTTTCTATTTCATCAAATCACTAAGGCCGCAAGCCGTTTGGAAACGAGTGAAAGCTATCAGGGAAGGTAAAAGCATGCACAATTTCTTTTAAGAGCGGTGGTCACGTTTCGTCTGTTGAGTCACAGTATTAACGTATCTGTACTGAAAAGGCCAATCGTTGAACACAAATAAAAGGTTGTTTTTGGCCTGCGTTCCCTCTTCTATTTCAGGCTGGCAGTGGGAGCTGTAACAGCCGGGGTAGTCCATTCTTCTGCTCTTCTCGTCTGTACCAGTGTGTAAACTAGAGGTCGAACGTTGTGGGGTTTTCTGTGGTGCGGATTTATTTTTCTTGACCATGCCAGATTTTAAATGGTTATTTCTCTATATATATTTTTAGTGGTAAATTTTGGTTGTGTGAATACTTTATTGCGCAAGTAAACAATTAAGATATTTTTTCATGTTGTGGTAGAATTAATTTAAAGAGTAGGAAAGGAAAACTAGAAATCCTGAGGAAGGTCTGTTTATAGCTCATCGTTTGGATTTGTGGTCCTTTTGTATATTTACTTAATTTTATATGAATATATATTTTTTGGTGGATTATTCTGATCAAAATGAGCACAGTTTAGCTTTGATTGTAACATGCATGTAGTGGGTCCGACTATAATACATGTGGTAATTATTCATAGAAAATTGGTAGCACATATTTGGTGTAAAGGAATATAAAATTACAAATGACATTGACCATGAACACTGTCAGTCTTAATCCTGCCTGTCTCTACATAAGGATATCATGGTCATTGTGTAAAAAGCATCATAGTGGGTGTCTAGTGCTGTCCCAGTATATTAGGCAGTGTGGGCGGGTCCCGGCTCAAAAGTGGCCAAAATGACGTGCGCTGACATGCTTGCAATACCACCCCGGGCCGATGGGGGTGGACCCAGAAGAAGAATTAGCCAATGCTAACATATAGCCTGTGGAGTGCTACAGGGGTTGATCCTGGGACCTCTTCTGTTCAATCTCTACATTCTGCCATTAGGCCAGTTCTTGTGTATTTGACAATCTGAAATATTATCTTTGGTCCAAGAGTAATAATGAATTCAGACTTAGAAAATTTAACAGCCACATAAAATTTTGTAACATCAGCAGCATTTTCCTATCTAAAGTATATTGCCATAATCAGAAGCTTATATCCTAATACCAGACTTTGATGTTCTTATTTGTGCATTTGTCACCAGAAGGCTCTCCAAATGAGTAGAATGGACTTTAAAGCAGCTCTGCTTGTGTACAAGTTTTGGCATGGCCTAGCACCAAAGTACACTGACTCAACATTAAACAACATTTATGAACATTGGTCCTCTGCCCCTTATGGACCAAAACCAATGTTTTCTATCTTTGCATTTCTTGTTTGATCTGTTTCGTTCACTGATCTGTGTTGGCGAAGTAAACGGTTGTGATTTAGCGCTATACAAGAATAAATTAAATTGAATTGAATCTGTGACATTAGTGCCATATGAATCAACTCTTGGCACCAGCTCGGCCAGTCTCGATGTTCCTCCAGAGTCAGAAATGAACAGGCAGCAGTTCAGATTTTTGCAACTTTCTGAAAATATGAGACAGCCTTCTACTCTGACAATTCCAGGTTAAAACTCCTGTTTTTCTTTTTAAAATACTACTGTACTGTATTTATTTCCACTAGTTTATGAGCCATTTGCTTTGTAAAGCACTTTGAGGTGCATTGCGCATTAATTTTGCTATACAAAAAATGTGCCTTGCCTTAATAACATTGTTTTTTTTTCTCATTTCCCAAGTCGCCCCAGCAGAGAGATCAGTTTTCTCTCTCTTGACAGAGACTGTGGCTGTTTGTCATCTGGGTTAGCGATTACCTACCTTGACTCCCTCCACCCACTATCCATTTCACCTCCACTGCAGAGAAAGTGGGGATCTATTTTGCTCATGCCGTTTTAAAAGACAAGTGTACACACATATAGACAGCAGCTCCACCCTTCTATTATCAACCTTTGCTAGCGATTGCATGCAGCGACTGTAGAGTATATCTACATCTTTTCTCCTCACAGCATAATCTTGTTTAGTGTCTTACGGGCGAGATTGGAAGTGGTTCCTACAGCCGCAGGGCTTTGAAAAGGCGACAGTTGTCTGCTTATAACACAAAGTTCATCTTGAAGTCTGGTCAGTAATTGTGTGAGTGAGTGGTTGCAGTGATGGGATGTGATGGGATGAGGCCACAGAAGATGGGGAATGCTGTGCTCTCTGAGGACAAGGTGCATTTGGAGCTTTTTACCTGGCAGGAGCGCAGTGTGAGATTCAACCGTGGACGACGTGAAAGAGGGGACTCGCTGTGTGGTGCCAGGCAACACCGACTCAAAACGCTCTACTCTGTTGGATATCACAACAACCAGGCAAAGTGAAATCCACAAGAGCCCTGGCAAAGAGTCTTTATGTATATTAGATAAGTGTAGGGGGGACTTTTTTTTACATGGGCTTGCATATGTTTTGTGAACTGTTTTCACAACTGATTAACTGAGTATTCATGACATTGTTTTATTGCCTAAATGATGGCTTATGTAGGGTTGTCAAACGCATCAAAAGTCCTAAATTAATCAATCTGGTATCTTATTTTAATACTAGTTTTAGTATGAATCAACTCTAAATAAATGTACAGGACAGAATGTGACGTTTTACTTCATTATAAAATATCAAAAAAAAATCTCAAAAGATCTTGGTTAATATTGTGTCCCCATAATACTATTGTGTTAGTGGTTAGTTGGTCCAAAAAGAGCATTAAAAATAAGCATTGTGGTTTAAAATGGTAGCTTGAAAATGACTAAAACCGTGGATACTGATGAGGATTCATAATGTTTTTGATCAGATGTTATTGCTTACACACTCACCAAATAGTTCAAGGAATCCCTTTATTTCACAGCATTCCCAGTTGAATGAGAAGTAGTGACAATTCCTAAGAATTGTCTTTTTTCCCCGCAGGGGGAGGTTGTTCTCATACTGCGGTTTGCATGCAGTCAGCGCAGGACAAAGTTCCCCGTGTGTTATCTGTAAGCTACTGTGTCATATGAACAAGATCCATGTCAGCCGCGCACCTTTTGCCTTTGGGATGAGGGACCTGGCCACTCGGTGTCGCAGGTGTGACGTTGGGAAAGGTCAAAAGCTGGCAGACAGATGGCACGCTCACATACTCTGGAGCTCTCCTCCCACACTTTTGGCACTCCCAAAGGGACAGGGATCCATTGTGAACTCAGATGGGCATCGCTGCGCCCTGTCACTCTCACACATTATGTCAGTGCACTTCAGCAGATGTCTAGTAAGCACAAGTCTTTAGAGGTTACACTCTTCAGGTAAAAAAAAAGAAAAAAAAGACTATTGCCCTCCCTTGTGAATCATTAGATCTGAGTGCCTGTAGTGCCAGCACACCATTAAGCCTTTCTCAATTATTACTAACGATTATATGAAAGTGATGATGGGAAGTCATCATTTGAAGAACGTAACTGTTTGCAGAATGCTTAAAGATTAATTAGTTGTCCCTCAACGCAAGCGAAAGATCACTGGTCAGTTAATCAGTTAGTTATGGCCGTATCTTTTGCAGCAGTCAGCACCTTTCCCTCTCCATCCCTGCTGTCTCCTGCTGCTCTCCATTACCATTTAGGGTAGTTGTGCCCTGGTGCCAGCAGCCAGGAATGTACGCGTGCCTTTGCTTGAGTCGTGCTCCACCATTTGTTTGTGGGAGCTTAAATTGTATTGTTTCTCCTACGCTCCATTTATAAATCATTTCTGGGGGTAATAATGATGGTGGAATACTTGCGCTCGGCGTCTTAGTAACAGTTGGTCCCTGCGAGCGTTGAGATGTGTGGGTGTTTGTGTGTCAAAGGTGCTCTGTGCGCAGAGGCGTCAGTGTGTTTGGGCGGTGGAGACTTAACTGTTATAGAAAACATAGTACATGGATGAAACTGACCTGAAATGGCAAACCGCTGCTGTAAATATTCTGTTTATTTATTGTAAAGGATAAACAACCACTGCACAGAGGGTCCAGTACATTATTTGCATATCGTCCCATTTATACTAGCTATAAATAGAAAATGTCAATTTTCAAATAGGTGCTCTCATTTTGACTCATGCTGCCAAAGATTTACAGTTTATTCTTAGGCCCTCATCAATGTTTTGCAAATGTCTCAAAATGCTAAAATCTTTTTTTAAATATATATATATATATATATATATATTTTTTTTTTTTTTTTTTTGATGAGCAGAATCAGAATCAGCAGAACGAAGGATTATCTTTTACAATTGTTAGTTACAGCACCAGTGAAGTCATTTCTAATCTCACTTCATGGTCCAATCCTTTTTCTCTTGATGAACGTAAAGGCTTGAATTGGATATGCGGTTGTTGGTTGCCGTATAAATCTTGAAATGGTTTTCTGCCGGCAGTGAATATTTAATGATTGGGGGCTGGGTCTTGTCGATGTATCCACATTGACTTATACACATGTACAGTGCGATCAGGAAATCCTATATCAAAGCTTGACTTTCAGCACGAGGGAGAGCGGTCCCAGAGCAGTGCGGTGATGCCCGGTTAAATATACACAGGACCTGAGCTCTTCTTGTTTATGCTCCAACAGGGCTCTCAGGATAGTGCTGGTGGTCAGGAGGGACTGGTGCCTCCCCCCTTCTCTGCTTTCCCTCCACCCCCACCGCCGCCCCCTCAGAACGGCCTGACGCTGGATTACGGGGGCAGCCTGTACGCGGCGGGGGCAGTGCAGGGTCCCGTGGAGGCCGGCGGAGCAGCCAACAGCGCCAACGCCAACAGCCTCGGAGCCCAAGTGAGTAGAGCGGTCACTTCCTCTGCACCACGGTCTGCCTGAACTGTGAGGGCAAACGCCAATAATGCAGTAAATAAAGACACATGGAGGTTCTGCTCCCAAGATACAGCCACTATCGCTCAAAGGGAAGAAGGAAAACTGGAGAGCAGCGCTTCTTAATTGGACTGTGTCGGGACCCGGCATCAGCATATGCCGAGCCGCGACCCAAATAATGAATTTAGCATAAAATATCCATTATGTATAGTTTCTCAAATTATTTTTTTCCTAAGCAATGAATACAACGTTAATACATGTAAACAATGATAGTGTTACTGACTTATTAGCTATGGACACTTTATTTTTTTAATGACCAAAAATCCTCCCCATTGTGGATCCAGAACCACGGGTTAAGAATCACTGCTGCAGGGATTACATTTCACTCCAACTGGCAAAAGCAGCAATTTACTGAAGTATTTCGGTTAGTCATCGCAGAGCTCTACAAAGGTAATGCTTCTGCTTTCAAGATCTTTTTTCATAAAGTAAATGCAGATTCTGACATTTTCACAAAAGGTTAACAATGAGCTTATGAAGGGGAGAAAAAACACAATTCAGTTTCTGAATTAATCTTTTGCTATGGTTAATTAATGTTTTTAAAGCCTTAAGGCAATTACTATTTTCTGGACAGGCTTTTTATATTTTAACATTGCGAGCTCTGGTTGAACAAACAGACGATTAAATATAATGCACCTGAAACATGTAAAGCAAAAAAACCTCTCCAGGCTGAATTAAGGATTTATTTAACAGTTCCTCTAAGTGAGGCCAAAGGTTGTCATCGATACAATTCGGTGATCCTTAGAACTGTCACAATAATTACTGGTAATAAATCACGTTATTATTCACTGATGGATACATTGTGGCACTCAATATTTATAGTCTCCATTATCTTTGGCGAGTGTGAAGACGTTTTTAACTCTTTATGCAGAAAGCCATGTTTTTTGTTTGTTTACGGTTATAAAAACAAATGCAAGCAAGATTTTGGATGCCTTTATCTGCCTCCGCCAATCCAGACACGTTTTACCTAATTTGAAAGACCAGAATCTGCAAAACTACAAAATGTATTGAAATGCTTACTGCGCACACTTAATCATAAATGGTGGAGGTCTGCTCAGATCATGCAATCTTATAGCGGCCCAGGAGATCGTAAACCCAAGCTCAACCAAATGTAACTGAATATGTAGAAGTCGTACCTTAGTTTAAACCTCGGAACAGCCCAATCCAGTCGGTCAATCGGTTTTCAGCCAAACCTTTTATTATAGATATTTTGAATCTGTATTGGTTCAAAACATCTTACTTTCTCTTCTGCTCATTTTTGAATTGTTATGGGCATAAAGTAGTTTTTGTTTCTAGCAATTTTAAGTTAAAGCTGGGTTACCCAACCTTAACGTTATATGAATAATACTTAGTTTGTCAGGCCACATGGGGTTTTCATAATTATTCGAAAACAATGTATGATTTCCCCAGAACCCTTTGAGTCAATATAACACATAGAGCAGGGAGCTGATTGGCTGATGGTGATTATTCATGTTAAACTGGTGATGGTGAGGGTTATGGGAAGTAGTTCTCTTTTTTTGAGTTTAACAAGTTGTATGTAGCTGTGTTTTTGCTGTGCGTGTTTGTCATGTTAAAGTTGTGAAATTATGAATACTAAAAAAAAAACAAGGTATCCCAGCTATTATCAATGCATAATTCATTCAAATGGGTCAAAATCTTGTTGTGACGAAATCCCAGCCTGCAAATATTTACCACACTCGTGACTTGCTCGGTTTGTTTCCCTCTGTCCTTTGCCTTTCTGCTGTCCGCGGCCCAACAGCCAGATGGGTCTTCCCAGATTGACGGCCAGTCGGGGGTCGGCGGTGGAGGTGGTGGAGGAGGGAGCGGAGGAGATGAGTCAGATGCTAAAGGGGCCCCCAAACGCCTGCACGTCTCCAATATCCCCTTCCGCTTCCGGGACCCCGACCTGAGGCAGATGTTCGGGGTCTGTATGGGCTACGTGCCGCTCTTTCTCTTATGGATTTGACTTTGAAATCAACTTTACAAAGGAAGGCTTGAGAATGTAATGCCAGCATAATAAGCCTGTACAATTATCAAAATGAAATCACAACACCAATGATTACACTCCACGTTTTATAGAAATGATATTTGTGTAAAAACTATTATATATAAAAGATAAAACATTCTTTATTATAATATTTTTGTGAAAGGGTGGATTTAAATGCTGCAGTTCTGACACTTTTAGATCAGTATCTGTTTATGGCAACATACAATCTTTGAATGCACACACTTTAAAATGTATATGAATTGTAAATTAATTTAAATGATTATGTAATAATTGAAATCATTGATTAGTTCTTAAAGCGTGCAGCCTGCGACATGATTGCCTTTAGTGGTAATCATTCTCATTACACATTTTACAGAAAACCATACAATTTATTTTTAATTACCTTCGTCGGCTCTCTGTTCAAGAGCAGACTGGCTTTGTTGAATCCTATTTAACGTTCCAGTTGCAGTGGTTTCAATTTTGTAGAACTGCACAGTAGGATTTACAAATAGAAATCTGTAAAACATCTGTAGTTTATTTAAGGAGTATAATTAGTTGTACAGTAGTGGTTGGCCGTATATATGTTGTATGTATATCGCAATTGTATGACAGTATTTTAATCTAAAATCACTGCGATTCACATCCAAATCATTAATTTATCCGATAATTAAAAACATGCTAATTTAAATGCAAATGTTCTCACGTGCAATACTTGAATCCTAAACTTGTGGAAAAACATCTCTAATGGTTTTTCGTCTTAAAAATACCTATAGATGATCATATTTTAGACATAATTGCCTGAAAAGTTTCTCGGTGTACGGCATGTCTGATTTGTATGTGCGTGTATGTGTTTTAAAAGCCGTGCAGTATAGTAATAGTTTAATCCTTTACCAAAGCCTTATTCTGGTGTCATTGCTCAATAATGTAATGCTTGTTAGTCTAAATTTAGCAGAACTGTAGTGGAGGGTCTCACTAAAACAAGAGGCTGGCAATGGGAGGTAGTAAGGTGTGAGGATTTGGTGTAATGCGGGACTGTTACATAAGCTATGTTTTTTTAAGTGTGGTGCAGAGAAAAGAACAGAGGCAAGCAAGATATGGTGGAAGAAAAGACTAGCAGCGTTGGCCACGTGCCAGCTGCTCATGCTTGAACAGTGCTGACACCCCGTGGCAAAAAGCACCGCACGGCTCCTCCTCCTGCAGATTCTCATTTTCCTCTCTTGTTTTTCAGCAATTTGGAAAAATCCTTGACGTTGAGATCATTTTCAACGAGCGGGGATCCAAGGTAGGAGGGAGAAACCGCACATTGTGAATTGAGCTCAGCAGCAGCTTTTCAATCCAATCCCCTTTTCTGTTTCCATTTTCTCCTCACATTCGCAGGGCTTCGGCTTTGTGACGTTTGAGACGAGTGCAGATGCAGAGAGGGCCAGGGAGAAGCTCCATGGCACGCTGGTGGAGGGACGTAAAATTGAGGTAATTGACAACCCCGGGGCCCCCATTTGTAAAAAAACACATTCCTGTATTCCCCTTATGTCCGACAATAAAAAAAGGGCTTGTCACGGTGGGTTTGACACCTAGAGTTTGTTTTTGTGTGTGACCTGGATGGCTGTTACTGTATGTTGATCTATAACCCACTTTGGCTTCAGTCTGGCATGGTGCAATGGTGTCGCACACAGACGACTCTTACAGATTGGCACTTTCCGTCGATGTTCATGCCAATGTTGTTCCAATGTGGTTGTCCTGGGCTGTTCGTTTGTTGCACTTTGATCTTGTCGCAATGTGGGTTTGCGAAGCATGCTGGGTTCGGGGCTACACAAATGGCATGGCCAGTGGGACCTTGCAGCTGACTCTTGAACCGCTTCTGTCTCAGCATGTAGGACATTTTCAGTTTGTGTTGCTCTCTTGCTCCCCCTTCTCCCCCATCACCTTTACTGTCATCACTTCTATCATTGCAACGAGTGGCCATTTTTGTTTACGGTTGTGTGGACAGCCAGCCTCTTTTCGCTACCTCTAGATGGCGACGGTAAGAGGCTACTGTATGTTGCATGGACAGAGCTTGAGTTGGGATGTTGACTTCCCTCAATCTAACACAGTTCATCTGGGTTGTAGTTCGCAATGTGTGATGTTCTGGGAGATGCATGGAAGGTAATTTGTCAGGTTTTAAGGAATGAGACTGCCGTGAGAAGTGTGGTGTTTATGAAGACGCTCTCAAAGTCAAGTGGGACGCTGATAACTTCACAAATGCAAAATGGATGACAATGTTTTTTACACACATGCTTGCCTCAATCACTTCTGTAAAAATGACACCAAATCTCATGGAAGTGCATATTATTGTGACTTTCATTTTGTCAGCATGAGCTCCAGGATTACTTGCAAATGGCCATTGGAGTGAAAAATACAAATACAATTGCTTTTGCCATTTGCTCTAGTCTGCTTGTTATTTTTAATATTTTGATTTACTTGCTACTGAAGCTCTTTTTGCATGGATTGTCTTGCACTCTTCTTTCTGTGTGTGGGTGTGCTGGAGAATAAAAATTATATATAAACACGGAGGGCCAAGAGAGAATGAGGTGAAGAGAATACAATACACTAGAAACTGTAGCTCTCAAAACCTTTTCTGTTTTTTCCATCTCTCTCCATTATTATTCACCTTGCCAGTCTGTCTGTCTGTCCTCCTGTCCCGGTTTGTCTCATGTGCACCTGCATATGTCCTGTGATGTCCACCCCTGCCCCACATCTCTGTGCACAGGAAGCTAGCATAAGCATTGCAGAGTGAGAATGTTTGATGTTTTAGAGATTGTATGGATAATACGTTTTGACAGAATGGTGCCCTCGTTCTAAATATAATTGCATTTGCACCATTACACAAGAGTTACTGTGTGTTTTGATGGCCTATGAAATATTTACAATAAGGATTTTAGGTGAACATAAAACTTGAGATCAGCAGAATATCGGCCGGAGATTTAAAAATGCATTCAGAAAGACTCCATGCGTTTAATATTTTTGACTAACTAAAGCAGAATACTAGCCTGGTCTAGTCCACTGGTCAAAACGATGACGCCCACAAATGGATACACACACAAACACACACTAATCTACTGCATAACACGACAGCCATGCCTCATGTGCCTGAGTAGTTAACTTTGACCAAAATTTACCAAACTTTACTTAATTTACAGGACACTTTGTTCTGATAAAATCACATCTGTCAGAATGCAAATCACAATCTCTAATTAGAATCTATCCACCCCATAAAGCCTCCAGCGGTTCCTTCATATTGTGTTGAATTAATAAATACTTCTGGTATTTAAACAAAATCAAATGTTGGACTTTGTATTATTAAAAATTGCACCAATATTTTCACACTTACAGCAAATGAATATCAGCTCCATATCTGTTACCTGCCTCCTTGATTACCAAATTATCTGCCCTGAGAAAAACACACCGGTCGACTGTCATTACATCCGTTGGTCTTCGCTATAGTGGAGTTATTTCTCATTTTTTTCTGTTTTTGTTTTTTTGTTTTTGCTTTGGTTTCATCATTACTTTCTCGCATATATTTTCTCTATTACCCTGATGATTTTTGTATGTTGTTGTTGTCAGTCTCCACGGTAACTGATCGCGTGTCCTCACGCCGTTTTCCGGGCAACGGTAAGTTGTGTACACATGGCATCTTTGAATGACCCCTCCCCCACCCCAACCGTCCAAATGAAATAAAATGCACCTGACACCTAAATGAAGGCCTCCTGCTGCAGGGAGCTGCACTGACAGACCTGATTGGCATATTCTGTGATTTGATTGTCTGGGGAGGAGGTGAATGAAATGATTAGTAGATTAGTCGTTGACCGCATGGCATTATAAGGCCACGTTACGTCTACCTGAATGAACTGCATCTATCTGCAAATACAACAACCATAACCACTTCTTATTCATTCCAATCACCTCTCTAACTTACTGCATTCAGCATTTATTCAGAGCTATTACATGCATGGTTTAATCTTTCTCATCTGTATGACGTCATGTAGTACTGCCGTTTCTGTCATGTCTCAATAGTTGCATTTTTGCACCTTAGTCGGACAGCATGCGGAGCATGAGAGCTGTGTTAGCTTGGCTATGGTAAGATGAGTGAAGTTTTTGAGTTAGGAAGGTAGCATCTGGAGACAATTGTGATCCTAATATGAAAACACTGAAAACCTTTATTGCTAAAAGCCCATGAAAACCACACTTTAAAATGTCACAAAGCTTGATTTAAAATTGTTTACCTAGAAAAGGGCAGAGTGTTATTGGATTTTCTTTTGAGGTTTCCTGTCTGACACTGAAATGCTTGACCGTGTTTTACGATCATGGATTAAGCTAATGTTTTGTTATTCCCTTTTGAGGAATGATTATCGCATCCCCACCCCCTCCATCTCAGGCTCTTACTTTCCTTGTGTATTCATTTGTCTCCATTGTTGCTCTTGTCAAGTCAAATCCAAAGTAGTCAGATGTAACTGGAGGAGTGTCGCATCCTGTTTGAAAAAGTTGCACATTTGGATCGATTGTTCACTGTTCGTCTCTTCTCTCCCATCATGTGTGCGTTTGTGTTTTTCATGTGGACTGGCTCCTCCTGCATCCTTGTCTCTTCTGTCGTTCTCTCCTGCCCTCCCTTCTCTGACTTTGTATGATATGTAGTGTTCTTGACTGGGAAGGCTGCCTTTCTTTTTGACCGGTCTCTTGCTGCATATGATGCTTGCTGATTGGCTACTATTGCTCACTTCTGGTGATGTGATTGCTGGCTCTTGGTTGGCTGTATAATTTGTGAATGAACTCATTAATTGATATGTTTTGCATTGTGTTGAATTGATGATTTTGCTGCTTCGTTTACCTTCTTTTCCCTCTTTTTGCAGGTAGCAATAGAATGGTCTTGGATATCATTTTTGAATGCATATGATTGTGTGTGCTATTGGTTGCATTGTTTGTGTGAAAATTGCTCTCACCAGGATTCTTGTCTTTCTCCTTTTTGAAAAGAAGCATGCACCAAATATCATTGCTGTTCATCAACAGATTAACATGTGTTTTTATTAGTATGTAATGTAAACACATGCCAGGTGAATATGATTGTGGAATTTTTTGTATGCACTCAACTTTGCCTCATTTTTACAAACACGACAGCAAAATACAAAATTGCTTTCTTTGCCTAGGTCAATAATGCTACAGCCAGAGTGATGACCAACAAGAAAATGACAACGCCCTATGCTAATGGAGAAGGTCTTGCAGCTCTTCCATATGGTAACATCTTTAACTCTGTTTGCATATTCATATGAGAAAATTACCTTTGTCTGATCAAATAAATCTGATTAAAGGAGTTGGAAACACTTTTGACATATGCAAATTATATATAGTTTAGAAGAAGATAATCCTTTATTCATCCCACAGTGGGGACCTTTACCCAGTTTGATGATTACACTGATACACATCAAGGCATGCAACATACAATTACTTCTGTGCTTCTTATGCGCAAAGTGTGGTAAAGAAGCGGAAGCGGAAGGGTCTTGTCCATGGCCACAACGACAGACATCAGTGGCAGTTGGTGAAGGTCTTGCGGTGGGCTCGAACCCACAACCTTCTGGTCTAAAAAGCCAACTGTTCAGTCACTGCTGTATTTGTAGTATTTTATTTTGTTTGGTTGTTAAAGAACACACTTCTGGATTTCAGCCTTGGCCAAAGGAAAAATTATATAAATATTGTCAAACAGTCAAAAGCACCTAAAGATCTAATAATTGTTGTGACCGTATATCCCTCTCATTTCTTTAACACGATGTCTGCCTTCAGCAGGATGGAAGCTGAGCCCGATGGTGGGAGCCATGTACAGTCCTGAACTCTACACAGGTTGGACACCTCACACTTAACATCTTTTGACGTTCTGTTCAGCCCCGTGACCTTAAATCACTCTGAAATCATTTGTACTCTTCAGTCCCGGGCTTCCCGTACCCAGCAGCAGCGGCCGCCGCTGCCACCACTGCTGCAACCTTTCGGGGGGCACTGCGGGGTCGTGCCCGGCCTGTGTACAGTGCAGTCAGGGCAGCTGTGCCCCAGCCTGCCATCCCAACCTACCCAGGGTAAACACTACTAGTACCAGCTCGAGCTAGAATGTGCACTTGGAGAGCGCATACCCCGCCAAGAATAGTCTTGAAATGTTAATGGAGTCTTCATACCATCGCATCCACCACATTCAGTCACTCACAGACATGCACATTTTACACACACACACACACACACCCACTGAGGTGATCAAAATACCCTTTGGCGGGGTAAAAGTACAATAGACTAAAATGCATGTGTTTTTGAACAGTTAAATGAATTGCTGTTTTTTATGTTGATTAATTAATAAGAATACCATTTCCTTGTAACTTTCAGCTGTATGGTATTTTAGGGATGTAGCGATACTGATATCTGGTCAATACCATAGGCTTGTACTTGTACCATAGGACCAGAGGCCGGAACCGATACCCACATTTTTAATTTACATTAGCGTCACAACAGCAGATTTTCGACACGTGTTGCCATGGTGATCACCAGAAGCTGGCAGCAAGCAGCTTAGTTTAGCTGCTAGCTTAGCAGCAAGCGGACAGGATCTCGGCCGTAAAGCAGTTCTTTTTTTTAAGTAAACGAATGACTAAAGCGCGGGCAAAATTGTCACAAGGTGGGTCAAAAAATAACACTTAACATAATGGCAACTTGATCAAGCATAGCACCAGAGCACAAAAACAACTCCACAGCATTGCATTTGTATGAGTGGAATATGACAGTGGCTCTTATGGTTGACTGTTAAAACAATTGCTAAAATGTTTAATTGTTTAAGCATTTTCTTATTGCTGAAATGAAAAACAAAACCTTTTATATTTCAGTTGTATTAGTTTTATGAATTCCCAGGGATAACATAATGCAGTACTCGTATCGGTACTCTGTATCGGCAAGTACTAAAATCAAGGTACCCGTACCGGTTTAGAAAAAAGTTGTATTGGTGCATCCCTAATTGTGATACAAAAATGAATAGATTCTTGTGCAAGTTAAAATGTTAGTTCATACAAAGAGGTGGTATTTTGTCTTGCATGTTGCACGGTGTGTAATCTCACCTTTTTTCTCTTTTCTCTTTCACAATCTTTCACCATTGACACCTCTCCAACCCTCATTTGTTACATTTACCATGTCCACATGTTGGTGCATCACAACATTTGTCTGGCCATTCTCCCACTTCTCTGGACTTCACTCTTTTTCCATCTCTCATCGCTCTCAGTGTGATGGCTTATCAAGATGGTTTTTACGGTGCAGCTGAACTCTATGTAAGTATGAACGCCTCTACTCCTCGGTCACTTGTTCCTACATTTCTCCTGTCTGTCTCTGGGTTTTCAACTGTGAGATGGCACAGGGCAAACCCAAAGCAGCGTAGCATTGAAATGGTATAATTTTCCAGTCCTCTTTAAAGATGGTTTAATGTGATACCATAACTACAAAGTGCCATCCGGAGGTTTCCATTCACCATTCGACTCCTCGTGGGTTTGTCCCTGTGCCTTTTGTGCGTTTTTGTACCAATTTGATTATCAGTATGTGTGTAATGGTGTGTGTGTGGGTGACCAGGTTGACAATAGCTTTTTCTGTTCTCTCTGTAGACTAGTGTTTCAGGACATTAGTGGCAGATTGGCCCAGGTAGGGTTTACACACTTTGTGTGAGAACCAGTGTGCATCCTATTCGTCTCCAATGACTGCGTGCTGCTAGACATTATTGACCATCTGAGATCGAAATGCCTTCTGTCTTCTCTTACTAACTCACTGGATTCTGACATGGGTGGAGTTGCGGAAGGGGTACAAAATACAATATTTCTTAAATCTTTAAAGGCAGTTCTCAGGGCAATTGAAGATACATGCAGTTAGTATAATTATTAATCTTTTGGATGACAAGATTTGCACACTTGAAGAACATCTTGAAAAACATGTTTGAAAATGTATACATTAGACTTGAATTAGAAGGCAGAAATGTTGAAAATAGTCTTAAATCTGATCCACAGGAAAGATGGTGTAGGGCAAGAATAGTCCTCTATACAGGATTTATTTCAAACCCCTTCCAGGAATCTCCCTGATCTGTTTCACCTGTGGCATGCTAACTGAATCAGTGTGGGCATGCGGACATACTTACAAAGCTGACTCCTCCCAAGTCTCCCCATCTTTTTTTTTTTTTTTTTTTTAAAGCTCTCATTGAGTTTCTATTTTCTCCCTCTTAAAGTCCAGCCTCCTCCCCATAGCAGCAGTGTGGTCCTGAATGTGGGGACTTGGTCATGACTTATCCTGTAGGCTAGAATGCAGTGGTGTGTTTTGTTTATGTAGAGATGTTTGGCCTAATACACTGTATGTTTTTGGTGTGGGAAAGCATGCTGTCTCCGTGGTTGGTCGCTGGCCTGCGACTGTGCGTGGGGTGTGCGTGTTCTGATTGGCTGTCGTCTTACATATGTATTTTTCTATCCATCAGCTACTCATAAAACGTAAAAAAAAAAAATCTGTCATTTTCATAACCCCTTCCCCTCTCTTTAACTGTGTTTTGGCTGGGGAACTGTGGTGGGCACAGTTGTTGAGGGTAAAGACTCTCTCCCTCCATGGCTAATACATGAAAGGCACAAATGTATTTTGGAGCACTAAAGACTGTTAGTTATGGAGGGAAAGACCACAAGAGCCTGACCTACATCCTTGTGAATGCTGTTCTGCACCAGTTTAGACAGATATGCTGACTGTCTGCTTGTTTAAAATTTCACTCTCTTCCTGCAGTTTCCCGCACTGTAGCTCTGTAGATAGACTGAGCCTGTGAACCTGCTCTGGTTATTTGAACATGGATTTAATGGTGTTCTCTTGTGCCCCTTCATGTTCCCCTGAATGCCTGCGTTTCAACCTCATCACAGGGTGGATATGCAGCGTATCGCTATGCCCAGCCAGCAGCGGTAGCGGCCACTCCAGCTGCTGCAGCTGCCGCAGCAGCTGCCTACAGTGACAGGTGACTGTGATTGTCTGACAGGAATGCCTATCGTTTTTAAATATTCATTCTTATTTTTGTTCTCCCAGTTATGGGCGTGTTTATACAGCTGACCCTTACCACGCTGCACTGGCCCCAGCGGCTTATGGTGTTGGCGCAATGGTAAGAGATGCCTCACAGTCCGTTATCTATTATAAGATGAAAACATGATGTATTTATTTAATAAGATATTTTCTCATTTGTTTTTCATATTTCAACTCAGGCAACACTCTACAGAGGAGGATACAGCAGATTTGCCCCTTATTAAGACACAACAGTTACCAGGAGCTCCTTTCTTCAAACAAAGTCCTAATGAAAGAGCTCCCTCCATTGCTGGGGTAATGAACTGCACCTAGTTTTGATGCAAAGTTGACCATGACTATACTTTTTCTGACCCCACCCCTACTTTTTCATATATATACATACATATATATGCTACTAAAAATAGAGGAATGCTGTATTACAAACTGACCTGGCCTTTGCATTAAAATAGAAGAAAAAAGACCTAATGTTGCACGGCTGTATTATAGTCCTTCTCCTCGGCACTCTGCAGCACAAACCATGGGATGGAGCCCAAATGTTCTTCCAAAGGCAAAAATGACTTTCAAGCAGCTGTTAATTATTTATGAAGAGCTGGGAGCTGTGTGGCCTACACGCATATGAGGAAATGTGCCCAACATGGGCGTGTGGAAGAAGCAGGTTCAGAGAGGAGCTCTGAGGGCAGAGTGTTTCCAGATTGTACCCCTCAATGGAGGACTTGATCCAGAGGCCTGCTGTCTGTCCTGGTGTTTGGAAGAAGAGCTGTGCGGGTTTTACACTACAACACATGTGGGAGAGTGGAATGGCTCGAGGTGTTTCTTACCTCATCTTTTCTTAGTATGTGGAAATGGTAAACCTTTAACTTTAAAGCGTCATATGCAAAGAAATTAGTGTAGAGAAAAGTTACCAAATTATTGATTATAATTAACATTTATTAAAGCGTTATTTTGTTTGACTTGCACAGCAGCTATCGCTGTTATGAAGCATATAGGGAACCTTGGAGTTCAAACTAGAAAACTGAGATAGAACTTCCCTTCACACTTGATCTGCATTCATGCACAGAGTTCCATATAAAACACTACAAACATGTACTACTCTGTAAAAAGTCTTTTTTGATAAAAAGGCCTGTCCTTAATCTACTGTCATCAAATGCAACCACAGTATTTTTTTTATATATTGGATTTTCCCCCATGCTCCACTTTTTATAGAGCAAGTTCAACAATAAACAAGTCTTCCTTGAATTAGTTAGCTGCATTATAGTTGCTGTCCAAACGGCAACCACTGAGCACGTGCGATCAGTGGAAGAGAATATTACATGCAAACACCTTACTCTTGTGCATTTCTATACTGTTCTATGCTGTTGTATTTGATATTTACAAATGTGGCTTTTGATTTTTGTTTGGTTCCAAAGACAGCACATGCTTATGTAGAATTATGATCCTTTTTTAATGTTATGTCATATTCTATGGTAATACAAAGTTATTTTATTTATTGTTAAATCGTTTTACGGTCCTTTTTGAAATGACCCATTTGTTATATACTGGAGCGCACACATGGACGATCCAAAGGAATGCATGCAACACTAATGAGCCTTCCCCAAGGGTTTACCCTGTTTCTCTTTTTAATCAAAAGTAGTATCATGACATTACAATTTAGCGAAAAAAAGGGGCTGAATTTGTCAGTTTAACAAATGCCTCAAGCGTTTGGAAAATGAGAAGGCATGTAGCACTTTGGTTGAAATTTTTTTGTGACATCCATCCATTTCAAATAATGCTGTGACGCTGGATTGGATTAATCCAGTTTTTATCACTAACACAATACTGGTTATAAAGTGTCATATAAGGAAATCCAAATGTACAATGGGAATGTTTTATAAGATAATTTTATGGCTGTGTTTGTGATTTTGATTTCTCATTTGTGAGAAATCTACAGGACATGTTTTGTGCTGCTGTTTTGATTTTTGTTGTGAACATTTCTTTAGATCAATCTTGATTTTGAATGTTTTTTTTAGACACAACAGTTAAAAAAAAACAGCCAAAGATGCTACAATTCCCACAAACTCTCTCAGATTGACTTTAGAGCGACTGAGGCATGGATTAACCAGCATGACCGATATTGTCCAGTTGAACTAGTTTTGCATGATCCTGTGTCTTTCATATTTGACTTTACGCAGCGGTGCCCAAGTCCTCTTTATCAATAACTGTAGGCAGCTGGTGTCGGCACGCAGCCGAGAAGAAGAGCACAGTGCCGCTTGGCAAAAAGAACCTCTGACAAACTAATGGCTGAACATGTGGTGGCTTCATTTTTCTGTCATGGTTTTCTTGCCGCTGTATTATAGAACTCTGTGGCCATCTATCATAGTTGCAATGGTTCCTCTTCCTCTGTCATGTAAACCCACATTTGACTACCATTTTGTTTGAGTTTTTATTTTTATTGAATGTCTATATAATTTTTTATATAAAATGTTATGTTGTGATCTGGCTTCATCTTGTCTCTTTTCAAGGGCTTTTCTGACCACAATTTCATAATCGTCAAGCACAATCTTAAAAAAATATAGGCCTGATTTCTGGTCCTATTTAGCAACGATTCGCAATTATTAGAAATGTGAGTAAATGCAAAATTGAAGCTACCTCTGTTTAGGTTGACCACTAGAGGTCAGTAGAATCCATGTCACAGGTCTCACTAAATACATGAACCACCAGAAAGCGTGAACTTGTATGGGGGGAAACATTTATTGACAGCTCCACTACGGAACTACACATGTGTGGGATCATAGAACTATTATAAAATCAGGGCATTATTCACAAAAATAAAAGTTCTCTTTAACTGTACATTAAGGAGAAAAGGCTTCAGTGAGGTAGGATCAAGAACATGGCTGGTAAGAGGGTGAAAAGGGCTGAATTATTGCACATGAGACAAATTTAGCAGAATATAGACATGATCATCCGCCGTGAATGCGACAATCATTGCCTCATAATGAACATGAAGCAGATAACACAATTATTGGTCAATTGTAAGATTTCACATGGGTATTTTTGCATCAGTCCAAATTTGCACAGGGGCCTTGGGTGAGGTTGGCTAATGGAGAGACCTTATGGGGACAGTTGGGTAGGAAAAGAAGGGAGTGGGCGAGTTCTTCTATACGATTCCATATTTGGCCAGGTCACTGAGCTCCATGTCTCCAAATGCCTCCCATGGGCAGACCACTGTGATGTCTGTGCCCAGGCCCTCCATGCCGGGGATGTCGTCTCCAAACCTGCAAAAGGGTACATGCGCCGGTTAGATAAGTAAGTAATGTTTATTTGCATTATACAGACCAAGGTCACCCAAAGCCCTTTACAATGTTCAGAGTTCAGATATTATTCCAATCATTCCACACGGTGATGGCGGAAGCGAGTCGCCGAACACACTGGACCATCAGCCCCCAATCAACACCATCCATTCACTCTCTCATTTACATTCATACTTATTGTGCATGTTTTTAGTGGTAGGGGAAACTGGAGCACCCGGAGGAAACCTACGCAGACACGGGGAGAACATGCAAACTCCACTCAGAAAGGCCTCGACCGGGACTGCTGAGAGGCGAGAGTGCTATCCACTCAGCCACCGTGCCACCCATAAGTGTATAGATATGTGCGTATAGGTAAGTATTGTCCAAGCGTTTTCATGGAAGTAAGTAAAATGTGAAATGCATGGTCAACCAAGTATTAATTGACTTAGAAGCACGACTAACCATGTGACAGTGAACACATTTCTGCTGCAGCATTGAGATAAGTCATCTGCTGGTGAATAACTACATAGGAAAACCATTAGGGGTTTGAGCCTCGCCATCTCAGAAACTCAAAATCTTCAAAAAGCAGCAATAACATTTCTGCCACCTCACCTCTTGTTTGACTATCTATTTCCTTTGTGTCATTTATTTAAAAAGCACGACATAAAACTGATTCATTATTATTTTTTATTTTTTATTTGATAATCCAATAGTCGCTTGACCTGCTGTATTATTACAACATTAGTAGATATTCCATCCATCTGATAAATCTGTTCTGATAACTCACTAGTCACTTTACCTACTGCTATTATTACAATGTTTTTATTCTGGTCATATTCTCTGCTGCTAAGGACAATACAAACATCTGTAAATACCTCAAGTGACTTATCCTTGACCCAAGTGCAATTATAGCTCCAGAATTTTATTTCATCTTTTTATTTTATTTTTATTATCTATTATCTTAAATTAAAGATCCTCTTTTTGTTCTGCTGTAATGTACGCAAAGATGACAATGAAATTTCCCCACTGTGGGAAGAATTAAGATTTGTCATATCTTTTCTTGTTATCATTGTTGTTGTTATTAGTATTATTCGTAAGTAAGTAATCTTTATTCATAACTATTCTTGTTGCTGTTATTAGTGTCATTATGATGAGGGTGTGTCTCTTACCCCTTCTGTCCGGGCTTGGGGGCCTTGCTCTTGAACGTGCGCATGGCCCTCTGCTTGAACTTTGGGGGTGCCTTCTTGTCAGCGGGAGCTGCGACGTCTGCCATTGTTCCTGTTACGTCTGGAAACGAGAAGAGACCGATTACGCCCCGTTACTTTTCTCATTCAAGGCTGAAAGTGTAGCTTTGATCCTTTAAGCGTTGTTACACAAACGGCTTAGTCGTATTTTTAACCCCTGACTTTAGAGATTAGCTGCACCAGAATAGTGCCACCTAATTCCACATTTAGAACCCAGCCAAAACTGCGGCTCAGGCTCGTAAACAGACTTTAAGTAGCCCAATTATCATTCTATTCTCATTTCATCCAAGTTTTAAAACTTACTATTAGTACTTTACATCCAAAGATAGATTTACAATAATATTCAACTGACACTGATACATACAATCAAGACATCACATTCTTAATCCCCACTGCTGTCAGACTGTACAATAAGTCACTTTAAATCACTAATGCACTAAGACCAAAAAAAACCTGCACTGCTATTGCCACTTTTTTATTGCACCTAAGTATATCCTGCACAATATATTTTTAACCTTAAACATGTTGCACACTTCTGTCTTTTGCACAACCTGAGTGACTCTATCTGTGCCAAATGAGACCTCTAAATTTCTCCATTGTGAGATCAATAAAACCTATCTTATCTAATCTTATCTAGCATTTTTTCACTCCTGAAAATCCTGAAAGTCCAAACAGAGCCAGCGTTCTATAATATTTGTGTTGACTCCAGACAATAGGCCAAAAATCACAACCACATGATGATCCTCTTTCCAATCAGCAACTTCATGTACATATATCCTGCATGTAACATGTTTGCACATTTCCTCCCTTTGCACAATCTGAGTGTCTCTATCCATGCCAAATGTGACATGTAAATTTCTCCTATGTGAGATAAATAAAGCAAATCTTATCTTATCTTATCTTCATCCGGGTTAGAGCTGACCAGACAACTCATCTTGCTCATTAACATCAACATTAGAACAAGGCTTACATTACTAACAGACATTTACAAAAAACGGTTATAGCTACAGCATTAAGATATAGTAAAAATGATATCTGTTTGAAGGACCCCCCAGTGACAAAAGCACTGTCCCCTCAGAGGCAAACACACTCACCTGTTGCTGCAGAAGTTGGACGGATAAAGCTCTGAAGCCCTGATCGGCGCCTCTTATACTCTCCGCTCTAATCCACCTGACGTGTTGCAAGAAAGTCACAACATGAAGATCCAAAGCTGGAAAACTCGCACTTACATAAGGCTAATTTGATTTGGTTGTTCTGTCCCTTGAACGTACACGGCCAAACATTTTGTTATGATGTCACGCCTGGATCGCTTAAAAATTACATCACTTTTGCTGATGATTTTATTTTTTTTTCCTTTTTTTTCCTTTTCAAGGGCTCTAATGAAAGACTTAATTCATACAAAGCTAATATTTATTGAATAACTGTTGGCTTGACTGAACACGGACTGAAAAATGTATGATCTTTTGCTTTGTGGTTCCAGAGAGACATATGAGACTGAGCTGGGTCATTCTGGGTGAAAAACTATTAAACAACTAATCAATAGACATTTTTGTTGAATAAAATTAAGAATGTTCCTAATATTCATAATTTTTTGTGAACAAACCACAATTTTCTGTCCTCTTCTTTCATCTGTGTCTCAACTTGACACAAAACAATAATAGAAAAGGAGTTTGAATTCAGGTTAAATATCAAATAGTAAGAAACAGTAATGATACATTCTTTCTGCAGCTAATGCGTGGTGTGCTTCTTCAAAGGTCGGCTTTTGCTCCGGTGCTTCTAAATATTGTTTTACCAGAAATTTAGTGTATTTTTAGGTCAAATGTCAAGGCATATCTAGTGATGTAATAATTCACAATTTTTCAGCAGTCAAAAGACATCTAAATATACAATGCATGCTTGAAAATGGAGAAAAGAACATGGGCTATTCATTCAACAAAAACTTAAGTCGCCCATATATATACGTACGTTTTTGTTCATGTCATACAGAAAATGGCTTTAAGCATTTTCCATATCAAAAATTTACTCTGGTGCCGCTTTTGCATTTTCATTATTTGTTTTCAGAATTGTATAAACATGGCTGCACATGAACAAAAACTTATATAAATATACATGGGCTACTTCAGTTTTTGTTGAATGAATAACCCATGTTCTTTTTCCCACAGATAGAGCTTTTTGTGAAAAAAACCCACAATTTTCTGTTCTTATCATTAGACAACATTAAACGGTGACAGAAGTGTAGGCAGCTGTCCAGTACCGGCAGGCCAAGCGTGCCGCGGCCCGGGCTGTTGCAGAGGCAAAAACCCGGGACTGGGAGGAGTTCGGAGAGTCCATGGAGCATGACTATCGGTCGGCCTCGAAGAGATTCTGGCAAACTGTCCGGCGCCTCAGGAGGGGGAAGCAGTTCTTTGCCAACACCGTGTACGGTGCGGGGGGTGAGCTGCTGACCTCGACCGGGGATATTGTCGGACGGTGGAAGGAATACTTCGAGGTTCTCCTCAATCCCCCCGTCACGTCCTCCGCTCCGGAGGCAGAGGCTGAGGATGTTGGGGCGGATACTTCTGTCACCCTGGCAGAGGTCACCAAGGTGGTTGGCAGCCTCCTTGGTGGCAAGGCGCCGGGAGTGGATGAGATCCGTCCTGACTATCTAAAGTCTCTGGATGTTGTAGGACTGTCTTGGCTGACACGTCTCTGCAACATTGCGTGGCGATCGGGGGCGGTGCCAATGGAGTGGCAGACCGGGGTGGTGGTTCCTCTCTACAAGAAGGGGGACCGGAGGGTGTGTTCCAATTATCGTGGGATCACACTCCTCAGCCTCCCTGGTAAGGTTTACTCCAAGGTACTGGAGAGGAGGTTACGGCCGATGGTCGAATCTCGGATTCAGGAGGAGCAGTGTGGTTTTCGTCCCGGCCGTGGAACACTGGACCAGCTCTACACTCTCCATCGGATACTCGAGGGTTCATGGGAGTTCGCCCAACCTGTCCACATGTGCTTTGTGGATTTGGAGAAGGCGTTCGACCGTGTTCCCCGGGGTGTCCTTTGGGGGGTCCTCCGTGAGTACGGGGTCCGGGGTCCTCTGCTGAGGGCCGTCCGGTCCCTGTATGACCGGAGCCAGAGCTGCGTGCGCATTGCCGGCAGTAAGTCAGACCTGTTCCCTGTGCACGTTGGCCTCCGCCAGGGCTGCCCTTTGTCACCGGTTCTGTTCACTGTATTCATGGACAGAATTTCTAGGCGCAGCCAAGGGTCGGAGGGGGTCCGGTTCGGGGACCACAGGATTTCATCTCTGCTGTTTGCAGACGATGTTTGTCCTGTTGGCTCCAACGAACCAGGACCTACAACATGCACTGGGACGGTTTGCAGCCGAGTGTGAAGCGGCTGGGATGAGAATCAGCACCTCCAAATCTGAGGCCATGGTGCTCGACCGGAAAAAGGTGCCCTGCCCTCTTCAGGTGGGTGGAGAGGCCCTTCCTCAAGTGGAGGAGTTCAAGTATCTTGGGGTCTTGTTCACGAGTGAGGGAAGAATGGAGCGTGAGATTGACAGGCGGATCGGTGCAGCGTGCGCAGTGATGCGGTCGCTGTATCGGACCGTTGTGGTGAAGAGGGAGCTGAGCCGAAAGGCAAAGCTCTCAATTTACCGGTCAATCTTCGTTCCCTCCCTCACCTATGGTCATGAGCTTTGGGTAATGACCGAAAGAACAAGATCGCGGATACAAGCGGTCGAAATGAGCTTCCTCCGCAGAGTGGCTGGGCGCTCCCTTAGAGATAGGGTGAGGAGCTCAGTCACACGGGAGGAGCTCGGAGTAGAGCCGCTGCTACTCCACGTCGAGAGGAACCAGTTGAGGTGGCTCGGGCATCTGTTCCGGATGCCTCCTGGACGCCTCCCTGGGGAGGTGTTCCGGGCACGTCCCACCGGGAGGAGGCCCCGGGGAAGACCTAGGACACGCTGGAGGGACTATGTCTCTCAGCTGGCCTGGGAACGCCTTGGAGTCCCCCCGGACGAGCTGGAGGAGGTGTGTGTGGATAGGGAAGTTTGGGCGTCTCTGCTTAGACTGCTGCCCCCGCGACCCGGCAACGGATAAAGCGGAAGAAAATGGATGGATGGATGGATGGAGAAGTGTAGCACAAAACAATCCACACAATTGATTTAAGTCTTTTCTATAAAGTCAAATATTCCTGACCGATCAATTATTGAATTATCATCACTTAACCCCGGGTTTCAGGCTGTGACCTCCATGAAACAAGTTGTTGAAATGAGCAGTTCATTTGATTAAATTCCACTTAAAATATGCATAGAATTTAGCCATTAAAAAAATATACTAGAAATCATCCCTACAACCCCACTTTGAGAACCACTGACAACCAAAATGAACGTTCTTTGATGCCCATGAGTTCAGTGTTAAATTAATCTTTTTTTTTTTTTGTATTTTGTATTTTTTCAACGGTTGTTTTAAAACTTGGTTCTCATAAAGACGTATAAAGAGCTACAATCAGACTGCAGATCCATAGAAGAAAATTCATATTCTTTGGTTTTACGTCTATCCAGTGCAGATTACAAGCAGTGACCATACGTTCAGTGGCATCAGGCAAAGGTGCGTCTTTATTGGTCTCTCATGATGCAGCATGTGCGCAGGACTTACATCACAAGTCCCAGATCTGCAGCGGCTACTTCAGGACACAGCTGCCTTCGCCTGCGCCTCAGAGCGACACTAAACCAACATTTAGAATACAAAAAAAATCAACAAGTAATCAACACTAATCATACGTTTATTTCTGAAGCGACTGCGTGGTATGAGAAACGGTCTGCTTTCCATCTATATTTTTATTGAACCGTTATTGAACCACAAAAATACCATTAAGATTAAGTAAGTAAGTAAGCAATCTTTAATTATATAGCGCCTTTCACAGACCAGAGTCACAAAGCGCTTTACCATAGTGGGCATTTGTCTCCCACTCCACACAGAGAGCAGGGTTGCCAGAACAGGAGGAGCATGCCAGACCTATTGTCCTGGTTTTTAGTGGGGGGAAACTGGAGCACCCGGAGGAAACCTAAGCAGTCACGGCGAGAACATGCAAACTCCACTCAGAAAGTTCCTGTTCCCACTGTGATAAAGAACCTCTTTTTCAAGGAAGTCCTGGACAAGGCAGCAAACATTTACCTTCAAATGACATCTACATGTACTGTAGTAGTAGTAGGAGGTTTGTTTATTCGGTCATACAAATTATTGTTATTTTTTTGACATAAAAAAATGGTGTCCGGGGAGTTGCTCACGACTGGTTAAAAAACTATCTTACAGGCAGGGATCAATATGTTACGGTCAATAATGTTAATTCAGATAAAAACCTAACCACACACGGAGTCCCACAGGGCTCAGTCCTTGGGCCTAAATTGTTTATATTGTACATCAACGACATCTGTGAGGTCCTTAAAACTATGCACTGTATTCTGTTTGCAGACGACACCAGTCTCTACTGTTCAGGACAAAATCTTGAGCAGCTTATGGAAAAAACTGGAAAGGAACTATTAATATTAAAGAAATGGTTTGATTACAATAAATTATCAATGAACGTGAGCAAAACTAAATATATTATTTTTGGTAATAAAAAAATTGGCTTTCCGACCAAATTAAATATAGATCAAATTGAAATAGAGAGGGTGTACAACACAAAATTCTTGGGAGTTAACATTGACGCAAAACGTAACTGGAAAATACATATAGAATACTTGAAGACAAAGATATCTAAAATGATTGGAATATTGTGCAAAATTAAAAAAATCGTTAACAAAAAATCATTACACCTATTATACACTTCACTAATACTGCCATACTTGCATTATTGTGTGGTTGTGTGGGGGAATAATTATAAAACTTCAATTCAGCCTCTCTTCTTAATGCAAAAGAAAGCAATCAGAATAATCAATTGTGCAGACTATTATTCATCATCAAATCCATTATTTATAAAATCAAATACCCTAAAATTACATGATATAGTTGACCTAAATACAGCAGTTGTCATGTACAATGTTCACAATCAGAATGTCCCTAAATGCATCCAGGAAAGGTTCAACACCAGAGAATCAAATTATAATCTTAGAGGAACTGACATTTACCAAAGGGTCACTGCCAGGACCAAAGCAAAGTGTAGATGTGTCTCAGTTAGAGGAGTTGCTGTCTGGAATGGTCTGGATGAGTCACTAAAGAAAACTACATCCATCAAGATTTTCAAAAATGTCCTTAAAATTCATGTTATAAATAAATATAGAGAATTAGAATAAATAAATAATATTAAAGCAATTATCAACATTATTATTATTATTATTATTACCATTATAATATTGTTTATATCATCAAAACAATTTGTATGAACCCTCATTTACCTACATGTCTTTTCTGCAAAAATATAGATATGTATTTTCTATTGTTTTTCCATGCTGAAAGCTAATTGTTGCTGTTTTAGTTGTTCTGGTTATAGTAAGCTATAGTAGGGTTAGGCTTCTATAAGTGTTTCACTTCAGCCTAAACCCTTTCAGTCAACTTTACTTTTTACTTTATTTTTTTCAAATGATCTGTATTGTCTGAGTTGTGAAAAAGTGACTGAACAAATAAACTACTACTACTACTACTACTAAAACAGGCATATTAAAAAAAAGGACAAGGTTACAAAAAATGTTGTTATTAAGTTATTCTGAGAGTGACCCATTATAAGAATTCAAGTTTTTGTCTTAATAATTACCAAATGGAGAAGGGTTAGATACATTTTGTTATAAGAAACTATAGAAAACATTTTGTCAACTTTAGGTGCTGTTAATATGAGTTCAGTCGCATGAAGTTGGGCTATGTTTAAGTCAATTATTTTTCATCATAACATGTTCAAATAAAACTAATATTAACAAAAGTGTTCACATTATATTTAAGCAAGTGTCATATGAAGCGGAGGACTAAAGACAAGGTTAAAGACGGTCCTGTGCTTAAAACTGAATAATTTTATCTCTATTTTTAATGCACTATGGTAATTATTTTGTGTGTGTGATTGTGATTGTAATGTTCAAATGTTTTTAATTTCCCGCGATTGTTAATTGTGATTTTGGTAATCACAATTACCAAATGTATGTGATAATTTGTGCCTTGTGTATGGAAGGCGCTCTGCAAGTGAAACCATGACATTTTCCATTCTTGTCATAGAAGAGCACAAACTGGAGAATGTGTAGTTATAATTTTCTTAGTCAAGTTGCAACTGGCTCTGAAATCAAATTTATAGTTGATTAATTTGTATTAGGCTTGACTTTACATTTTCTGAAAACTGACTTTTGTTGATGTTGAAGAAAAGTTTGCTCTGTATTTCAACTCTAAGCTATTTTTATTGGGCCCCAGAAAAAAAAAATGGCATCCACAATAAACAAACACACAAACAAACATCCCTATGTCTCAAAACAAACTCCATTACCCTCAGCATCTTTTCTTCATAAACGCAACATGTGAGTTATTCAGGTCAGCTCACGTCAACAAAAGCAATCCCCAAACCTGTAAATCGGTGACACTGACACATGTACGTGGCTTTTTACAACACGCCTGTGCCAATATTGTCTCCTTGTTTATTTGGGACTAGGCTTAGGCTCAATCTGCGTGAACTGTTGATGGGATTACACAGATTAGTGGCGTTTAAAAGGCGGAGGAGGACTGGACGAGTTCAAACCCAGAAACAGAGCAACAACAAAGCAGCATCAGCAGCAGCGGAAAAGCAACACAAACAGGTGAGATGGGAAAAAGCATTATTTTGCAGCATTTTGTTTGGGAATGCAGCAAATCGACAAAACTATTGCTAATTCTACTGCTTATTCTTATACTGTTGTAGTTCTTGTTTATGGCTATTACAAAACTGACTTCTACATATGTTTTGGCAGTTCATCACAATGGCAGATGTCGCAGCTCCCGCCGTCTCAAAGGCTCCCCCCAAGTTCAAGCAGAGGGCCATGCGCACATTCAAGAGCAAGGCCCCCAAGCCCGGACAGAAGGGGTAAGCACCAGTCACTCGCTCATTCCGCTCAGTCTTGCCAGCTCAACCTCGGCTTCATCTAACGCTGTTTTGTTTTGCCCGCTAGATTCGGAGACGACATCCCCGGCATGGAGGGCCTGGGCACAGACATCACAGTGGTCTGCCCATGGGAGGCATTTGGAGACATGGAGCTCAGTGACCTGGCCAAATATGGAATCGTCTAATGACCGTAGTCGTCTTCCGTCTTCGAGACTAGAAAAGGAGGCAGCTCATAGACACTCATAGAGGAACTCACCTGAAGAATACGGAAATGCACTTTAACTATAATCTTTAGCCTTCAACATCCCCATGTGAAGATGGCCAAAAATACCGACTGATTCTGTACGGGAGTGGAGATGTTTCTCACTCAAAATGTATGAAATGAAATGTGAAAGTGAAAACGCAGTTGTATCCAAAAAGGATCTCACCTGCAGTTTGCCCCGTCTCTTTGCTGCCAATCCTGAAATGCTAATATTGTACTGGACAAATCAGCTTTTATTTTTTTGATGGAAAATAAATTTATGGTTTTCTCTAGCAATCTCTCTCTGCTTGGTTACTTTTAACGGGTATTATTACTATTATATCCAGACATAGGAGTAGTGCTGTAGAACAAAATACATTTCTTTACAACACTTGCATGATTACATTGGTCTGAGATAGCTGTAGTTACAATTTACAGTTTACAATTTAAGGTTAAGCTAGTGATATTTATAGTATATTATATCTTCAGCGGATAAAGTAGCCAAGAAAGTCAAACTCCTGTTGACAAATCCACTTGAAGCTTTAATCTAATGTTAAAACGGGATGTCCCAAGTTAATTATGTGCAGTGGCCTCATTAGCGATCTTAAGGTGATCCTCTGCTCCTATGGGCTTTAGACGCTACATGTAATTTGACTTCAAAAGAGGTTGTTCTGAATGATGCGATCAAATCAAAGGATTCAAATCCCTGTTTGTAATGGGTCTGGGTTAGCTGTTGTAATTTGAGTATAGATAAAAACATATTAATTATCTTGTTTTCAATTATCTAAGATTCTCAACAACTCAACAATGTTAGTGCCCTTTGCAAATAATCACTAACTCTGAATGTGATGCCTGTTTGGGATATGGTGAGGAAAGGTGAGTGACATGATTATTTATAAAAGGAGCTTTGGGAATAACAGCACATGCAAATCACCCTAATGTTTTATGGACAATGTCTCTCAAAGTAAAATATTCCATCACCTGCAGTCCATAATAACAGTCCTCAGTCTGCTCTGAAGGATATCAGGCTCAAGAACAGTGCAGAAAACCCGGGTCAGTGAACAATATGGTGCTACATCTATTGAAGTTAAAAGACAAAAGCGTCCTTAACAGCAGAAACAGATGCTGCTCTGAGCTCCTCTGTGATGCACTGACGCACGGAGCACTAACATATGTGTCTTATAGAGGGACATCCCAGATTACTTCAGCAGGACCAGGCCGAGACACAGGCTGCTCCAGTTTACAGTAGAACGCAAATGAATCACACACATACTGTAGCTTCAACAATTCCTCAGTTCTCAAACATGTATACAATATGTGCTGGTACACAACATTTACTGGTACACAACTTGTACTGGTACATCCTGACTTCATTGGACTTGTAGAAAGAGATTTTGAACTTATTTCTTTCTTAATATTATAGATTATAGAATGCTTTGTTTTTTATGCGAAAGCAAGGTCTTGGGCCTTCTTATCTTTCAGATTTGCTTTTATCCTATGAACCTTCCCGGCCCCTGCGCTCCTCCTGCAGCAGACTCCTAACCATCCCCAAAGTCAGGACACACACTCACGGCGAGGCATCTTTCCAGCACTACGGCCCCCGTCTCTGGAACAGTCTGCCGGAGGAGCTCAGGGCTGCAGAGAACATTCATCTTTTTAAGAGTAGGCTCAAGACGCACCTTTTTAGAGTATCTTTTGATTAGTTTTTATTATTTATATTGCTTTTTAGTACATCTATTTATGTTTTTAGACACATTCTATTTTTATTTATTTTTTATTTACTATTTTTAATTATTTATTGTATCTACCCATTTACTTGTGTTATTATAAATATTAGGCAGCTGCCATTTTTCTTTTTATTGTCACATTTTATTGTTCTACTTTCTATTGTATTATTGTATTGTTCTAGTGTCCCCAGTGTTTCCTCTGGAGGAGCCCTCTGCACTGAGAGCTTTTGAACTTATTTCTTTCTTAATATTATAGATTATAGAATGCTTTGTTTTTATGCGAAAGCTAGAGATTTTATGTTGTTATTTTATTTAGAAGAGTTTAGTATAGAGTTTAGTATAGAGTTATTTAGTATAGAGTTTAGTATAGAGTTATTTAGTATAGAGTTTAGTATAGAGTTATTTAGTATAGAGTTTAGTATAGAGTTCTTTAGTATAGAGTTTAGTATAGTTATTTAGTATAGAGTTTAGTATAGAATTCTTTAGTATAGAGTTTAGTATAGAGTTCTTTAGTATAGAGTTATTTAGTATAGAGTTTAGTATAGAATTCTTTAGTATAGAGTTCTTTAGTATAGAGTTTAGTATAGAGTTATTTAGTATAGAGTTTAGTATAGAGTTATTTAGTATAGAGTTTAGAATAGAGTTCTTTAGTATAGAATTCTTTAGTATAGAGTTTAGTATAGAGTTCTTTAGTATAGAGTTTAGTATAGAGTTCTTTAGTATAGAGTTTAGTATAGAGTTCTTTAGTATAGAGTTTAGTATAGAGTTTAGTATAGAGTTCTTTAGTATAGAGTTTAGAATAGAGTTTAGTATAGAGTTTAGTATAGTTATTTAGTATAAAGTTTAGTATAGAGTTTAGTATAGAATTCTTTAGTATAGAGTTTAGTATAGAGTTCTTTAGTATAGAGTTTAGTATAGAATTCTTTAGTATAGAGTTTAGTATAGAGTTCTTTAGTATAGAGTTTAGTATAGAGTTCTTTAGTATAGAGTTTAGTATAGAGTTCTTTAGTATAGAGTTTAGTATAGAGTTCTTTAGTATAGAGTTTAGTATAGAGTTCTTTAGAATAGAGTTTAGTATAGAGTTTAGTATAGTTATTTAGTATAGAGTTTAGTATAGAATTCTTTAGTATAGAGTTATTTAGTATAGAGTTTAGTATAGAATTCTTTAGTATAGAGTTTAGTATAGAGTTCTTTAGTATAGAGTTTAGTATAGAGTTCTTTAGTATAGAGTTTAGTATAGAGTTCTTTAGTATAGAGTTTAGTATAGAGTTTAGAATAGAGTTTAGTATAGAGTTTTGTATAGAGTTCTTTAGTATAGAGTTTAGTATAGTTATTTAGTATAGAGTTTAGTATAGAATTCTTTAGTATAGAGTTTAGTATAGAGTTCTTTAGTATAGAGTTTAGTATAGAGTTCTTTAGTATAGAGTTTAGTATAGAGTTCTTTAGTATAGAGTTTAGTATAGAGTTTAGTATAGAGTTCTTTAGTATAGAGTTTAGTATAGAGTTCTTTAGTATAGAGTTTAGTATAGAGTTTAGAATAGAGTTTAGTATAGAGTTTAGTATAGAGTTTAGTATAGAGTTTAGTATAGAGTTCTTTAGTATAGAGTTTAGTATAGAGTTTAGTATAGAGTTCTTTAGTATAGAGTTTAGAACAGAGCTGTGTTCTTTTACCTTGTGCTGTGTGCTCATTCCTCCTTTTCTGTAACTGGTGATGCAACACTGAAATTTCCCCAATGTGGGACGAATAAAGGATCTCTTAATCTTTAATTTATGAAATTAGAAAGTTGTGTATGTTTTGCATTAAAATGTCACTGTAACTGTGTGAAAAACAAATAATTATATAAAGTCCATATTTAGACTTAATAAGCTGCTAACTTGTTTTGTAATGAAATGCCATTGTCACCATGGAAACAGGTCATAATCACTTCTAGAATCAAATTCTAGATGTTTTTGGATGAATGTGTTTGAGACGATCTGTAGATCTCGCTCCGCTGATTATGTGATTGTTGGTTCAGGAATTGGTCACTTGTCATTATGTATTTTTATAACACACACACACACACACACACACACACACACACACACACATTAGTTATTGACATTCATATTATTGTCCTGACCACTGCTGTCGGAGTAAGTCCCCACGAAGATCAAACTTAATCCAGTTACTGTCGTCTGCAAATCTCGATGACCTTAATTTCAAAGCACAATACTCTTCTAAGAGCTTGACGGTGATGACGACTGTGAGAAAAGTCAGGATGAGGCTCAGAGATGACACCTGCGGCTTTAAGGACAGTTGCATAAGTGTGAAAACCTGCAGCATCAAAACAGCAGTAATCCAGAAGCTTTTGGATTATTCCCGCATCGTGCCTGAGTCGGAGCACGCACACAGGGCTGGACACATTTCACAACTCAACTACCAAACAATAAAAATAATATATAAATTATACATGGGGTGAGTTATTTGTCGCAACTTCTCAGCTTCTGCCCCGAGTTAAATGCTAAGAAGTGACAACAAATGTTCAACATGTTCAACATCTATAATTATGCTTAGTTAGTTACAAAAATAATATGTTAAAAAAAACATCAAATTTATAATTATATTTATTGGACACTCAAAGAAAAAAACAACTGACTTCAAAATAAAAATCCTTTATTTACTCGGGACACTATTAAGTGATTTTGTTTTTATCATTTATTTTCAGTACTTTTTTAAAATTATTTTCTGTTATGGGTATCAATACAATTTGCAATCAATATAACAAAACAAAAAAACCATTCAAAACAAAAAATACATAACAATGATTGAAACAAATAGAAGAATATGGGAAGGGTTCTAAGCAAGTGATGGTTACCATAGCAACAGTACATTGTTTACTGTTATCCGTTGACATTCAGCCTGTATACCATTCCACATTGGTATAAATGGGAGCCATCAAAATGACTGCTCTGGGAGTTGAGACCATTGGAGACACTATATGTATATATTTATACATCTATATGTGTGTGTGTGTGTGTATTTATTCCCAGAAAAGATTATAGAGTTCTTCTACATTCATTCATGTTTTTAAAAATACAAAAAACAGAATAAGAAGGATTATCTTTGGAACAGTGTTATTTTGGCATTCTCTAATTGAGTCATCACTTGTCCAGAGAGATATGCATTGTATTTGGGGTGTGCAGTTGTACTGTCTCATCAGAAAGACATCATGTTATG